GAGAAAGCCTGTCTGTAAATGAGATAAATCACTAACTCCTACAAGCGATAATGACGGAACTATCGTATATTATTCTGGTAGAGCTATAGAGGACGGTAACGATGTTTGAAACTAAACACACCGTAACGTACACACGGGACCAAAGGTGTCTGTGATAGGAGGACAAATTACACACGCCTTCAAACAATTAGCAGCTATTTTTAGTTCCTCCTTCACGTGCTGATATGTAAATGATAGTATACACATCGCATGAAAAACGTAATGACGTCTATTGAGTTATATAATAGTAGTACGTACCGTTTATATATAGTTACAGCCTCATCAGTGAAAAACACATCAGCAGACATGTTACAGAGCAATCAAAACCACTACAAATAATCGAATTTGTAAACATTGTTTAAGTAGTTAAGATGTATATTTATAACAAACAATTTGTAGTGTAAATAGCGGCCGTAGTCTTCTCTTACCTCTGATGTTAGTGTCCTCTGTAGCGGCCGTAGTCTACTCTTACTTCTGAAGTAAGTGTCCTCTGTAGCGGCCGTAGTCTACTCTTACTTCTGAGGCAAGTGTCCTCTGTAGCGGCCGTAGTCTACTCTTACTTCTGTGGCAAGTGTCCTCTGTAGCGGCCGTAGTCTACTCTTACTTCTGAAGTAAGTGTCCTCTGTAGCGGCCGTAGTCTACTCTTACTTCTGAAGTAAGTGTCCTCTGTAGCGGCCGTAGTCTACTCTTACTTCTGAAGTAAGTGTCCTCTGTAGCGGCCGTAGTCTACTCTTACTTCTGAAGTAAGTGTTGTCTGTAGCGGCCGTAGTCTACTCTTACTTCTGAAGTAAGTGTCCTCTGTAGCGGCCGTAGTCTACTCTTACTTCTGAAGTAAGTGTCCTCTGTAGCGGCCGTAGTCTACTCTTACTTCTGAAGTAAGTGTCGTCTGTAGCGGCCGTAGTCTACTCTTACTTCTGTAGTAAGTGTCCTCTGTAGCGGCCGTAGTCTACTCTTACTTCTGAAGTAAGTGTCCTCTGTAGCGGCCGTAGTCTACTCTTACTTCTGAAGTAAGTGTCCTCTGTAGCGGCCATAGTCTACACTTACTTCTGTAGTAAGTGTCCTCTGTAGCGGCCATAGTCTACACTTACTTCTGAAGTAAGTGTCCTCTGTAGCGGCCGTAGTCTTCTCTTACCTCTGATGTTAGTGTCCTCTGTAGCGGCCGTAGTCTACTCTTACTTCTGAAGTAAGTGTCCTCTGTAGCGGCCGTAGTCTACTCTTACTTCTGAAGTAAGTGTCCTCTGTAGCGGCCGTAGTCTACTCTTACTTCTGAAGTAAGTGTCGTCTGTAGCGGCCGTAGTCTACTCTTACTTCTGAAGTAAGTGTCCTCTGTAGCGGCCGTAGTCTACTCTTTCTTCTGAAGTAAGTGTCCCCTGTAGCGGCCGTAGTCTACTCTTTCTTCTGAAGTAAGTGTCCCCTGTAGCGGCCGTAGTCTACTCTTACTTCTGAAGCAAGTGTCCTCTGTAGCGGCCGTAGTCTACTCTTACTTCTGAAGTAAGTGTCCTCTGTAGCGGCCGTAGTCCACTCTTACTTCTGAAGTAAGTGTCCTCTGTAGCGGCCGTAGTCCACTCTTACTTCTGTCCTCTGTAAGTGTCCTCTGTCTACTCTTACTTCTGAAGTAGCGGCCGTAGTCTACTTCTTACTTCTGTAAGTGTCCTCTGTAGCGGCCGTAGTCTACTCTTATTTCTGAAGTAAGTGTCCTCTGAAGCGGCCGTAGTCTACTCTTACTTCTGAAGTAAGTGTCCTCTGTAGCGGCCGTAGTCTACTCTTACTTCTGAAGTAAGTGTCCTCTGAAGCGGCCGTAGTCCACTCTTACTTCTGTGGTAAGTGTCCCCTGTAGCGGCCGTAGTCTACTCTTACTTCTGAAGTAAGTGTCCCCTGTAGCGGCCGTAGTCCACTCTTACTTCTGAAGTAAGTGTCCTCTATAGCGGCCGTAGTCTACTCTTACTTCTGAAGTAAGTGTCCTCTGTAGCGGCCGTAGTCTACTCTTATTTCTGAACTAAGTGTCCTCTGTAGCGGCCGTAGTCTACTCTTATTTCTGAACTAAGTGTCCTCTGTAGCGGCCGTAGTCTACTCTTACTTCTGAAGTAAGTGTCCTCTGTAGCGGCCGTAGTCTACTCTTATTTCTGAAGTAAGTGTCCCCTGTAGCGGCCGTAGTCTACTCTTACTTCTGAAGTAAGTGTTCTCTGTAGCGGCCGTAGTCTACACTTACTTCTGAGGCAAGTGTCCTCTGTAGCGGCCGTAGTCTACTCTTACTTCTGTGGTAAGTGTCCCCTGTAGCGGCCGTAGTCTACTCTTTCTTCTGAAGTAAGTGTCCTCTGTAGCGGCCGTAGTCCACTCTTACTTCTGTCGTAAGTGTCCTCTGTAGCGGCCGTAGTCTACTCTTATTTCTGAAGTAAGTGTCGTCTGAAGCGGCCGTAGTCCACTCTTACTTCTGTGGTAAGTGTCCCCTGTAGCGGCCGTAGTCTACTCTTACTTCTGAAGTAAGTGTCCCCTGTAGCGGCCGTAGTCCACTCTTACTTCTGAAGTAAGTGTTGTCTGTAGTGGCCGTAGTCTACTCTTATTTCTGAAGTAAGTGTCCCCTGTAGCGGCCGTAGTCTACTCTTACTTCTGAAGTAAGTGTCCTCTGTAGCGGCCGTAGTCTACTCTTATTTCTGAAGTAAGTGTCGTCTGAAGCGGCCGTAGTCCACTCTTACTTCTGTGGTCAGTGTCCCCTGTAGCGGCCGTAGTCTACTCTTACTTCTGAAGTAAGTGTTGTCTGTAGCGGCCGTAGTCTACTCTTATTTCTGAAGTAAGTGTCGTCTGTAGCGGCCGTAGTCCACTCTTATTTCTGAAGTAAGTGTCCCCTGTAGCGGCCGTAGTCTACTCTTATTTCTGAAGTAAGTGTCGTCTGTAGCGGCCGTAGTCTACTCTTACTTCTGTGGCAAGTGTCCTCTGTAGCGGCCGTAGTCTTCTCTTACCTCTGATGTTAGTGTCCTCTGTAGCGGCCGTAGTCTACTCTTACTTCTGTAGTAAGTGTCCTCTGTAGCGGCCGTAGTCTACTCTTACTTCTGTAGTAAGTGTCCTCTGTAGCGGCCGTAGTCTACTCTTACTTCTGTAGTAAGTGTCCCCTGTAGCGGCCGTAGTCTACTCTTACTTCTGAAGTAAGTGTCCCCTGTAGCGGCCGTAGTCCACTCTTACTTCTGAAGTAAGTGTTGTCTGTAGTGGCCGTAGTCTACTCTTACTTCTGAAGTAAGTGTCCTCTGTAGCGGCCGTAGTCTACTCTTACTTCTGAACTAAGTGTCCTCTGTAGCGGCCGTAGTCTACTCTTATTTCTGAAGTAAGTGTCCCCTGTAGCGGCCGTAGTCTACTCTTACTTCTGAAGTAAGTGTCCTCTGTAGTGGCCGTAGTCTACTCTTATTTCTGAAGTAAGTGTCCTCTGTAGCGGCCGTAGTCTACTCTTACTTCTGAAGTAAGTGTCCTCTGTAGCGGCCGTAGTCCACTCTTACTTCTGAAGTAAGTGTCCTCTGTAGCGGCCGTAGTCTACTCTTACTTCTGAAGTAAGTGTCCTCTGTAGCGGCCGTAGTCCACTCTTACTTCTGAAGTAAGTGTCCTCTGTAGCGGCCGTAGTCCACTCTTACTTCTGTCGTAAGTGTCCTCTGTAGTGGCCGTAGTCTACTCTTACTTCTGAAGTAAGTGTTCTCTGTTGTGGCCGTAGTCTACTCTTACTTCTGTAGGAAGCGTCCTCTGTAGCGGCCGTAGTCTACTCTTACTTCTGAAGTAAGTGTCCTCTGTAGCGGCCGTAGTCTACTCTTAGTAAGTGTCCTCTGTAGCGACCGTAGTCCACTCTTACTTCTGAAGTAAGTGTCCCCTGTAGCGGCCGTAGTCTACTCTTACTTCTGTGGTAAGTGTCCTCTGTAGAGGCCGTAGTCTACTCTTACTTCTGAAGTAAGTGTCCTCTGTAGCGGCCGTAGTCTACTCTTACTTCTGTAGTAAGTGTCCTCTGTAGCGGCCGTAGTCTACTCTTACTTCTGAAGTAAGTGTCCTCTGTAGCGGCCGTAGTCTACTCTTACTTCTGTGGTAAGTGTCCTCTGTAGAGGCCGTAGTCTACTCTTACTTCTGAAGTAAGTGTCCTCTGTAGCGGCCGTAGTCTACTCTTACTTCTGAAGTAAGCGTACTCTGTAGCGGCCGTAGTCCACTCTTTCTTCTGAAGTAAGTGTCCTCTGTAGCGGCCGTAGTCTACTCTTACTTCTGAAGTAAGTGTCCTCTGTAGCGGCCGTATACCCCTACTTCTGTAGTAAGTGCCCTAGTATACTCCTACTTCTGTAGTAAGCATCCGCAGAATATTATACAGCTGTTTCGTTCTTTCAAGGCTAAGGACCTTAAGTAGAAATCTAAGAGGTGAATTGAAGTACAGATTTCGAGTTAGATACAGTAGAGCCATATAGTGTAAACCAAGCTGTATTATACAGCTGTTTTATACAGCTCTTTCTTGCTTCTATGTGCTAAGGGCCTTAATTTTGAAACCTGGATGTCGACGGAAGAAAATCAAACTGAATGGGAAAAATGCCTTGATGAGAAAGTGCACAAGCCCCATCTTTCAATAAATTTCGGTACAGATGTAAGCGTCTTGCTATAAAAATCATTTAGAATGTGCGAAATGATCAATTAAACTGCTTCATGCAGGTGTTGAGTCATACTATGACTCATCAGTGATGCTAATGTTAAAATCTTTGGCTATTTAGGAAAATCACTAATCAAGAAAGAGGCCGTCACTTCCTTTCCACTTAGCCTGAATAACGGGTACATAGTCTCTTTGTCACATCGTATTTCAAGATGGCGTCGCGTGGGGTAGAAAGCAAGCGTCTGGTCGAACAAGACCAACGAATCCTCTGACTTCCATTTTCTTTTTTTTTTCAAAAAATGTTTATTTGGAAAAATGATGATTAAGTATCGTTTATATCATTTCTTTTATTCATTTTCAGAATTTTAGAAGTACAATGTGAAAAAATTAATTATCAAGAAGAGACCGGTCATGTTTTCACCACAATATTCCACAAGTACAGCGAGAGGGTCAGACCATACAACCATAACAAAGACCCGCTCGACATCTCAGTCATTCTCAGTATCGTCCGTGTCAACGACCTTGACCCCGCCACTCAGCAATTGGACGTCACCGTGGATCTGTCAATTGTAAGCATTTTCAGTTTTCGATAAGCTTTCATTGATTTTCAACTCTATTTTGATCCCCAAATTGTCTAAGAGCCCAAATAAAATATGAGATTTTGAATAGCATACTTTATGTATCTACCATCTAAGTATCTTCAAGAAAAAAATAGTCTTATGACGTAATAGCCGCAGAATGGCCCCAATTGGCACCCCTCCTCTCATATTGACTGAAATATTTACTTGCAGTGTAAGCATACTGTATAAGTTTGACTGCCTATGATATATAATGTTTATTTTTAGTGAAAAAACCCCATTGAACTCAATGCAGGCCCATTGGGCCTCTTGTATCATTCTACACACATGAATAAATATAGTATATACATGAAGAAAATCACACGAGTGAAGAAGTTTTCACATAGAATGAAATTGATGTTGATGTTGTATTTGCGCCGAGTCTAGAACTACTCCAAAGTAAGAACACATTGAATCGATTTTGAACATTTTTTTTCACGCACGTGAAGTAAAAGCACGCGCTTGACTGGTATGACAGAATACTGACGTATTTACCGTGTCAATTAGTAAACGCTGGGTACTATTTGTCAATCAACCTTGGAATGTCTACTACAGCCACGAAGCTCAGTAGGGGTAGCTTATAGTTGCCAGGGTTTTTTTATTGTCTCCGTGCCATTCACTGTTATATTGTGGAAAACAATGGCGTTTTTAACCCGAACTCCACGCGCTACGTAATCGTCCCCATTTCCACTGACTGAATTACGACATTATAACGAGGCGCTTTCAATCACTTCTCCTGTACTACGCACATGCCGACGATGACATGCGCACTCGATCAATTAGGACTAATGCAGAAAAATCTCCAAACCACATGATGTAGGCAAAACATGTCGTTCTTGTTATGCTTTTATTGTATGCAGTGGAACAGTTTTAGGTTGAACCCAAAAATACGGACCCGCCTCGTTTGTTTATTTATAAAATAGTGTTTTATATCTGGTTTCCTCAGTTGCCGGGCCAAAAATTATTAAACCATCCTCAAAACGACCACTAAGCAGTATAACAGTGTTATTCTGACATCGTGTACACCAGAGTCGATTATCATCACAGAAGCCTCATGATATTTTAACAAATAGTTATCTGTGCACTTTACAACGCCTCACAGAAATACCGGGTGTATGTCTTCGTTTGTTTTTTTCTGTTATTATAGGTTTCCGATAGATAGAACGGCGATATATCATTTTTATAATTTTTTGATTATTAGTGAGATGATTTTAGAATATCATAAAACACGACGAAAATCTTGATAAGATAGACTGCATCTGAAATTAATTATATATTATCTAATATAACAAAATGGTGGAACAAGTGCTTAGCGATAGCACATGAGGGGCATTACTGCGGTATCCACGAAAAATCCCTTGCCGGACAGGTGACGCAATACCTTCTGACGTTAAGCGGAAGAACCCAACTCTGGTCAATTAACTTTGTAAAAGACGAGAGGGTAACCACACGTGGAGGATTAAAGAAAGATTGAAAAAAAATTAAAAAGTCTTCGTTGATTGGTTAATCAATGATCGTATTAGAAGCATCTTTGTTCAACTCATGGCATAAGAGCAATGCGCATGCGTCGACATGGAATCATATCGTGTGAGTTATTACCAGTATACGTATGGTATTTATTCCGTTGATTATAAATCGGCTCCCCCGCATCTTCTCCGGACCAGAGTTTATACAACATACAGATTACAACCAACTAACAAATACACATTTACGTACACTGTTAGAAGTAAACGTAGAACTGTTGCCAAGCTATTCGCCGAGTGTTCTTGAAGTCAGAGATACTGTTGTCCTGTACAGAGCTTCTATTTATATACGGCTACAAATATACCTGCTATATCAGGAATAGATATATCTATACATTGATTTCCACGCGATCGCATTTGTACGGAGTACGTCGTCCGTCGTCAACTTATTTCCGTTGAAATGATCGAAATTTGGCTTGAAATTTCTTCTGATTAAGTACAAAAATTGAGAAAAAAGACTTTGTAGGCAACAAGGATAATTCAAACTTTTTTTTTTGTTTTTTGATAAACAGAAAAAGTTCGAATCTGTTCATTTAGTTGATAGTAAGGAAGAAATCCGATATTTGCAAATATGAATCAGCTTGGCCATATACAAGATAACAAGGGTCAAATTGGTTAAGGCAATCGATTGACATCTCAACAGAATCATAGTATTTAGCTGGTAGGCTCCTTGGATGAAATCTCACAAAGTTTGCAAAAAGAAATGACCTTGACCCGTTTTCAATATCACAAAAGTCACACTAATTGAAACCTTCAAATGACTTCTCATTAAAGCTTAGAATAATGCTAGTTAACTGAAAGCTCCTATGATGAGGCTCGACCATGTTTGCGTAAGGAAATGACCTTGAAACATATTCAATGTCACGGAGTCGAAATAGTTAAAACATTCAAACAAATTCTGATTAACGAGGAGGCCTAGAATGATGCTGTTTGACTGGTGTGTTCATGGGATGAATGCCAATTTTGTCAAATGATGATGTTTTTTTAAAGCATTGAACACCAGGTAAGCGACGCAGGCTCTTTTTGGCCTCTTTTTATTCAGATCGGATCGTTTGTTTGTTTGTTTGCTACCCATGGCGGTTTGTGTTTATCAGGAAGCTGAAAAGCTGACCTGGTTGTGTCCATGGGAAATATGCGTTATCCTAATTGTTCTGTATTACATGAGACGGGCCTCCGGTATGTTGTTCATTGAGGTAGCTGCCACCTACTACAAGCAAACTGTTTGCTGGATTAATATCCTCCCATGTACAATTAGGATCATTTTGCGACGGGATAACCATTTAGTAGCCTGTAGCAACCACACTTAACAGCATACAAGAGGTTTGCAGGCTATTCCTTGTAAATACTAGCCGCAATATACCGTTCGACAGGAGAGAACTTCTCTTTAGCTCGAACGGTTGAGCGTCAGACTAGTACGCCAGAGGTCCCGGGTTCGAATCCAAGCGGAGGCATTGAAGAAAATGACTTCTGTTACATTAGTGCCAATGTAGAGACTCGCATATGATACTAAGCCATGCACCACCAGCATCGATGTAACCCCTGAAAACTCTAGGACAAGTTATTTCCTGGAGGGGAAGTAGGTAACCCTGGTCAATACTAGCTCCAGTTTACCGCTTGGCTTAACTTCGATCGGTTGAGCGTCAGACTAGAACGCTAGAGGTCACGGGTTAGAATCTTAGCGGGAACATTGAAATAAATAATGACCTCTGTTACATACTGATATTTACGTTTTATTTGTAGACATGGACAGACACCCGCCTCACTTGGTTCTTTGACACCGTGGACTACATAGAGGTTAATCAATCCAGTGTTTGGACACCGGATGTAACGTTTCTTGACACGTAAGTAAAAAGTCAAAACGAGGCTCGCGAGAGTTAGAATGTCTTTGGCTATAATCCGTTATAATTCGTCTTACAAAATATATGTTTCTTTTTTTAATTTGCGTCACAAATTAAATTAGATTATCGCGGATTCTGTCAATTTAATGATTAATAAAAATGAAAAAAAAAATCCTTATATTGCTTGGAACCTTCACATTCTGATACGCAGTTAAATGGAATGCTATACAGATATTTTGCCGGAAATTTTGGTGATAGGGTTTCCTTTATTTATAGAATGGCCGGAAGTGAGGCCCTGATCAACCCGAGGTACCTCGTCGTCCTGAGGAACGGTCGTATCGTGTGGTATAGACGCCTCCGCTCGAGGATCCTGTGCGAGGTGAACGAAACGGCTTCTGTGCAGGAGTGTAATATCAGAATGGGATCCAAACAATTTCCGGATACGGAACTACAGTTTAAAGAAGGTACTTGCAATACGGAATCCAAACTGGAAAACATGAAATGGGAAATCACCTCCGTAAACAATACCATGGAAATCTCCACGATTCCTCTTCCGACAAACCTTGCGTTCCGCACAGGGGAAATGTCCATGGCTCAATGCGGACTTTCCATAGAATGGAAAACTCCGACTCGGAAAACTTCCGTTGCGTCCGAATTACAGGCTGGAGATCCAGAGGATCAAAAAGCCGGAGCTAGCCGTCTCCATTTGGAAGTACTGGTTTTAGTATCAAGCCTTTTAGGTCTGCTCTTTAGTGTGTGAGTAACACGTGACAGCATTTCAAGTTTCTACCGGAAGATATTAACCTCAGTCCAACGTTCATCCCATCCGCTCTTTGTATCGAAGAATCCGACACGACGGCGCATATTACTGTAAAGTGTTTAACGTATTTCAAATTGAAGAGCGAAATTTAAAAAAGGCGAATTGCTCGCGAAAACTTTTAATGTGTATAATAGAATTATATTAAGTTTTTACATAATTTCATGGCGGTCATGCTGTATTGCTGGAATTTTGGTGACAAGAACTGTGTAGTTTATAGCAATAAACTGCGATTTTAGTCAGTACAGTGATCGAAACTGTATATTTTCATCCAATGTTGTACATAAATTTTGTAACTGAGATAAATAAAAAGTATAAAAACATGTTATTTCGATATGTTTACATGTAAATGCTTCCGTCTGCCAATGCGATAAGATTTCCGGATGGTGATTGCTGACTTCCGTCTGACTTCATGATAGGAATCCTCGTCTCGTTCAAACAGACGCTTGATATCAGCTCACACCGCACACAGAGAAACCACCACGTGATCAAGTGGCTCGGTGATCGATATTTCAAGGTTTCAGTTCTGTCTCACTTCATGATAAAATACCCGGATACTGACGTCTGACTTTCATCGAAAATCTTTTCGTAATAATTCATAATTGTGTTTTAAACCCATTTTGTATGTTGGTATATAATGTGTGCTATGACAATTCTACTTTGATAATAGTTTAGATATATTGCGGAAAGTATAACGTTGATAACAAGTAATTTATACAAAGGATGTTACTATACTGATAACATGGTAGTTATATAATGGGTGTTATTACACTGATAACAAGGTAGTTATATAATGGGTGTTATTACACTGATAACAGAGAAGTTATATAATGGGTGTTATTACACTGATAACAGGGTAGTTATATAATAGGTATTATTATACTGATAACATGGTAGTTATATAATGGGTGTTATTACACTGATAACAAGGTAGTTATAAAATGGTGTTAAGACTCTGTTGATTTAGTTGTTTTGTTTGTTATATGACTGTGTGTATGTATCTTATAGCGTTCTGCTGTGTCCGAGTTAATTATCTGTTGTGTTTATATATCGTCTTATGGTTGTAAGGGAAAAAACGGAATAATGTCACGAAAGGCCTTCATGTCATTGATATATATATATATATATCTGCATCAGTGTGTTGTCTTAAACCATCTGTAAACCAATGTCTTAGTGTGATATATTTAACACCAGAAGCACAGTGTGATATATTTTACACCAGTGACTCAGTGTGACATATTTTACACCAGTGACTCAGTGTGACTTTTTTACTCCCGTGACTCAGTGTGACATATTTTACACCAGTGACTCAGTGTGATATATTTTACATCAGTGACTCAGTGTGACATATTTAACACCAAAAGCAAAGTGTGACATATTTTACACCAATGACTCAGAGTGACATATTTTACTCCAGTGACTCAGTGTCATATTTTACTCCAGTGAATCAGTGTGACATATTTTACTCAAGTGACTCATTGTGTTTAAAAAGGTGACTCGTTGTCATATTTCGCACCGATGACTCATTGTGGTGTATTTTACATCAGTAAATCAGTGTGACGTATTTTACATCAGTGACTCAGTGTGACATATTTTACTCCTGTGACTCAGAGTGACATATTTTACTCCTGTGACTCAGTGTGACATATTTTACTCCCGTGACTCAGTGTGACATATTTTACTCCAGTGACTCATTGTGTTTAAAAAGGTGACTCGTTTTCATATTTCGCACCGATGACTCACTGTGGTGTATTTTACATCAGTGACAGAGTGTGGAATATTCTACACCAGTGACTCAATGTGGAATATTTGACACCAGTAACTGAGTGTAACATATTTTACATCAGTGACTCAATGTGATGCATTTAATGAACGTTTTGTTATGGACAGAGTCCGACCTTCACCTAGAATTTTCTACTTTTACACACTAAAAACTATGACATTGCTGTGCTGCAGTTTTCATAAATAATCAGTTGACGTGTATCTAGAATCTCTTGGTGTTTTTATACTTTGCGAGCTCCAATCTAATCATATAATCATAATATATAAATATATATGTATATGTAACTGAGTGCAAGTTTTGTCGCGTATATATTTATGCCTATTATATGCAAATATGCAAGTGTATTTTATAGCATATGAAGTGTGTGTCATTTACATTTGGATTTCTTTTGTCGCATCTAGGACATGAAAAAAAAACCAACGACCGCGACAATTGATCTCAACATGGTTGCATCTGACATCTGGGTTAATAACCTTTAACATCCACCTCAGGAGACGTCAGTGATTGTAATGTAACGCTAGTGATAGAGGGATTTAGCCTCGTTCTTGAATAAATATATTCTGTGATATTTGCTATGGTGAACAAAACAAGTGTAATTTGTGTAACTTGATTTTCCAATACCGCCAATTTGTCAAATATCTTTCAACTCCAATATGTCGAGAGTCGAGAGTATTCTAACTGGTCTGTAAAAACAGTATAAACAGACACATTAAACATCCCACTAAATCAGAGTGATTTTTTGCTGTATATCTTTTTTTTTTTCATTTTACATTTTTTAAAATCGATTTGTGGATGTTTATCTAACTGTCACGACAATCATTTAAATCATACGTCACCACTGACCCAGTAAACCCCGCCAAACTTTGTATCATAGAGCTTGATTTGATAAATCCCTTCAACAGTAGTCCTGTGTTTCCCATATTTACTATGTATCAACAATGTTACTCTTTGTCAACACATCTGCTTAATTTCAAAACAATTCCGAATATTTTCAATAAATAATTTCTCAAAATTAATTTTGTTGTTATTTATTTCAGTGTTCAATATCTTCACTTCGGTTTCTCTTTTATAACTGATACTTAACTACTTTTAATATAAGTAATTTTAAAACATTCAAATTTTGGCGGTCTTAACAAAACTTTGAAGCAAAAACCATTATACAAATATGTAAGTATTTGAAAACGGTATATCAAGTACGTGTACAATGTATTTCATAAACAAAAGATATAAAGATTTAACTGTTAAAACCCAAGATGGCTGTTTGTCAGTCTTGCACATCAAGGGACCGAGGGTAGTCTAAAAGGGGAAACTAAAGTAAATCACATCCTGTATTGTCAAGAAATAACAATTTTAAAACTTTTGATCTCGAAATCCGATGATCGCCTATTGGGCCGTTGGTTTTTCTGATCACTGTAAGTAATCTAAGGGAACTATGACAACAATAACAATAACAAACCATAACAGTCAAAGTCTTAGGTATCTGCCATATTTTATTTTTTATAAAAATTAGTCCCCAGATCGGAACAGATAAGACAAGGAATCATGGGAAATTTTATACCTTTTGAAAATTTCAATATTACATTGCAATCTAAGTTATAGCGTTAATTTTAATCTTAAAGTTTGTATGTTCCCGAGTTTAATATATACAATGTATATTTATATGTAGCATACACCACGGTTAGCCAAAGCCAAATACATCAAAGTCATAGCTGTTATTTTAGCACAGAATCCCTGATGGCCTTTTTAACTGTCGACAGTATGTTACTAACTGAAAAAAGGTGTTCATGTATCCTGATGTGCCATACCTCTTTGACAAAAGTCGTAACTTGTATCGATAGGTTTAACTGGAAGCATGTGCTAATTGGATGCCCGTTCACCTTAAATATGCTATTTATATTTTGCTTCTGAAAAAGATATTCAAATGTTAGTAAGGGTAATTTATTTTCTTTTCATCCTATTTTGGTGGATACCTTGGCCTTCCAAATCGTCCGGTGTGGGTGTGTCCAACCATAAAAACGGATGCAACCTTTTAAATGTTTACCTTCAAAAGCAAAGCTGTGTAAAGATAGGCGTTGTTCACGTCGTTATGAAAATAATATTCTCAGTGTATTTTTAAATAACGGCGAAAGGAATAGAGGAGCAAGATGGCTTGTCCCAACGTCAGATTACAGCAGACATTGAGGTATCTAATAGGTGATGTCAAGAGTGTGGAATCGTTTCCAAATGAACGGAAACTTTTTAGACGTCATGTTGGATGTCGTTCGGGGAAACAATGCAGCGTCCAGTCAGGTTTTTTGTTCGTGCAGACAAGGCGTCACTGGTCGCAGACTGGTACCTAGATGGCCACTGAGACAGGCCTAGAAACCGCCTTCTTGATGTTGGTTTCTATCAAAGTCACGAAGACCAACAATACGAGTTTCCTTAACTGTTCGCCACGCCAAAGCTGTGGCAGCGTTTACCTCTACTGGTGACTTCCTATGGTTTTGTATCGACTTCACCGACAGGCGCCTTACAGGTTGCGAGGAGGTAAAATTCTGGAATATCACAGATATGTCGAAGGTTCAATGATTGTGAGGAGAGGTATGAGCCTTGGTTGGAAAACTGACCGTTATATTAATCAGAACTATGACGGCCGGTATTGACTGCAATGAATTCCTTGATGTCTTTGTCAGCGAAGTATCCATAGCAAGAGACAAAAGCAGTATGTACGTTCCTATAAAGGCACTGCGCACGTTCTCACGATATACAATGCACCTTCACACAAGTCTTGCGCCATGCATGGCAAATATAGCACGGTTACTTATGTTCTTTCCAGCAGGATCTCTGAAATCGGGAGATCACTCAAATTTTGATCCATACGATCGGGACGCGGGGACGGGAAGTGAAAAATCGGGAAAGTTGCTAGGTATGCCATGAAACAGTAGCCAATATAAGCTCTAAATGGAACTTTTTTTCTAGTGTTCAGAATCAAGTAGAAGTCACAGTTACCCACATTAGCAAAGGACTCATTATTGTACCTTACTTCACCAAGTTTTAGAGTCATGCAGTGACCAGGATATACTCTGGTAACCTGTACTGCGTCTTTACTATCATTTACAGTCAAAGAAGAGGTGCCGTGACCTAATTTGTGTACACGACACACTACCATATATACCTACTACACGAATTGGTTGTTGTTGAGGAAATGACGAGAATGGGTCAAGAATGGACACCTGAGCAACACCTCACCATTTCACTTCATCTGCAACGGTCAGCAATCTGGTCTGGAGTCGGACATCAATATTTCAATGGACAGAGGTTTTAAAAAGGAAATTCTGATTGGTCACAACAGCATTAGAAGACATATGAATAAATATTTCCTGGTATATCACAAAAATCTACAATTATCATCATTTCTGGTACTCGCACACGGGAAAAATAGTTATCAAATTACATATATATTGAACATACAAGCGATGGTGAAGTGTAGATTTTTATTGAACGTACCAGCGATGGTGTAGCTTAGAAGTCTTGAGATTCTGAAGAGTATTTTAAAACAACTCACAACAAACATTTCACAGGTTTATTTAAAACATATTCAGCAAAGTTAAACAAACGAACCGTAAAGTCCCCAGACTTCTGGACAACAGAAGCAAACCTACAAAAATCACGTGATTAAGTTTTGACCAATAGGAGAACGGGTCATTAAAAATGAAGTCAGATTAAAGGAAAATAAACAAGATGTCCAGTGGGCTTGTATGACTCACAAGGATATAGAAAGTAAATCTATTGAAAACATTCTCAATAAATCACATCTGTGATAGGTCGTGTGTAAATGATTTACATACATGTAAAGTCAGTGAGTATTAAAAATGATTAACACTGCTATTAAACACAACATTGCTGAGAGGGATTTCTCTTAAAAGTCTGCTTTTCCAGTTAATACTGCCTTTTTAACATGTTATCCTTGTGACCTTTATGTAGGTCAAGGCCATTCATACTAGTATGAGGAAATTTTTAAAGCATTTCATTCCAGGTACCATATACATGTTTGAGGATCTTGGGTTTCCTAGAATAGGTGTAAAAAATGTTTGACCCCTGTGACATTAACAGTAAGTTGTCCAATGTTATCTATAGAGAACAATTTGAAGTACTCATTCTGAGGAACCAGTTGACCAACAATTGAGACACAGCTGTTTATATAGTGTTCTAGAAGTTAAAATTGGAAAAATGGACGACAGAAGCTACATTTTACTATAAGCTCATGTGGCTTTGTATCATGTGACCAAAAGACCTTTGTATCATGTGACCAAAAGACCTTTGTATCATGTGACCGAAAGACGAGATTGCTGAGGAGAAAAACACTTTTTGTTTCCTGTGCTGATCAAGTTTGAACTTTTCTTACAGTTTTATTACTCTTTGGTAATTTGCTGTTTAGTATATTGAGAATATCATACATTACATTCATTAACAGTAAATGTCATTTTCTGTATTTTGATGATGAAATAAAATTGTGAAAATAAAACTAGCAGAGAAAATGGTAGCTGACATACATGAAAAAATGAAAAAAAAATTACAGCAAGATCGATTCCCTAAAGTTATGCATTGTAGAAATATCATTATGAAGTGATTTCTAGGGCAAATATAACAAATGATGATAAAAATATAAAGAGTGGTATGACAAACACAACCTTATTTCTTAACGAATCAAACAATGTTGATGCAAACAGAATTAAATAACTGCCAATAATGACCAGACCAATGAACAACAGCCGTCAATGACTCGAAAGATATCCTCTTGTCAATCATATATAACATGACCTATTTAATCACCCGAATTTCATAGCCTTTGATCAATATTATAAAAATAATAATTCATTTTTAACATTTCAAAATAATCCATGTTACAGGTGTAGCCTCTTAATAAATGTGATAACTACAATAAGAAAATTAATCAGCAGATGTGATGACAAAATCTCCTTTTGTCCAGGATTTTGCAGGATTGTGATATGATTGTTGATCTACAGATTAGAGACACTTAATATTACAGGACCACATTGGTACAATAGTTGTGAAAATGCTGTACAAACTTTGTGATTTGGATTTGTCTTGGACTTGGGCCGAAAAAATTATCGGCTTTCAGCCTTTCTGTCTCATCGATGTCAAAGTTCAAACAAAGAAGAATCGCCATTTGACGAAGCTGTTCAACAGTGAAATGATATCAAAAGTCTGTATGGATGTTTGAGGCTTTCACATGTCAACAGTATCTGACCAGAAATGTTTGGTGAAACACACATATATATTATGTACATCAATTTGGTGCTACCTAGTGAACAGTAAGTCTGGTAAGTGGTGTTCACAACGGAGTTGTCATATACTGTTAGTGTAAGTACAGATGACAATAAGTACAGAGGCAATAACCTATGGCAGCCAAACTTGTTCAATCAGTTCACAAACATTGTAAAATCATTAGAAATTGCAGGGAAATAATTGTTTGGACACAAACTCAGCAATAAACAAAAATCATTGTGAAAAAATCACAAAATCATCACAAAATCATTGCGAAAGCATTAAAAAATGTTCAATCAATAAATCAATAGATTTGTTCTACATGCCAGATATTCTCAAGTCTTCATTATTCTAAATATATTTTATTTGTATAATTGTATCTACATCCCACGAAACAATAAAATATCTAACACACTCTTGTATACTTATATGTACAGTCCTTCTCAATACAACTCCATCAATCAATATAACACTTTTAAAACCATTTATGATATGAGAAACAGAATATCATACAACTCAAAAGAATATCACAACAAGCAACATCAGTGTCTTAACCTCTAAAATTTTCTATAAATATAAATGAGTATATTTAGTCACAGCAACATATTGTCCGAGATTGTAAGTTAGAGGATTAATATTCAGGAGATATCGATTTTGTACATTTTGTGGAACAAAAATACTGCAGAACAATAAATATTTGTGAGTAATTTTTTTTGTAATATTTGAGCAGTAATAAAAATTGATTGCTGCAAACATGCAATCTCCATGACACAATTATCATTAATTACAAGAAATGCAGAAATATGGAAATTTAACGCCAAAAAATTATCTTTATTTAGGTAGATAGTAAAATACTCAGTGTTTATAAAACAATAAAATATAATCTGTATATATCCCAGTTACTTATGTTTTTTTTTAATATGAATAAAAATTTTAAATAAACTGTCACTAATATGAAAAATTTACATTTTATTTAATTTTCATGTTGAACTTGGAGAGTTAAAATCAAGATGTAGAAGAATTGTCTTTTTCAATACATACTTTTAAAGTTGTTACATTCAAGTTATGTTTTATTTTTGAGTTCTGTTTTATATCTAAGTTCTATTTTTTTCCCATTTTTTCCTGGATAGAATAAAAAAATGCAAAAATAAATAATTTTAATTTGAAACTGACAGGAAAACCTATGGTTAATTTCATGACTTTGATGAAAACTACATCTTTTTTGTTTCAAGATTTTGGTAAAATGATGACCATCTGAATCATAAAACTATACAATTTTTTCTTCTACGGAGTGTTCTACCTTCAAAATTAATGACCCTGTTAAAAAACTCAAATACAAAATGCATTTCCTATGAATTTATCACAGATCACAGACCTAAATCCACTGATACCGACAGCTTTCTCAGTATGTTACAATACACCCGCTGGTCCTGAACATCACCTCTAACACAAAGTCAGGAGGCAGGGCTTATTACTGGACAATGCTATGATAACTAAATCTGTTGGGGTTTCTACTTAAACTACCACAGATATGGGTGGGCTTATTATCAGGCATGGGCTTACTGAGGAAACACATCGGTAAGATCAGTAATTATTTCTAATTTTACTAGTTAATGATTAATATACTCAACCTCTGTAACTACTGTAGAGTTACCTCCCTTGTGACAAAAGGTTTGATTTGGTTTCATAAGTGGTGAACTTCCAATTATTTAGAGGAACATATATAACACCTGTGATGAATTGATACAATGGAATCATTAATTGATAGGTGCATTTATGGAAATGTTTATCAGTTCACAGAAACAGTTCAGTGAGACAACCTGAAGAAACCGAATCACATATAGTGTTTATCAGTTCACAGAAACGGTTCAGTGAGACAATCTGAAGTAACAGAATCACAAGTGTGTTTATCAGTTCACAGAAACGGTTCAGTGAGACAATCTGAAGTAACAGAATCACAAGTGTGTTTATCAGTTCACAGAAACGGTTCAGTGAGACAACCTGAAGAAACAGAATCACAAGTGTATTTATCAGTTCACAGAAATGGTTCAGTGACACAACCTGAAGAAACAGAATCACAAGTGTTTATCATTTCACAGAAACGGTTCAGTGAGACAACCTGAAGAAACAGAATCACAAGTGTGTTTATCAGTTCACAGAAACAGTTCAGTGAGACAACCTGAAGAAACAGAATCACAAGTAGTGTTTATCAGTTCACAGAAACAGTTCAGTGAGACAACCTGAAGAAACAGAATCACAAGTGTGTATATCAGTTCACAGAAACGGTTCAGTGAGACAACCTGAAGTAACAGAATCACAAGTGTGTTTATCAGTTCACAGAAACGGTTCAGTGAGACAACCTGAAGAAACAGAATCACAAGTGTATTTATCAGTTCACAGAAATGGTTCAGTGACACAACCTGAAGAAACAGAATCACCAGTAGTGTTTATCAGTTCACAGAAACAGTTCAGTGAGACAACCTGAAGTAACAGAATCACAAGTGTGTTTATCTGTTCACAGAAACGGTTCAGTGAGACAACCTGAAGAAACCGAATCACATATAGTGTTTATCAGTTCACAGAAACGGTTCAGTGAGACAATCTGAAGTAACAGAATCACAAGTGTGTTTATCAGTTCACAGAAACAGTTCAGTGAGACAACCTGAAGAAACAGAATCACAAGTGTGTTTATCAGTTCAAAGAAACGGCTCAGTGAGACAACCTGAAGAAACAGAATCACAAGTGTGTTCATCAGTTCAAAGAAATGGTTCAGTGACACAACCTGAAGAAACAGAATCACCAGTAGTGTTTATCAGTTCACAGAAACAGTTCAGTGAGACAACCTGAAGTAACAGAATCACAAGTGTGTTTATCAGTTCACAGAAACGGTTCAGTGAGACAACCTGAAGAAACAGAATCACAAGTGAGTTCATCAGTTCACAGAAACGGTTCAGTGAGACAACCTGAAGAAACAGAATCACAAGTGAGTTCATCAGTTCACAGAAACGGTTCAGTGAGACAACCTGAAGAAACAGAATCACAAGTGAGTTCATCAGTTCAAAGAAATGGTTCAGTGACACAACCTGAAGAAACAGAATCACAAGTGAGTTCATCAGTTCAAAGAAATGGTTCAGTGAGACAACCTGAAGAAACAGAATCACAAGTGAGTTCATCAGTTCAAAGAAATGGTTCAGTGACACAACCTGAAGAAACAGAATCACAAGTGTGTTTATCAGTTCACAGAAACAGTTCAGTGAGACAACCTGAAGAAACAGAATCACAAGTGTGTTCATCAGTTCACAGAAACAGTTCAGTGAGACAACCTGAAGAAACAGAATCACAAGTGTGTTTATCAGTTCACAGAACTGGGGAGGTTTCGTAAAATAAATCTAATATCAACCCAATACAACTGAACAACATGACTGTGTAACAGAAATACTACATTTCAATTTATTTATAAATAGTCTTTTTAAGTTAGTGCAGCCTAAGGTATGCATGTGATATTAAGCAAAATAATGAACATGAAAATTATTGAAACTTCAAAGGTAACATTTTGTTCAGTTAAAGCGAGCAAACAAATTTTATTGTTGCAAAGAAGGATCTCAAATGTCTCTACCCTCTATTCTAAAGGGGATATGATTAAGTATTTTGGGAAATCTCATCTCTATATTTCTCTGTCCTAAAAGGGACATGATAAGTGTTTTTTGGAAATTTCATCTCTGTATTTCTCTGTCCTAAAAGGGACATAATACGTATTTTGGGAAATTTCATCTCTGTATTTCTCTGTCCTGAAAGGGACATAATACGTATTTTGGGAAATTTCATCTCTGTATTTCTCTGTCCTGAAAGGGACATAATACGTATTTTGGGAAATCTCATCTCTGTATTTCTCTGTCCTGAAAGGGACATAATACGTATTTTGGGAAATTTCATCTCTATATTTCTTTGTCCTTGAGGGGATATGGTTAAGTGTTTTGGGAAATCTCATCTCTATATTTCTCTGTCCTGGAGGGGACATGATAAGTGTTTTGGGAAATCTCATCTCTATATTTCTCTGTCCTGGAGGGGACATGATAAGTGTTTTGGGAAATCTCATCTCTATATTTCTCTGTCCTAAATGGAAGTATGGTGATATTTTTGGGATGATTTTTATTTTCTATCTAAGATTGCAGCAGCATTAGTGATTCAAACAAATCAATCTTTCATCTGTTTGAATAGAATCCTAAAATGGTCCAGGATTAAATATTAAATAAATCCATCAATTTTTAGCCTGAGTAGTTTCTGGACAAAATATTAGTAAAAAGCAAATGCCACAACAGAGTAATTCCTGATCACTTTGTCAAACCCAGTGGCCAAAATCACTGGTCAAAACCCAGTGGCCAAAATCACTGGTCAAAACCCTGTGGCCAAAATCACTGGTGAAAAACCCAGTGGCCAAAATCACTGGTCAAAACCCAGTGGCCAAAATCACTGGTCAAAACCCAGTGGCCAGACACACTGGTCGATCCCAGTGGCCAAAATCATTGGTCAATCCCAGTGGCCAAAATCATTGGTCAATCCCAGTGGCAAAAAATATCATTGGTCAAAACCTGGTGGACAAAATCACTGGTCAATCCCAGTGGCCAAACTCACTGGTCTAAAGTCAGCAGCTCATATCACTGGTCAAAACTCAGTGGCCAAAAATCAAAATCTGTCTCAATAACCTACTACAAGATACCAATGAGTCCACATTTCTGTTCTTCATTCGCTTTTCTTGATATCTTCTCGTTTCTTTGGTGGGCTGATGAAAGTGAAGTAGACAAGTGTCACAGCTGTAAAGATGTGAATGTAAAATCCAACCGATCTGAAAAAAATCACAATTTTTTATTTCATTAAAACATGATTAAACCCTGTTGTATTACTTTAAATTCAATAGGAGGACAGAAAAACATGATTTCTACAGGATTGGCGGTAAAACAGAGAAAAAATTCCTTCCAGATTGAGTTTATTATTCAGAGACCTAAAAATCGTTTTTTCATTTGATATAAAGGATCAATGCTTTTTAGTGACGCACAGAAATATAACCTATCCCATGTCATACATGAAGGGCATTTAACAGTTTCCTATTGAATTTCATCATTAATCATTTTTTTTCAGATATTTGACAGATATTAATTTTTCTGTCATACAATATAATATTAAATGAGCACATTCAACAGTTTTTTTTTTTTATTAGTAACCTTTATGAAAGAATTTGCAAACTAAAACATGAAACTAATCTATGTTCAATTTACAAGAGGCCCATGGGCCATAACTGTCACCTAACATGCTCTCATGGTTATCGAGGAGAATATGTTTAAATGATTTTCATGTATTTGACACCTATGACCTTGATTTAAGGTCATTCATTTGAACGAACTTGGTAGCCCTTTATTCCAGCACGCTACAAAGCCAATATAAAGTCCCTGGACCTCTTGGTTATAGAGAAAATGTTTTTTGAAGATTTTAGCATATTTGACCCCTGTGACCTTGAATAAAGGTCAAGGTCATTCATTTGAACAAACATTATAGCCCTTCATAGCAGTATGCTACTAGCCCAATATCATGTAATTGGGTTTTTTGGTTATTGAGAAGTCGTTAAAAGATTTTAACATGTTTGACCCCTTGATAGACGGTCAACGTCATTCATTTGAACAAACTTGGTAGCCTTTCATCTGAGCATGCTACTGGCTCAAAACCATGACCCTGGGCCTCTTGAGAAGAAGTCAAAAATGTAAACTGCTTACAATGCACCACAGACAATGCAGGACAAAAAGTCATAGCAATAGGTCACTTGAGACTTTGTCTCTATTTCTTTTCTCAATTTTCTATTCTTTGATGCCAGAAAGTTATGAAGTTAAGTTTGAGAAAAAGAGTGATATTATGAATTGGTTACAATATGCAGTATCCTAGAGTTTTATATAGTGCTCTATTAGTGTCTGCTGCAAAAAAGTTATCTAAAATGAGTGTAAAGAAAACCGTGTCCACAACAAAGATTTGGAGAAAAATCCACTTTTTCAACTTTTTAAACACCAATCAATGCAAAAACTGAAAGAACCATTCTGATTGGTCAAAACTAAAAATGTAATACCATCACTGGATATAAAAGGTACTAGTTAACCATCAGACTTCTTATATCAACTCAGTATAAATGATAGTCTTCGCTAAGGCTTGTTTCCAAGGTATTTACGACTTACATCAACAGTCTAAGGCTGGCTGATAGGGACAGAAGACAAAACGATGAGGCCAGGTAAACGTTGGCCATCCTTGTAGCAGCAAATGTTATACAGTCATAGAAAAACTTCATCTGTTCCGTTTTTTGGAAATACGGGCGAATGTTTCTCCGCACCTGTAAAACAACGAAAATTAAAAACCATGCTAGTAGAAGGCAATACTATGTTTCTGATAGTATACAGCATCTATTGTGTATTTCCACAGAAATACGCGATACAAATTCCAGCAGTAGCCAATCACAGACACTTGCGCAACAATGTATTCCACCCATAATGCAATGCACAATACACAACTTTTGGTTATACTAAATACTTGTATCTGACAACAAGTATCAAGATATGAATATCAATATTACATCACAGACAAGACAATTCTTCATTTGATATAATGATGATAATGTTTGCTTAAAAAAATCACAAGAGGAGTACCCTAATAAATTTATTTACAGCGAAATAATGAAAGATATTTCAAAACGTTTTCTACAGGCCCATAATGTCACTAAAAATAGAACTTCTAACAGAACTGTTTGACTATTGAACTCCAAAAATTAAAACAAATATAAGATCCAGTAGGAGCTCTTCAATTCAAGTGTTAGGTCCCTTTAATGACTGGAAATTAGCAAAGCCATATGATGTTATGGCTTTGTATATTTAATAACAGCATTAGCTTTTTTTCATTTTATATATCTATTGTTTACTGGTTGGATCAGGTTACTTCAAGGGGATTAAATTTCATGGAATACCTCCTCCCCTGCATTAAGTAGTAAACAGCACAGCATGTCAATAATCCCCGAGATTAAAAGCAGAAATAGTTACTGGATCTTTTATTTGATTCTATCTTTAATGATTGTGAATATTTAGTAAAATTAAATACAATTTATCAACAATGGTCTATAAAATAAAGAAATATTTTGTATTGTAACAGATTTAACACTAAGATATAAGTAATTATCAACAACTCTAGAGAGCTGTAAGGGATGTATATATATAGTTCTCAATCTGACAATTCTGTAAAATCATGTATTTTCATGGGACTTCATTTTTGTGGTTTTCCAAAAATCCACAAAAAATAATGATTTTACACTACACTAAAAATATTGGTCACATTTCCAAACAAGGATAAATCCTGTTATACATACCTGTCTAGTCGCAAGAATGACGAAAGCTGTGGTGACGAATGTGAGGTAATAGCCAGGATAGAATCCATGCCACCATGCGCTCACAACAAAAACACACACAGTGTTATACGCCTTTGGCGTACGGTCATACACAACCCGGCGTAACCAAATCAGTGTCTGGATATTCCACGTATCAATGTTAACTTTCAGGCTTGTGGCCGTCTACAATGAAATGGACGTGGAATACAATCTATTGCACAATAATGGATGAAGGACAGGCTTTTCTGACAGGTAACAAATAATATTACAGGACTGGTTTCTTTTCAGACAAGTCACCTACTGTCACAAAACATTAAATGAAATCTCCTTACCAAATGTTCCCCAAGTTATCTATCTTTGTCCTTTAATACAATACTGTAAACCAGTTTATTAATGGCTATTAATTTTCATCACTATTTATTTTCATGATTTTATCCTCCTAGACGTCTCAGCGGTGTGTTTTAATGAATATGCTTTAATCAGCTAGAACATACCTCTAATTTCCATATATGGAGATTGTTCAGTAAGTCCCACTTTTCCTTGCCATTTTCATCATAACCATTGAATCCAAGTCCTGCACTTTGGTTTGTCAGCTCTCCTGTAACAAAATCAGATAAAAAGGACCAATTTAAAATAACACAGAAGAAGCAAGAGAGTCATTGCCCTAAATGATCATCTGACAATCGACGAATGGACAGAGAGTGGTCTGACAAATCTGATGAATTCAAATTAAAACATTCCTTGAAATTATCGGAAACTCATAAATGATAAGTTCTGTTCATAAAAAACACTTGTGTAATCAGGTTATAAAATGGTTACTGTGGTTACCAAGTCTAAGAAAGCTGAAATAAGAACATATCATCTGTTTCTTTTTCTTTACAAATTAAACTTCAGTGGTGTGAATGAAACTTAAGAAGTAGTTCAGAATATTTGTTCAATATGAGTTAAGTTGGATTTAAGACCAAGGTTGACAAATAAGATTTGATCAGGACAATCTCGGGATCACTTCATGCATGTTTGATATCATTGTTATTCCTGCATAATGTTTTGGACCAACTTTTGTGAAATCTATCTTGGCATTAAGAAGGATTAGTGTTTTGAAGCAAAGTATTGTCAAACTTCCCCAACTGGGGTTGTGTCCCTCGAGGTCGAATCAGCTTTGTGAATTTAGAAATAATTGCCCACTCACAATGATGTTTCAGACCAAATTTTGTGGAAATCCATTAAAGCATTAAGGAAAAGAAGTGCTTTGAAGCATCTTGACCACTTGGGTCAGTTGACCTAAAAATCTTATAATATCACGTATCTGGAAATGAGATAAGTAAGGCCTGTACTACTCTCTTTGTTTTAAAAGAATCCTTGAATGTCATCGCTTCTTTCCTGTTTGTATCCAGGTCTCCAGAAATACAACGTCTTACGTTATTGAAATGTTGCAGGTTTTTTTCTTTTGCGACATACCTAGTTTCCAGGCGAAGTAGTATTTTGCTCGGACCAGTGACACACAGATGAGTAAGTACAGATTACGGTATAAGATATTTGTGTCGTACAGGAACTCGTCCTCTGTAAAACAGTAAGAAAATGCGGACAAGTTAATAAAAAGATAATGACAGCTCAAAATGGAGGACACATGGGTAAAACAGGAACAAATCAAAGATTCACACAAATACCATTAAAATACAAGGAAGTTAGACGTCAAATCCTGGTCAGTAATGTTACACCCTCAAACCACAAGAACATAAATAACGATGAAACTACATGACAAATTATCAGGAATTGAGGAATGAGATATTTCCCAGTGAAATCATCGTACAATTATATCATAAAAAATCAGATAATGGCATAAGACAAAAACAAAATCAAGATAAAATATTCAGATATATCTAAGATAATCTTCACAATATTTGTTTAAATACAAGAGGTCCATCTGGCCTGTATCATTCATCATTTATTAATGTCTTGTAATTAAATCTTTACGTTGTAAACATAAATCAATATCATGATCCAGGGTTTCTTTGACCTTACTTTGACCTTACAAGTCTATCAAGGTCACAGGTCAAACATCATGACTCATGTCCTCCTAGAACCTTAAAACTGAGCTAATGTCATACCATAACCCATGACTGCCTAGGACCTTGAAAGTCATTATTTTGAAAAAATATTTATAATCACTTATCATTGCATACTACTTGACTAATATATCCAAAAAATATGGAAATTATTTCTAAAGATCTTAAGAATTTGGATTCCTGTTTGATCATTAAATGCTGTCACAAAAAATCATTTACAGAAACATGATCTCTTCATCCCAGCATATTACTGTCCCACCAGCATATTACTGTCCCAGCATCATGGCCCTGTATCTCTTAGTGAAAAGTTGTCAACTTAGACTTCATACTCAGTTTTTCACCTGTTCTGTCGATAACTTATTTGATTTGTCATCTGTTCCTTTGATAATTTACTCAGTTTATCACCTTTCTGTTGATAACTTGTTAGATTTTTCAACTTTGCCTGTGATAATTTACTCAACTTTTCATCTGTTACCTTGATACTTTACATCATTTTTCATGTGTTCTGTTGACAATATACTTGGTTTTTTACCTATTCTGTAGATAATTTTCATCTATTCTGTATTCTGTTCTGTATAATCTACTCAGTTTTTCCTCTGTTACTTTGATAATCTACTCAGTTTTTCCTCGGTTTCTTTGATAATCTACTCAGTTTTTCCTCGGTTTCTTTGCTAATCTACTCAGTTTTTCCTCTGTTTCTTTGATAATCTACTCAGTTTTTCCTCTGTTTCTTTGATAATCTACTCAGTTTTTCCTCTGTTTCTTTGATAATCTACTCAGTTTTTCCTCTGTTTCTTTGATAATCTACTCAGTTTTCCCTCTATTTCTTTGATAATCTACTCAGTTTTTCCTCGGTTTCTTTGATAATCTACTCAGTTTTTCCTCGGTTTCTTTGCTAATCTACTCAGTTTTTCCTCTGTTTCTTTGATAATCTACTCAGTTTTTCCTTGGTTTCTTTGCTAATCTACTCAGTTTTTCCTCTGTTTCTTTGATAATCTACTCAGTTTTTCCTCGGTTTCTTTGCTAATCTACTCAGTTTTTCCTCTTTTTCTTTGATAATCTAATCAGTTTTTCCTCGGTTTCTTTGATAATCTACTCAGTTTTTCCTCTGTTTCTTTGCTAATCTACTAAGTTTTTCCTCTGTTTCTGTGCTAATCTACTCAGTTTTTCCTCTGTTTCTTTGATAATCTACTCAGTTTTTCCTCTGTTTCTTTGCTAATCTACTCAGTTTTTCCCCTGTTTCTTTGATAATCTACTCAGTTTTTTCTGTTTCTTTGATAATCTACTCAGTTTTTCCTCTGTTTCTTTGCTAATCTACTCAGTTTTTCCCCTGTTTCTTTGATAATCTACTCAGTTTTTCCTCGGTTTCTTTGCTAATCTACTCAGTTTTTCCTCTGTTAATTTGCTAATCTACTCAGTTTTTCCACTGTTACTTTGCTAATCTACTCAGTTTTTCCTTAGTTTCTTTGATAATCTACTCAGTTTTTCCTCTATATCTTTGCTAATCTACTCAGTTTTTTTCTGTTTCTTTGCTAATCTACTCAGTTTTTCCTCTGTTTCTTTGCTAATCTACTCAGTTTTTCCTCTGTTTCTTTGCTAATCTACTCAGTTTTTCCCCTGTTTCTTTGATAATCTACTCAGTTTTTTCTGTTTCTTTGATAATCTACTCAGTTTTTCCCCTGTTTCTTTGCTAATCTACTCAGTTTTTCCTCTGTTTCTTTGATAATCTACTCAGTTTTTCCTCTGTTTCTTTGCTAATCTACTCAGTTTTTCCCCTGTTTCTTTGCTAATCTACTCAGTTTTTCCCCTGTTTCTTTGATAATCTACTCAGATTTTCCTCTGATTCTTTGATAATCTACTCAGTTTTTCCTCTGTTTCTTTGCTAATCTACTCAGTTTTTCCTCTGTTACTTTGCTAATCTACTCAGTTTTTCCACTGTTACTTTGATAATCTACTCAGTTTTTCCTCTGTTACTTTGCTAATCTACTCAGTTTTTCCTCGGTTTCTTTGATAATCTACTCAGTTTTTCCTCTGTTTCTTTGATAATCTACTCAGTTTTTTCTGTTTCTTTGATAATCTACTCAGTTTTTCCTCTGTATCTTTGCTAATCTACTCAGTTTTTTCTCTGTTTCTTTGATAATCTACTCAGTTTTTCCTCGGTTTCTTTGCTAATCTACTCAGTTTTCCCTCTGTTTCTTTGCTAATCTACTCAGTTTTCCTCTGTTTCTTTGCTAATCTACTCAGTTTTTCCTTTGTATCTTTGATAATCTACTCAGTTTTTCCTTGGTTTCTTTGATAATCTACTCAGTTTTTCCTCTGTTTCTTTGCTAATCTACTCAGTTTTCCTCTGTTTCTTTGCTAATCTGCTTGGTTTTTCCTCTGTTTCTTTGATAATCTACTCAGTTTTTCCTCGGTTTCTTTGATAATCTACTCAGTTTTTCCTCTGTTTCTTTGTTACTTTTTCTTTTGATTATTCATTCTGATCTTTTGCTTGTTTTTTTTCCAGCTCCGTTGATACTATGATGCTTACCTGTCATCCTTGACACGGGGAAGAAGATAGGGCTCAGTAACATCAGGATTCCACAAACTGCCACAATCAGACCAGTCTCCTTCATTGCCGACTACACACAAACAAAATAACCATTAGGTTACACCAATTTTTGAAAATTTTCAATGCTATTTGTAAGACAGCCATAGCTATGATGAAACACAGGTGCCTATAAGTCCCGATTTCTTAAATCTTTAATTACCCATAATTTTTATCAATCTATCAGAAGCAACATGACCATGAAAATAAAATACTACTGAGAAATACATGTCTTAAGGTAATAACAATTTTCATGAAAGAAATCACAGCAGACCACACAGTGGCTATACTGCTTTTTCATATCTGTTTATAAAAGGGAAACTTTTATGATTTGAGAAGGACCTTACAGTGCTCTGTGAGAAACATCACTGGGTTATTTACAAATACAGGGTGATCCATTAATTCTGTTACCATTTCAAATCTTGATAATTTTTTTTATCCTGAAGGTGCATTGTTCTGTGAAGTTTCATTTTAACTTCTATGTGCATAGTTTTATAAAATGTAGTTGGCTGGATCACAGAATGATAATTTGATATGGCCACTATTTGTTAGAATTATTTTCTCCTCTATTTCCTCTTTAGTTTTATTTCCTGATGAATAATGAACTGGTCCAGATTTACAGTTCTGATTAATTACAATTTTCCTGGTATAAAATATTTCCTGTTTGTCAATTTATCAACACTGAGATCAATTTCCTGAAGGAGTAATTGTAAATTAGAATTTTATTGAAATCAGGTGACATAATCTGACCACAATGTACTTGAAGGGTAATGATATGCACCACCATAATTATCAGACAGGGAAGTAATATCGATGGCAGGAAGGCTCACTTCCCTATTCCCTATAGTTTTAAAAAGTATTTTAAAAGTTCAGTTTTAATTAAAAAAAAAAGTGTTATGTGAAAATTATGGAAAAGTCACTGGTAATTTTACAAAAAGTGAAAAACTTTTTTCAAAGTTGCACACAACTGAAATTATATTTGGTTAAAATTGTTACTTTCCTACAGAAGTAGTTGGATTTTAAATACTCAACTCTATTACAAGCATTTTAAAAGTTCAATTTTAATTAATTGAAATATCTTAATCTCAACTAGAGAAGAAGATTTAAAGCCTGACTTACTCCACTATCATTTCTTGTTCCTTAGACCTCAGGAGCCTACATACACCATTTATACAAAATTAGTTCCCCTATACTTATTCATGTTCATGGTAAAATCCAGTCAAAATCAGACATCCCTATTTTCTAAATGTTCAATAAATTCAAAAACATTTAGAAGAAATATAGAACTATATTTTCTGACCACAAATGATAACTATTCACTTCATATCAATGAAAAGGTCTGAAAGGGAAAAAAGCCTCTAAGTTTGTGTCACTTTATCAAGTATTTACCTCAGGATTAGGTGTAGGTCTTTCTGTCTCATGATTATTGACCTAAAAAAGATGAATAAAAGCACAGATTATTTGAAATTTCAAAGCAAAGCACTTTCTCATTGTGTGCTTTAGTTATGTTGCCTGAATACAGGAGAGATACAATAATACTATATGTATCCCTTCATTACCAGGTTACATAACACAAGAAGGATTAGATAAATAAAGAGTAAATTTAAGTGATCTAGATATCTTCATAATTTTGTATCACATTTTTTAGAATTTGAACTTTAAATGAAGAACATGAGGACTGTGATTAGAATATAATGAACTTACTGCTTTTGATTCTGCAACTTTGTAATTTTCACCGTTTATAAAATGGATGTAATCAGCATAAAAGCAGAGAGGTCCAGCCATGAGACCATGGAAACAGAAGATGTAGCTAAAATAGGACAGGGCATCTGGAGTTTTTCTGTCAACATCAAAGATAATCTATAAATATCAAAGATTGTCTATAAATATCAAACATAATCTATAAATATCAAAGATAATCTATAAATATCAAAGATAATCTATAAATATCAAAGATAATCTATAAATATCAAAGATAATCTATAAATATCAAAGATAATCTATAAATATCAAACATTGAATCTTAAAGGAGATTTCACTCATATGAGATATAAGGAAATGCCTCTTAGAAGCTTGGCCTTGGCAAATCAAAAATCAAAACATTGAGATGTGTTTCATCAAATCTTACACTGAATGAAAACAAAATTATGATACGTTATTACCTACCTCAGAAAAGTTACATTTTGACAAGTTTTTAAGTAAAAATGTGCAGGAGAAAATCTAATGGTGGCAGATATTTTGTTGCACCAATTTCTCTTCCTGACAAAATATCATTTTCCATGTGACACCAAAATTAACTTCTAATTGCCACTGAAAATTGTTCCTGGGTAAATTATACTAGAGACAGATGCAAAAATATAACACAGGTGAATCTGGTTTTTAATTCATTTTTGTATCAGGTTTCATGTGATCATTACAGTAAACCTGACACCCTACTGATAGCACCAGTATTCACAAGACAACCATTACAGATACCTACTTAATGCACATCTTTTTCTGGTCCTCAGACAATTTCTCTTCCTCTTTCTCTGTTCCATCATGTAGAGCAAATGCCACACTGGTACATTTCTGTGTCATCAACATCAAGGGTCTGTACCAACAACAAAGTCATAAAACTGTTGAGGTCAAGGTAGCTTCAATAACCTTTGGAGTTATCTGCCCTTGTGAGCAGGAACTAATTATTACATTAGTTTGAATGAGAAAATTATGTCATTTTCTCACAAACAAATGAGGTTACAATCAATATCTGCTAACAAGAGCAGATAACTCTGCATCGTGGAAAGACAGAATAAGGACCCTGACAACATTGTGCTCTTCCAAAGCACTCTGATAAAACATTGGTGACCAGATTCACATCATGTTTTGTAATTAATGTCACAACATGTATTTGTTTAATTGTCCTCACTAGGATTCGAACCTGGTACCTCTGGTTTACTAGTATTATGCTCAACAGATTGAGCTAAAGAGAAAATCTATCTTGCCATGTGGTACATTGCACCTAGTATTTTATCTGTGTTACAATCGGCTAAATTATCCTCCCCAGAAATTGGTCATTACAAAAATCAATTAAAATGAATAGAATTTACCCTTTCGTATCATAACAAAATTTCTACCATGAAAATATTTTTTCCGAATTTCACTTCTCCCATTTAAACCTATACATTCCATGACTTTCACTGAGAAAAAATTAAGTGGGACTCAGAATCAAATTACTTACCCTGTCACATCAAGCGAAAAGCCAAAAAAGTCATAGTATAATCTGTATAAATGCATAACAGAAGTGTAGCCCATTGCCACAGCAAACACCATCTTATGAAATGAAGCCCTGGGTCCATACAACATCAGCAAATATGGTATGGCGGAGTAAAGGATCATGTGAATGATCTGGCTGAAAAAAAGAAGAAGATATTTTTACAATCAACAAAATCAGTCATAGAGCAAAAAGTAGCATGATCCATTTGTGTGGGGAAAAGCCTTGTGCACAACTTTACAAAACTTATCATCAGGTTGGAATAACTCAGTCCATATCACACAGAAGTGATTGATTCTTTTAGAATACCAGATATTTTCTGTACTTACACCTTAACAAACACATGGCCTCTAAGGCTTCCTCAATTTGGAAATTCAAGAGGCTAGGTAATTAACAAGCTAATTAAGAAATCACTTTTAAAAGAAAAGTCTGTTGTGAAGTTTGTTAACTTATCAGGTATACAAGATGTCTTTTCCTTTACAATGACTAAATACCAATGATTTTCTGAGTGTGATACTTACTACCCAAAACAGAAAAATGACAGGGCAAGGCCAAGGCATAGTTCTACAATGTGTCTCTGAGTGCTGTTCTCCAGTGATCCAGGAAGTCTCTTTCTCAATTGTATTGCACAGAAAAATGCTATTATATTGCAGGTGAGGTAGTTTACCTGTCAAATCAAATCACTAAAGTTTCAAAGTAATCAAAATTTTCTTACATCATCATTCTCTTCTAATTAACAGTACAGCAGCTAACTATAGGGCCAAGGCCAAAGAGAAATAATTCTGTTTGGTTATTTGGTGATAACTGTAGTGTATGTGTATATGAATTAATTTTTGCAAACCATAATAATATTCATCATAGCAATTGGACTACTTTTTGTGTACATGGTGCTCCCAGGTGCATGTACTTCACAACCTAAACCTCTTTTCAAAATGTACAATGTAATTCAACCTCATTTTTAATAACATGCACATAAATGTACAGGTACACAGATTATTCAAATGCTCTGAACTCTCGTTATGTTTTGATTACATCAGATATTTCATATTTATACCTTTAAAAATCATTTAAATAAATACTGGCACAACACAAGTTTTACCCCAGTTTTTTTATACTGCACAACCACAAAAACTGATTACTAGTATCAAGTGCATCATAATTAGCTGACATCAGCAAACCATTGATGCTTAAGAAGAGATAACTGGTAAATGTGAGGCAATCTTTGGCCTCCTCTTCAGTTTTGTGTATTTTCAATTTTTAGCAAATTTGACACTCATATTAGCGTGACCTTGTTGATTATTAAACAGTTAAGTTACTAAATTGTGAATGTGCAAATTATCGAAGCTTTTTAACACACTCAATTTCAAAATGTACAATTGTCACATAAACATCATACATGAATATGTTAGATATGTACACGTCATGGTTAATATCAGTGTTCATGGTGTTTTAATATTTGTTTTAATTTATTTACATATGGTAATGATTAAAACTGTCAGTTAATCAATCGAACACAGAAACGAACGTTTAATTATAAGACAAATCTAAACACCGTTAAGGTAATATTTCCTAGTCTGATTTTAACCACCACGACCACGAAGAACAAACCTGGTCAAGCGGTAACCCGGTAATATTAGACACCGGCTGAAGCAGCCCTGAGCCCTGATAAAATTGCCCAACGTGAACCATCGTTCATGTGTTCCTGGTTTGAGATTCACAAATTCTGTCAGTTACTCTCAGGTGAAGGTACATGTGCGTGGAGTAGGTAAAGGACAAATTATGCCTATTATTCAGACTTCAACCAATGGCGTTGTAAACAACGTTAGGGTTATATAAACGCTTTAATGAAGGAAAGTAGCTAACAGTGCATGACAAGCGTATGCGAGACTTATAGTGAAACAACAGGAACGATAACTCGTACAATATATGTTAGTCAAGAACGATGGAGGGCGATTTACGTTTATTTGAGCTAGCGAAATCTGAAGAGAGTCAAGGGAATCACGACAAGGCTTTGGAACTGTATTCATCTTTCATAGATTTCACAAGCAGGGACAACCAATCTGACAACAATGACTCTTTGTAAGTTGGTATAGCACTGAATTTAATAAGTTGTCCTACTTTCGCTTTGACACTGCTTGACCGATATCCTGAAGTCTGGGTCCATAGTCAAAGTACATCATGCTTTATTTAGATGAGTATAGAAGTTGAAACTTCGACCTTATATCATCATGTCTACTGTACTCTTAGAAATAGTAACCAGGCAGGGTGTTTATAAAGATAACAAACGGATCATTCGAAGCTGACAGACCCAGATTTAGAACCTTCTCTTGATCACGAGTGTAGGCTAACGCTTACACGAGTTGCCGATATACCTTTCACATGTACAGGTGATGGACATCACGTACACACTTTACAAGAATGCATGGCCAATAGTCGTGTATTAAACATATTGACCTCTGAACATAAAGGACTTTTGAGAGTTTAAGTACTTCCTGTATATTAAGTTATACTGAAAATCTAAATGTAATTATCTATAAAGAACTGTATTATTCAGCAGAACCAGATTTTCTATTTACATCTGAGCTGGCTATATAACCCACGTGATCTTGAAAGTGGATCAATTGAACAATTTATCCCAGGTTGTTACAGGCGTAATATCAGCACCCGAAGTCTTTTGGTTATTGAGAGGAAGTTGTTGGAAGATTTCAAAATAGTTTACCTCTGTGACTTTGAATGTGGTTCAAGGCCATTCATTTGAATTACCTTGAAGTCCTTCATCCCAATATGCTACAGGCCCACTATTAACACCCTGAGTGTTTTGGTTATCGAGAATTTGTTTTGATGGAAAAGTTGAGACCCGATTGATGGAAGGATGGCTGCTAGATGCTACACAACAGCATCAGCTCACTTAGCTTTTGGGCAAATGAGTTGTTAAATGACTGGAACAGATAGATGGGTAAAAGATGCAAGAATATTTGAATTGCCCTCTATCTGATGATATACAAAAAGTGATGAGCTGAAAACTAGTTATACTGTTTACCTTGTTTTTTTGTAGGAAACAGACACTCGCACTGGCCTATAACAACCGTGGTTACCTTCGATATTTACGTGTGGATTTTGATGAAGCTGTCGAGGATTTCACAAAAGGTATTAACCTTGATCCTGGTCTTGCTGTGGCTTATTACAACCGTGGCACCATTCACTACCGCCTTGGTAAGTAAAAGTCAAATGACAGACATATGTTTGTCTTTTATTGTACAGATAGGGTAACTGTATGTGTAACAATACATCTATTTTTAGCTCACATTACAGTATTCTCTGTTTGATGTCAGTCTGTTAGCTTGTGGTCTGGTGTAACGTTTCATTGTCTCTTATCAAACATCTTCTAGAAAACAGTAAGATCAGGAGTCCACATGTTTTGCCATCGTGTAACTGGAATCAAGTATTATATTTATATATAAGAATCTAGTAAGTAAAATTGAAGGTATGGTCCAATATATTGGTACTGGGTCCTAACAAATAAATGTTTATGTATGTCAGATGCATATTACTGTAATAGATATATGATCAATGAAGTAATAATGAAACAATGGAACAGTCAAGTTTTCGAGCAATCTGCCGCTTTTATTAAGATAAAAATATTACATAGATTACATCTCAGACATAGAACATAAAAAATACAAAATCATAAAGTTAAATTGAGAACGGTGGTGTACTGGGGTAAATAAATTTTGGTGTCTTGATAATCCCTTTCACCTGATGAACGCCAAATGCGCTTTTTAAGGGACCAAAAAACCATCCTAATTTGTTGTATTGGAGATGGTGATTAAAATATATCAATCTCGGTATGTTTCGTACTGTAGACACTGAACATATATGTCATTATGTATATATAATTGATATATTATATATCTAATATATTTTCCACATAAAAGTAATTTACTTTCATGGTTACCAAGATGAAATGAGTTAAAATCTTTGAAAAAATGGGTTATACCAAAAGAAATACATGTATGAGATAGGGAAAGATGGTAGTTCCATAGGGAAGCTACTATTTTTAAAAAAATAAGGTCAAAGGTCACTTTGAGTGCATGAACAGGTCAGATGATTGAAAACACCTGAAAAGGTCATATTAATGCAGGCTTAGGTAATCACAATGACACCAGTGTAACCCCTTTAGGCTGTCATAGTTCTTTTTTTTTTTTTTATTGGGGGAGGGGGGAAGTTTGCCATTACATTCCACACTGTAAACTAAACACACAATACACTTAAGAGAACTGGTTACAATGTTTCCTTAGTTGGCTGGTATATACAAGTGTGTTGTTACCAGTCCTAATCATTGATAGTTAACTGGATAGTTTGAGAGAAGTCCCCCCCCCCCCCAACCCCCACAACCAACCCCCACAAACCCCATACAGAAGAGAAAACCGAAAAAGGTGAATCAATATCAGTTATTGATACTTTATCAAATGTCTCTACTGTTTTTGGTCTTTGTCTGGCCTCTTCATGCCAATTATCTAATTAAACTTAAGATTGTTGTGATTTACCTCCCTTGATTCATCAGTACCATTCACACCTTCACATATTGAGACAATATTATAATTATTATTACATTCTTAACAGCCCGTCAACACATAAAAGGTCATTAGGCCATCATACGGTAAAACAAAAGAGCTGAGAATCTGTCAACATGTATTCACCAGATTAAAGATTATATCAATACCCGTATATAGGTCTGTTTCTTTTGTTTAATTATCTAAAAAGATGTACATTCTGGCACCATCCATGGTTGCTTAGTGTCACCAACTTTTTTCATTGTTCACTAGAAGATTGAACCTATATAGATCTATACCTACCTAATGTTTGTCTGTCTTTCAGGGAGGTTTGACACTGCGATTGCAGATATGAAAGCTTCCCTGATGAAAAATCCAGACTTTACAGAGGCAAAGACAGGACTGGAACATTGTTTAGCCGACAGACAGGAAAAGCTGGACAGACCATGGTGAAGCTGAAGAGAACTCTGTCAAGTTGGAAAGAACTTGGTGAAGTTGGACATAACTTGGCAAAGTTGGACACAACCTGGCAAAGTTGAACACAGCCTGGTGAAGTTGGACAGAACCAGGTCAAGTTGGACACAACCTGGCGAAGTTGGACACAACCTAGTGAAGTTGGACAGAACCAAGTCAAGTTGGAAAGAACCTGGTGAAGTTGGACAGAACCAGGTCAAGTTGGACACAACCTGGCAAAGTTGGACACAACCTGGTGAAGTTGGAAACAACCTGGCATAGTTAGACACAACCTGGCAATGTTGGACACTACCTGGTGAAGTTGGACACAACCTGGCAAAGTTGGACTCAACCTGACGAAGTTGGACGCAACCTTGCAAAGTTGGACACAACCTGGTGAAGTTAAACACAACCTGGCAAAGTTGGAAAGAACCTGGTGAAGTTGGACACAATCTGGTAAAGTTGGACACAACCTGGCAAAGTTGGACGCAATCTGGCAAAGTTAGACACAACCTGGCAAAGTTGGACAGAACCAGGTCAAGTTGGACACAATCTGGTAAAGTTGGACACAACCTGGCAAAGTTAGACACAACCTGGCAAAGTTAGACACAACCTGGCAAAGTTGGACACAACCTGGTGAAGCTGGACAGAATCTGTTAAAGGTGGACAGAACCTGATCAAGTTGGACACAATCTGTTAAAGGTGGACAGAACCTGTTAAAGTTGGACACAATCTGTTAAGGTGGACAGAACCTGGTCAAGTTGGACAGAACCTGGTCAAGCTGGACAGAACCTGATGGTCTCAGTAACTATATTCCATATAATGGCAAACTGTGTCTTATTTTCTGCCAAAACCAATTCATTATTTCCAGAGACGACAAGGAGAAAGCAGAGCTCACTAGAACAGTTTAGATTTGGTGCAGGTTATCCATTTTGGACACAAATTCAATTAGGTACAGGAAAGGCCAAAGAGTTCAGAGTGACAGAAACTGTTGTTGTATCAGTGAGGATATCTTATCTAACTAATTAAGCATGAATGTTTTCAGCGAAACCTACAAGTCAATACCTATCCCTGTGAATGAACTGATACACATCGGAGTGTTAGAAATAACCAAAGATCACAGACAGTGAAAGTCATCAAACAAGAGGGGCCTTTCATCATTGAATGTAACTAATAAAAAAGCTAGTCTAGCTAGCCGAAACATGTCAACCTAATAAAACTACCGATTACGGAATGCTCGGTGTTGATTCCTTCTTTATTGAGTGGTTAGTATCTATCATCTATGGAGCTCTGCTAGAATCATTGGGATCCACCTAGGATTCTTCTATCGATACATCTACCAACTAGTACCACTCACAGGACGTTGGACTCCTCCACCTCTTTTTATTTTCTCTAATAAAAAAGTTGTAAAAGGTGGTGTGACTCATTAAATACAGTCTCTTGTCACATGCTTCTTCAGCTCCGTTGGTAGAGTCATGGGTTATTAGTCCCCTGCCGGTGAAACCGGAGGGGACTATAGTGTTTGTCTCCATCTGTCCATCTGTCTGTCCGGATGTTGGTTTCCAGACGATAACTTGAGAACAGATAGATGGATTTGGATCAAATTTCATACAATGGTAGTTTATATGGCAATATAGTGTGGGATTTTGTTTGGGGTCAAAAGATCAACTACAAAGGTCACTGTTACTAAAAATAGAATCTTGTCACAATTTAGTTTTCAGACAATAATTTGAGAACGAATTGATGGATTTGATTGAAACTTGATACACTGGAAGCTTATGAGGTAATGATACAGTTTAATTAAAAATCCAACACATCAACTTGGTTCCATGTTAAATCTGTTATTCACAGATTACCAACATGTATCAACATTTAACATTCCAGTGTATTACTCGGACCACCATCTCATTTCAGCAGTCATCAAAATCTGAAATATTTCTGTGGTAACTGTCACCAATTCTCATAAACGTCTACTCATTTTATAGTCAGTCTTTTAAAACAGAGTAAGAATTGTTGTTTTATAAATAATAAAACAAGACACTTCTGATACAGAACAAGTTCTACATTACTTGAAAAAGTAATGTACTGCAATTAGATCATGGGGCCAACATATAAACTTGGATCCATAAGTAAAGGGTTAGCTTATTGCAAACAGTTAAGTAGCATTTGCTCCCATTTGCTTTACAACAGAACATTGGTGGGCTTATTAGCAGACATGGGCTTATTTGCTGATAAATATAATAATTTACAGCAGGGGACGCGTTGCATGCAACACTAACTGTAAGCTGGTTTGATTCTTGTTGTATCTCCCAGCAGGAATGCATTTTTCTGATTCTATTACAAAGTTCTGAAATACTATCATATGTAAAATCTCAAACTTATCAAAAAGCTATTATCCACAGCCAATATTTACCAAGCAAACTATTATCCAAGGCCAATATTTACCAAGCAGGTTATTATCCAAGGCCAATATTTACTACGCAAACTATTATCCAAGGCCAATATTTACCATGCAAACTATTATCCAAGGCCAGTATTTACCAAGCAGGTTATTATCCAAGGCCAATATTTACCAAGCAGGTTATTATCCAAGGCCAATATTTACCAAGCAAACTATTATCCAAGGCCAATATTTACCAAGCAGGTTATTATCCAAGGCCAATATTTACCAAGCAAATTATTATCCAAGGCCAATATTTACCAAGCAAATTATTATCCAAGGCCAATATTTACCAAGCAGGTTATTATCCAAGGCCAATATTTACTACGCAAACTATTATCCAAGGCCAATATTTACCATGCAAACTATTATCCAAGGCCAATATTTACCAAACCAGCTATTATCCAAGGCCAATATTTACCAAGCAGGTTACTATCCAAGGCCAATATTTACCAAGCAAGCTATTATTCAAGGCCAATATTTACCAAGCAAATTATTATCCAAGGCCAATATTTACCAAGCAGGTTATTATCCAAGGCCAATATTTACCAAGCAAATTATTATCCAAGGCCAATATTTACCAAGCAAATTATTATCCAAGGCCAATATTTACCAAGCAAATTATTATCCTAGGCCAATATTTACCAAGCAGGTTATTATCCAAGGCCAATATTTACCAAGCAGGTTACTATCCAAGGCCAATATTTACCAAGCAAGCTATTATTCAAGGCCAATATTTACCAAGCAAATTATTATCCAAGGCCAATATTTACCAAGCAGGTTATTATCCAAGGCCAATATTTACCAAGCAAATTATTATCCAAGGCCAATATTTACCAAGCAAATTATTATCCAAGGCCAATATTTACCAAGCAAATTATTATCCTAGGCCAATATTTACCAAGCAGGTTATTATCCAAGGCCAATATTTACTACGCAAACTATTATCCAAGGCCAATATTTACCACGCAAACTATTATCCAAGGCCAATATTTACCAAGCCAGCTATTATCCAAGGCCAATATTTACCAAGCAGGTTATTATCCAAGGCCAATATTTACCAAGCAGATTATTATCCAAGGCCAATATTTACCAATCAAATTATTATCCAAGGCCAATATTTACCAAGCAAGCTATTATCCAAGGCCAGTATTTACCAAGCAAGCTATTATCCAAGGCCAACATTTACGAAGCTAGCTATTATCTAAGGCCAGTAAAGTACTGTGAATGCCTCACTATTGTGTAGTTGCATTGCTATGGATAAACTTCAGAATAAAGAAGAGGTCTTGAACCTACCTCAGGGAGACCTAATATTCTTACATAGATAAGTATTTTCCCTTTCTCTGTTCCATTTTGTAGATAAACCTCTATCAGACAATATATACGGGATATCTAATGGTTTTGGATTTTGATGCATTTTTTTTTTTGAGTATGACTAACAAGTTGACTGTAAACATACATATGTTTCCGAGTATGACTAATAAGTTGACTGTAAACATACATATTTTTCCGAGTATGACTAACAAGTTGACTGTAAACATACATATTTTTCTGAGTATGACTAATAACTTGACTGTAAACATACATATTTTTCCGAGTATGACTAACAACTTGACTGTAAACATACATATTTTTCTGAGTATGATTAATAACTTGACTGTAAACATACATATTTTTCCGAGTATGACTAACAAATTGACTGTAAACATACATATTTTTCTGAGTATGACTAACAAGTTGACTGTAAACATACATATTTTTCCGAGTATGACTAACAACTTGACTGTAAACATACATATTTTTCCGAGTATGACTAACAACTTGACTGTAATCATACATATTTTTCCGAGTATGACTAACAACTTGACTGTAAACATACATATTTTTCCGAGTATGACTAACAACTTGACTGTAAACATTCATATTTTTCCGAGTATGACTAACAACTTGACTGTAAACATACATATTTTTCCGAGTATGACTAACAACTTGACTGTAAACATACATATTTTTCCGAGTATGACTAACAACTTGACTGTAAACATTCATATTTTTCCGAGTATGACTAACAACTTGACTGTAAACATTCATATTTTTCCGAGTATGACTAACAACTTGACTGTAAACATACATATTTTTCCGAGTATGACTAACAACTTGACTGTAATCATACATATTTTTCCGAGTATGACTAACAACTTGACTGTAAACATACATATTTTTCCGAGTATGACTAACAACTTGACTGTAAACATACATATTTTTCCGAGTATGACTAATAACTTGACTGTAAACATACATATTTTTCCGAGTATGACTAACAAGTTGACTGTAAACATACATATTTTTCTGAGTATGACTAATAAGTTGACTGTAAACATACATATTTTTCCGAGTATGACTAACAACTTGACTGTAAACATACATATTTTTCCGAGTATGACAAACAACTTGACTGTAAACATACATATTTTAGTGATTTTCACGATGACGATGATGAGCTAAAGTAAGATTGTATTGATTTCAACTTCTGTATGTCATCATTATAGAAATCATTGTTCATTAGAAATTCATAATTGCCTCTTATTTATTCAAAACTATTATTTAAATTTGATTGCACACTTTAAGTGTATTTACGATACATGTACTTAACAAGAGGCCCATAGGCCTTAATGGTCATCTATCATGACCTATATATGGAAGACGCAAAATAGGTCTAAATAAATTGCTCATCTTTTCTACAGCTTACATAGAAGATATTGTTCATTAAGACATATTCTGCAAACTTTAAATCATATTCTTATACATGCATTATACAATTGCCATTACTTGTACGTATAGCTTGTTGAAAAAGCAAGCAACAGGCCCAATATTAAGACCTTTGGCCTTTCATTTATTGAGAGGAAGTTTCTTAAGCATTTCAATGCATTTGACTCCTGTGACCTTGAACGTTTGTCCAGTATCTGCACCCTGGTCCTTTAAGTTACTGAGAAGAAGTCTTTATAAGCATTATAAAACTAGCATTTTGAAGCAAAATATTGTCTAATTTCCTCTTTAGGGGCCCGAACCTAAAGTAGTTAGGAGTCAGATCAACTTTCTTAATTTAAGAAATGATTCTCCACGTTAAATAATGTTTCAGACCAAATTTGATTGGAATCAGTTGAAGCATTTAAAAGGATTATAGCGTTTTGAAGTCCAATATGGTCCAATTTCGCCCTGCAGGTTGAATCAACTTTCTGAATTTAAAAAATAATTTCCTACCCTAAGTAATGAATCAGGCAAGCTTTTTGAAATCAATCCAGGCTGAAAGGAAGAGTAGGATTTTAAATTTAATTTTAGCACCTCCTCCTTTGAGGCCCTCAACCCCTAGGGGTAGAATCAAAGTTCTGAATTTAAGCAATGATTACCTTCACCCAATGATGCATCAGACCAAATTTTGTTGAAATCAATCCAGGTATGTAAAAGGAAAAAGAAAAGTTTCGTAAACTTTGTGAAGTACATCTGACGACGCACGAAGACGAAATAAACATATTGGCTATAGGTCATCTCAACCATTCAGGACAGATGACCTAAAAAAAGGAACCTGTATATGAAAATTTGAGAAAGAACCATCCTGTGCTTTGAGATATACCAGGTAACATTTAAAGCAATTTAGTGAGAGACACATGCCAGATTATTGTTATATTTGTGGCCATTAAGGATAATACAAAATTAAATACCCAGCAATTATTTCAACAGTGAATCAAAATTTCAGAAAAGACTGTTATGATCACACTGATAATGTATAGACCTGTGCAAAATTTAATATGCATGAACTTGCCCAATCTGGGACATCTGTAAAACATTATCATTGTGATAATAAACAACTAAAGAGTAGCACACTTAACCCCCTCCCCACAGCAGGAATGAGAGGTTCATTGGTACCCCCTCCAAACAGCAGGAATGAGAGGTTCATTGGTGCCCCCTCCCCACAGCAGGAATGAGAGGTTCATTGGTACCCCCTCCCCACAGCAGGAATGAGAGGTTCATTGGTACCCCCTCCCCACAGCAGGAATGAGAGGTTCATTGGTACCCCCTCCCCACAGCAGGAATGAGAGGTTCATTGGTACCCCCTCCCCACAGCAGCTCCCCCCCCCCCACAGCAGGAATGAGAGGTTCATTGGTACCCCCTCCCCACAGCAGGAATGAGAGGTTCATTGGTGCCCCCTCCCCACAGCAGGAATGAGAGGTTCATTGGTGCCCCCTCCCCACAGCAGGAATGAGAGGTTCATTGGTACCCCCTCCCCACAGCAGGAATGAGAGGTTCATTGGTGCCCCCTCCCCACAGCAGGAATGAGAGGTTCATTGGTGCCCCCTCCCCACAGCAGGAATGAGAGGTTCATTGGTGCCCCCTCCCCACAGCAGGAATGAGAGGTTCATTGGTACCCCCTCCCCACAGCAGGAATGAGAGGTTCATTGGTACCCCCTCCCCACAGCAGGAATGAGAGGTTCATTGGTGCCCCCTCCCCACAGCAGGAATGAGAGGTTCATTGGTACCCCCTCCCCACAGCAGGAATGAGAGGTTCATTGGTACCCCCTCCCCACAGCAGGAATGAGAGGTTCATTGGTGCCCCCTCCCCACAGCAGGAATGAGAGGTTCATTGGTACCCCCTCCCCACAGCAGGAATGAGAGGTTCATTGGTACCCCCTCCCCACAGCAGCCCCCCAACAGCAGGAATGAGAGGTTCATTGTACCCCCTCCCCACAGCAGGAATGAGAGGTTCATTGGTACCCCCTCCCCTCAGCAGCCCCCCCAACAGCAGGAATGAGAGGTTCATTGTACCCCCTCCCCACAGCAGCCCCCCCCCAACAGCAGGAATGAGAGGTTTATTGGTGCCCCCTCCCCACAGCAGGAATGAGAGGTTCATTGGTACCCCCTCCCCACAGCAGGAATGAGAGGTTCATTGGTACCCCCTCCCCACAGCAGGAATGAGAGGTTCATTGGTACCCCCTCCCCACAGCAGGAATGAGAAGTTCATTGGTGCCCCCTCCCCACAGCAGGAATGAGAGGTTCATTGGTGCCCCCTCCCCACAGCAGGAATGAGAGGTTCATTGGTACCCCCTCCCCACAGCAGGAATGAGAGGTTCATTGGTACCCCCTCCCCACAGCAGCCCCCCCCAGCAGGAATGAGAGGTTCATTGGTGCCCCCTCCCCACAGCAGGAATGAGAGGTTCATTGGTACCCCCTCCCCACAGCAGGAATGAGAGGTTCATTGGTACCCCCTCCCCACAGCAGGAATGAGAGGTTCCCCCCCAACAGCAGGAATGAGAGGTTCATTGTACCCCCTCTCCACAGCAGGAATGAGAGGTTTATTGGTGCCCCCTCCCCACAGCAGGAATGAGAGGTTCCCCACAGCAGGAATGAGAGGTTCTACTCTATATAGAGTCTGTACCCCCTCCCCACAGCAGGCCCCCCCCCACAGCAGGAATGATTTCAGCAGGAATGAGAGGTTCATTGGTGCCTCTTTAAGACCCAACATTTTGAACCCTGAAGTTTATTTCCACTATTTCTCATAAAAACAACAGGATATTTTTAACATGTGTCCTTGCTGGTTAAACATTTTGAACTAATTTATATTGACCTCTGTGACATTTTTACTGAGTCATATATTGAATTCTTTGACCTCTGTAACAAGTTATTGACCTCTGAAACATTTGTATAAGGAAAACCTTTGTGGCAAACAAAACTAGTGAGCAGTGATCACATAAAGATACTTCCTCACCCCTGGATCAAGAAGTAAGAGGTCAAGAGGTCAACTTTAAACTTGACCAATGACCACTAAAATCTAATGACATAAAGAACTATAACATGTTTTAAAATCTGTTTCTGGGTTGATGAGAAATCTTGCACATGAGATTATCAAAGATGGACACACTCATGCACAAAGTGATATAATCTCCCCCCCGCCCCCCTCCCCACCCCACCCTCGCCCCCGTCACCATAAGTAGGGGGTACATTAAAGTTTAAAGTTTGGTAAAAAAAAATAACAATAAAGAAAGAGAAGAAACTAAATATGAGGCTTTAACATGATGTATTTACAATGATGTAACATAAAAACATAAAATCCAACGAAAAACTTGTCATTGCTATGTTTCTGCATAAAATTTGTTTCACTTAAAAGTTAGGAAAACTTCATCCACACAGGATTTGTGGATTAGAACAAGGTGTACATTATACATTATCTGTCTGATCTACAATGGTATAGAATTAAAACATATTGTTGAACTTAAAAACGTAAGAAACAATCTACTTTCTAAATGTATGTGTGTCGCAGGATAAAACATTTTGAACCCTAAGTTTATTTCCACTATTTCTCATAAAAACAACAGGATATTTTTAGCATGTGTCCTTGCTGGTTAAACATTTTGAATAATTTATATTGACCTCTGAATACATTTTTACTGAGTCATATATTGAATTCTTTGACCTCTGTAACAAGTTATTGACCTCTGAAACATTTGTATAAGGAAAACCTTTGTGGCAAACAAAACCAGTGAGCAGTGATCACATAAAGATACTTCCTCACCCCTTGATCAAGAAGTAAGAGGTCAAGAGGTCAACTTTAAACTTGACCAATGACCACTAAAATCTAATGACATCAAGAACTATAACATGTTTTAAAATCTGTTTCTGGGTTGATGAGAAATCTTGCACATGAGATTATCAAAGATGGACACACTCATGCACAAAGTGATATAATCTCTCCCCCCTGCCCCCCCCCCAACCCTCGCCCCCGTCACCATAAGTAGGGGGTACATTAAAGTTTAAAGTTTGGTTAAAAAAAATAACAATAACGAAGGAGAACAAACTAAATATGAGGCTATAACATGATGTATTTACAATGATGTAACATAAAAACATAAAATCCAACGAAAAACTTGTCATTGCTATGTTTCTGCATAAAATTTGTTTCACTTAAAAGTTAGGACAAAATTCACCACACAGGATTTGTGGATTAGAACAAGGTGTACATTATACATTATCTGTCTGATCTACAATGGTGTAGAATTAAAACATATTGTTGAACTTAAAAACGTAAGAAACAAACTACTTTCTAAATGTATGTGATCGTCACAGGATAAAATATGTAACATAATATACTATAAGTCCTGATATATACTATATCAGGTATAAATCTAATTCCTATTTCCAGCATTATCATACATGTATCACTCCAGAATAACAGTATGTATCACCATCCAGAACGCCAAAGGTCAAATAGCACCAAGACTTGGAGACTTACCAAAATTAACAAGCCTGAACACCAAATATCACCAGCCATGACTTGGAGACTTACCAAAATTAACAAGCCTGCACACCAAATATCACCAGCCATGACTTTGGGGCTTACCAAGAGTCAACAGGTGACACTTCAAATATCATCAACCAAGACTTTGAGGCTTAATCTAACAACAAGCTACACACCAAAAATCACCAACCAAGACTTGGGGTGACAAAATATCACCAACCAAGACATGGGGTGACAAATATCACCAACCAAGACATGGGTGACAAAATATCACCAACCAAGACATGGGTGACAAAATATCACCAACCAAGACATGGGTGACAAAATATCACCGACCAAGACATGGGTGACAAAATATCACTGACCAAGACATGGGTGACAAAATATCACCGACCAAGACATGGGTGACAAAATATCACCAACCAAGACATGGGTGACAAAATATCACCTATCAAAACTTGGGGTGACAAAATATCATCAACCAAAATGTGATGTGACCAAATATCACCAAACAAGACTTGGGGACTTACCACCAGTTAACAAGCCTGTGACGTGGTGTCAAGATCAACTTGACAGCACTACATCAAACAGCATGCAAGCTGTTGTGAGTTCTGGCCTCAATCTTCTACAAAATTTATCAAAAATGGCATCAAAGTTGGCTTCTAAATACTAATGCAAGTTTACTGTGTGCAGTAAAAATATAGACATGTACAAAACTTTTCTTCTATAAAGGATCCCTTCCCAGTGGGAGAAACTTGTAAAATATATTTTCAATAAGAAATATCCAACAGCTTTATGAATATCAAACTTACACCTATACACAAAGTGAACTACCAACTTCTTAACAATAAGTTTAATAGTAATCTTTCAAAAATACTTCTATTATTAAGAGAGAAAACAATTTATTTTTTCAAAAATTGAACTTCTCTATGGATAACTTGTATCCATCTGAAATAACTTTGTAAAAGTATAAGAAGCAGAACTTATATATGTAAATGTTTTACCATATTACACAAAAGGTTCATTGGACCAGTAGCTGTCCTTACATTAGCAAAAACTCTGAAAGGTTTTGGTCCAAACTCTGCAAGGGTTTCAGTCAAAACTCTGCAAGGGTTTAGTATATCATATCATGTCAATCAAAATGTTATAATCTGAACTATCTTCCACATTATAATCACACACAACTCCAGATTTTTTCATCTCACACTACTCTCAATTTTCCTTTCTCACACTACTCTCATTTTCTAATCTCACACTACTCTCAATCTTTCTATCTCACACTACTCTCAATCTTTCTATCTCACACTACTCTCAATCTTTCTATCTCACACTACTCTCATTTTCTAATCTCACACTGCTCTCAATCTTTCTATCTCACACTACTCTCAATCTTTCTATCTCACACTACTCTCAATCTTTCTATCTCACACTACTCTCAATTTTCCTTTCTCACACTACTCTCAATCTTTCTATCTCACACTGCTCTCAATCTTTCTATCTCACACTACTCTCAATCTTTCTATCTCACACTACTCTCAATCTTTCTATCTCACACTACTCTACTTGATTTCCTCTTCTTTAAAGACTCGAGGCTTTAAATCCATGTAGTTTTCTTGTAGGTATAGAATTAAATCCTGAAAAATTAAGAAATGAAGCATAGATAAGTCACAACATTAGATAAAGTTGAACCTTGTATTCTCTAACCTGTATAACTTGATGACCCAGTTTAATTTGAAGTATTCCCTGCCTAACTTATACACAAAACATTTAAATCAAATAATCAATCATCCATAAAAGTTGTCCCATGGTCCAGTCGAGTTCCAGATGAGAAGGTTCGACTGTCTATGAAATACATACATATGATATTTATTATGCTGTTATGTGATACCTAATACTGTAACTCAGTATAACACATTTGATTCAACAGACCTGAATCACAAACATCTGTAACTTATCTGAAGAATTAACAAGAGGTCCAACAGACCTGAATCACAAACATCTGTAACTTATCTGAAGAATTAACAAGAGGTCCAACAGACCTGTATCACAAACATCTGTAACTTATCTAAAGTATTAACAAGAGGTCCAACAGACCTGTATCACAAACATCTGTAACTTATCTAAAGTATTAACAAGAGGTCCAACAGACCTGTATCACAAACATCTGTAACTTATCTAAAGTATGAACAAGAGGTCCAACAGACCTGTATCACAAACATCTGTAACTTATCTAAAGTATGAACAAGAGGTCCAACAGACCTGTATCACAAACATCTGTAACTTATCTGAAGTATGAACAAGAGGTCCAACAGACCTGTATCATATACATCTGTAACTTATCTAAAGTATGAACAAGAGGTCCAACAGACCTGTATCACAAACATCTGTAACTTATCTAAAGTATTAACAAGAGGTCCAACAGACCTGTATCACAAACATCTGTAACTTATCTAAAGTATGAACAAGAGGTCCAACAGACCTGTATCATAAACATCTGTAACTTATCTGAAGAATTAACAAGAGGTCCAACAGACCTGTATCATAACCATCTGTAACTTATCTAAAGTATTAACAAGAGGTCCAACAGACCTGTATCATATACATCTGTAACTTATCTAAAGTATGAACAAGAGGTCCAACAGACCTGTATCATATACATCTGTAACTTATCTAAAGTATTAACAAGAGGTCCAACAGACCTGTATCACAAACATCTGTAACTTATCTAAAGTATTAACAAGAGGTCCAACAGACCTGTATCACAAACATCTGTAACTTATCTAAAGTATTAACAAGAGGTCCAACAGACCTGTATCACAAACATCTGTAACTTATCTGAAGTATGAACAAGAGGTCCAACAGACCTGTATCATACATCTGTAAACATCTGTGTATCATATACATCTGTAACTTATCTAAAGAAAGATATAAATACATTATTTCTAACCCCTTTACCTAAACATTGACACAAAGTCACAAAAGTTTGAAATGTATCAGGTATCAAGAGGTCATTCAACATCAGTATTGTGACACAAACATCTGTAAATTATCTATTCTATAATCTAAAGTAAATGTATGTCAATATTTCTAACCCCTTTACCTAAACATTGACACAAAGTCACAAAAGTTTGAAATGCAGGTTCCATTCAACACCAGTATTGTGACCTCTTATTATAATCTTAGATATCATGGCTAACAGACAAAGCCCAAGTTCACTCAGTGAGGACAAACAATTAAAAACCACAGATCTGTCAGAAGTCGTTAGTTTGTACAATACGTTACATTCACTTTTTTTCTCTCACTTTTCTTGGTTGTATAATTTCAAAATACTGTTGGAAAATTAACAATAGATCAGAAAATAATACCAAGTTCTTACTTCAAATCCTGAAGAGCTCCCAAAATTTCATCTTTCTTCCTACATTTTATCTCCTGAAAAGAGAAATATGATTAGAAACATTCTTTTGCCGATTATCAAATGTAAACTGAAATCTACCTTACCAATGACACATGATGAAAGTCAAAATGTAATGGTTTTAAGAACATAAAAAACAGGAACAATTTAACAAAATCAGAATCACAATTCAAAATTTCTAAAAAAAAGTGAGCATAGTATGAACAAAAGGATGGTCTACATGGAGACCATTGAAAAAGTACAAGCAAGGTAAATAAGACCAGGTGTTCCAGATGGGTAAGCACCATCTGCTTTATCAACAACACCAGCTATGTAAATCTTGGTCAATCCAAGTAGGTAATGACATGTTCTAATACAGAAATAAAGTTTACAACACGGGAACCACCAGGAACCACAATGGAATATTACCCATGATGGTGACTGTAAAACATTATTTAACTTGCCTAAATAATTTAGCAAATACGCTGCCATGTTCTTGAAAGAGAGCTGATGATCTATCTTCTTCCTTAAATGGCTTTGAATGCTGTAACAATTACATTGATACCTACAACCTATCATCTTGTTATTTTAAAAAGGGTGAGCTTTGACCTTTAACCTTGACAAATGACCAGGAAAATCAAAACCAAGTGTAGACCTTGACAGTGTAACAATATCAACAAAATCTTTCAAGAGTTTCATGAGACACCGTGTACAAAAACTTTAATTTCAAGAACGGTCAAGTGTGACCTCTGACCTTTAACCTAGTGTAATAATACTATGGTGTGACAATGAACTCAATCCCTTGAAATTCTGGAAAGGTGCACAAGACAATTTGTTTGCAAACTGATAAGTATGATTCATGATTACTAGCCCCCACTCCCCTCCATTGTTTGAGATATTGTATTTAGTATACTCATTGCTACAATAGTGCTTTACTGACTGACCTGGATTAAAGTAAATTCCTGAACTAAATCTCAATTCTTTTCAGTCTTTTCGGTCTGCTACTTACCTCTTCTGAGGTCAGCTTGTAACCTTCAGCAACTTTTGCATCCAAGAGTTCAATCTGACGGAGTTTTTTCTCCAGTCTCCTCTTTTCCTTCTTTTTCTCGTTATCAGACTGAAACAGTAAAACAAAAGGAAAGATAAGTCAAGAAAGTAAACCAATTATACATAGTGTATCATCCACACAACATGACAAAAGGCCCAAAGGACCTGTATCAACCATGTATCAAGGAGAAATCGTGATAGCAAGACTGTCAAATTGCTAGCTATCACATTATCTTGAATTGGACACCTGTGGACTACACACAACTCATTAATAAAGTCTTGCCTTGACACACCCATGACAATCATATTGGCCACAGTACCAGCCCAAATTTCATGTACCATATTTTCTGGTATATACGCCACAGAGCCAATTTTAAGCAAGTTTTTTAATTTGATCAACATATTAGCTGCACCAGAATTTAAGCTTAACCCTTTTTTTATAATATGATAACTATTCTGCTGACTAAAGTTTGTTGATATAACAGACAACGTTCATTCAAGATACATAAATAGCAAATATGTCTACGCACATTAGGGCCTGATATTATGTATTGTTTACTAAACACTCTCTCTTTTTGTGTCTGTACTGTTAAATATTAACGAAGGCCCTTTTTTCAAATGATACAGTATACAGGTACAAGTGAAGGTTCTACACTATCCATTTCGGTCACAAACAGGTGGCGGGCAGGAACATGTAAAAATGCTTTTGTCTCATACTGGTACACATTTTTTTCCTGTCCACATTTCAACCATCTAAGAACTATAAAAAACCCATTAGGCTTCCTTACTTTTTATCTAACTGAAATTTCTCCACCTAGTGAAACTTCAGACCAATATCAAGTCGAAATCAGGTGTTCTGAACTATATGCAGTAGCATTTGTTTGAAAGCAAAAGTTCATTGACAAACCAATGATGAGCGCCATGCCATGGCAGACATGGAGACCACAAATATACATTTGTAAGTATTTCTTCAGAGTACAATGTCAAAAGCTGTCCTGTCAATAACATACCAAAGTACTACTTGTGGAGACATTGCCATCGTCAGCATCTGAACTGGAGCTATTGGCTACAGAAGCATTTCCAGGCGAGCCCATGACATTAGGAATAACAAAGCTTGGTGCAGCACCGTTCTTTCTCAGAATGGACCCTGCAAAAGAAAATTCAAGATGAACCAATGAAATAGGAGTGTTATGATATAGAAGATTCAATGGAGTAATTCCAATGATGTGAAGCAATTTTTTCACAATATTTTCAACTCATGAATTCAATTTAAGACAAATGGTTGTGCCAAAATAAGTATGCTGACAGTTTCTGTTCAGGATAAGAGCTGCCATAGGCAACATTGTATAATATGATAACTGTCGCCACCCGAAAATGCCTGTTAATGAAAAATATTAAAATCCTAAATGAAATTAATTGATGCTTTCATTACCTCTTCCTGACCCGCGTCCTAGTCCCATACTGAACACAGAAGGCATCATGCTGTTGGGTAAGCCCGAGGACCGACCTACAGAAGGCATCATGTTATTGGGTAAGCCCGATGACTGACCTACAGAAGGCATCACATTGTTGGGTAAGCCCGATGACTGACCTACAGAAGGCATCGTGTTGCTGGGCAAGCCTGATGACTGACCTACAGAAGGCATCACATTGTATGGTAAGCCCGATGACTGACCTACAGAAGGCATCGTGTTGTTGGGCAAGCCCGATGACTGACCTACAGAAGGCATCACATTGTTGGGTAAGCCCGATGACTGACCTACAGAAGGCATCACATTGTTCGATAAGCCCGATGACTGACCTACAGAAGGCATCACATTGTTCAGTAAGCTTGACATTTGACCTGATGATTGACCTAATGGTTGACCAGGCGGTATGGCCTGAGTTTGTATGGAGTTGGTATTGGTGTTAGTTGCTGCATATCCAGGAGGCGGCCTTGACACTAGACCCCGTCCGACTGATCTTCCACGGCCTTGCTGACCACGTCCTATTGGTTGGGGTCCTTGGGGATTGACCTGAGCAACACCCCGGCCACCTACAACATCAAAATATTTACATACAAAAACACCTTAGCCAGCTGTTACATCAAAAAATCTACATCATTACATAGTATCAAATTTATTTGTTGCTTGCTTGTTGAAATGCACTGGTTGAAATGAATGGGAATGTAATTATCTATATTGATAATCATGATCTGAAATGGTTCAGTAGAACAAGAGAAGTATACTTTTTATTGGCTCATCAAGCCTGGTCTTTCCTCTGTAAACCCATATGTTTCACCCTCATGGAAATCAAAAGATTTTTCCAGGACTTTCCAACATTCAACTCAAGGACTTTTCAAAGACTTTTAAGTGACAGTGAAGTAAGTACACGGTGTTCTTGGCTAATTCAGATATAACTTAAAATTAAAGTTATTTCTTTAGTGGAGGTATCAAGTTACCAATATGACCCTGACCAACTCCACTCTGTGACAGTGACATGACCTTGACCAACTCCACTCTGTGACAGTGACATGACCTTGACCAACTCCACTCTGTGACAGTGTCAGTGCTAATACAGAGGTGGACGGTGGTATCTGGTTGAAACCCAACTTTACCTACCAATTTGACCCCGGCCAACTCCACTCCGTGACAGTGACAGTGCTAACACAGAGGTGGACGGTGGTATATGACCAACATGTGTAGCTGCATTACTGTTATAAGACATATAGGTCTCTGGTTTGGCATGAGGACGACGTAATGTTTGCTCCTCCTCTTCCTCCTCCTCTGGTTCAGGCACCCTGTCAACATATTGCGACTCGCCATTGAAAAAGCCTTTTTATCTATACTTATTGTTCAGTTTAATTACATAATAGTGTAAAAAAACAAATAAAAGAACAAAAAAGAAAGCAACAACTGACTGTGTCAAAAAGGGTATGCCTGTCTATATGGAGAACGGTAAAGTGATTGAAAATCGCAAAAAACAAAAAACAAAAAAAACAAAACAAAACCCAATTAGAATTTCACTAAGAAAGCAAAATCACAGGTCATGATTATATTGTCTTTCTAGAAGATAAGAGATGTGTAGAAACCTTGGTAAATCTCAGTTCTACACAGCATTATACACATATAACCATAGGTCCATATAGTGGAAGATAGTCGTGTGTCCGTGCAAAACTTACCATCTTTCCTCTGATGGTTTGTTAACCTGCGACATATATACCTTCTTCTCCTTTCTTGACATTCTACAAACAAATTAAAGCAAGGTTTTGTTTAAAGTGTGCCATGATTTGATACATTCAAAATGACAAAATCCTTTCCTTCCAATTCATCACTTCACCAATTCATCTCAGGTAAAAATGAGTTATTTTTTTCTCTTCCTCCACCCCCTCCCCTCCTAAATCTTTTTCCTTTTTCTTCTCTATCCTTTCTTCAACCATCATTCTTCCTCTTTGTCCTTATTGTGACACCTAACAATTACCTTCCCTTGGATCTATATATACTTACCCAGCAGTGTTCCGTGCGTTGAGTCTTATGAAATAGTTTGGATCCACGCCTACTCTGGCCACACTTGGAATCTCTACAAGTCATTTTTTTCATTTAATTGAAATATTCTAAACAGCATTTTATAACTGAGAGAATAATTCCCAGTATAAGTTTTAGGTAATAACCAGCAAAAATAAACTCTCAAACTAATCCATCAGAAGGAACAGTAACATAACGCAAAAAAATTTAAACTGCACACATGTAAATGCGTGTCTCATATCAGGTCAACATTTACTAATCGAAGATAAATGACCACGGGTCTGCCTATTTATTATCTGATGCTATTGTGCAGACTACAGCCTCTTATTTCCAAAGCACTATTTCTTTGATGCTTGTTCCGCACTCAAACCAGGGCAGAGAGGATACAGTCTTATCTCTGTTTATGGCTTAAATCTTGATGACAGCTATGTATACTTATAGTTTCGGCATTGATCATCATATCAGTGTGATATACATGTGGAATCTAAATACCACCTATCACATAAGAAACTCTCAGGCACAGTCCATGGCTGTGTTGACCTAGCTCTCTTTCTTCAAATATGGTGAATATTTGAATATTCAAATCAGTCGAAAATGACTCTGTTATTGGAATCTAAACTTTGAAAATGTGACAATCAGCATGAGATATATCACCATTTGGAAGTTAGAGGTCATGCTATGCCTGTCATAGGTTCTTTGCCAGGTAAACCTCTAACATTGTTAGCATAACCAACATTAGTACACCAGTACTCTGACCAGGTGGACGCTGCACACTAAGACCTAAGGCCAGGGGCTACACACTTAGTTCTCGAGCCAGTGGACACTACACACTAAGACCTAAGACCAGGGGCTACACACTTAGTTCTCCAGCCAGGTGGACACTATACACTAAGACCTAAGGCTAAGGGCTACACACAAAGTACTCGGGCCAGGTGCTACACACTGAGTTCTCGAACCTGGTGGACACTACACACTAAGACCTAAGGCCAAGTGCTACACACTGAGTTCTCGAGCCTGGTGGACACTACACACTAAGACCTAAGGCCAGGGGCTACACACTTAGTACTCAGGCCAGGTGCCATACACTAAGACCTAAGGCCAGGTGCTACACACTGAGTTCTCGAACCTGGTGGACACTACACACTAAGACCTAAGGCCAAGTGCTACACACTGAGTTCTCGAGCCTGGTGGACACTACACACTAAGACCTAAGGCCAGGGGCTACACACTTAGTACTCAGGCCAGGTGCCATACACTAAGACCTAAGGCCAGGTGCTACACACTGAGTTCTCGAGCCTGGTGGACACTATACACTAAGACCTAAGGCTAAGGGCTACACACAAAGTACTCGGGCCAGGTGCTACACACTGAGTTCTCGAACCTGGTGGACACTACACACTAAGACCTAAGGCCAAGTGCTACACACTGAGTTCTTGAGCCTGGTGGACACTACACACTAAGACCTAAGGCCAAGTGCTACACACTGAGTTCTCGAGCCTGGTGGACACTACACACTAAGACCTAAGGCCAGGGGCTACACACTTAGTACTCAGGCCAGGTGCCATACACTAAGACCTAAGGCCAGGTGCTACACACTTAGTACTCAGGCCTGGCTGACGCTACGAATTAAGCCTCCAGGTGAGATGAACACTTCACTCTTAGCCCTCAGGGCCATGAATTGAATACAAATAACCCCTTGACCAGAAGAAATACAAACTTACCTTCATCCCAGTTTTCAACAGATTCAAAGTTGCTGCTGTCTGCATAGCGTGGGAGATCAGTGTTACCTTTGAAGTACTGACCATCTCGGTTTTCTTTATTTTGTTCTGAAAGAAATCAATGCACAATGAAAATATGCATGGCTAATTTCTAGTTTTTTTGAGACAGATTTGTACACTAAACCAAAACAACATTAAATATATTTGTATATATCACCCAACATTCTATAATAGACTATCTTACACAAGAGTCAATGTAATATGCAACTTACTAAACATGTTCAAAAATTTTAAACAGAGGATTGTAACATTTCAAATCATTTACGCTTATGGGTTCAATAAATGCCAGATTACATCAGCAAGTGTAAGATTCTGTTTATCACATCACACCTTTCGGAAAAATCAACAAAAATTCTCCAATTTATCTGCCATAAGACAGACTTATTCTGGCATGGACTGTATGTTTTTCTTTATATTAATAATATGTTTATCAAATTAAAGATAATAATATTGAAAATGTTTATTTCACTAATGACCTCATACTATATTATTTAATCAGGATGTTGATATAGAAATGCTTAAAGTCAGGCATGGGTTTAATGCAGGATGAAAACAATATTTTTTGATAAAGAGGTACAGGTGTGCATATTACATTTAGCACCACTGTATTCTATATTCCATCTGCAGACCCTTTACTGGAAGAATATTTTATATGAAATAAAAAGGAAAACTTATACCATAGTATTAAAGTTAAATCCTCTCACAAATGTCTTTTAAGACATGGATGCCACAGTTCCTAATTAGGTAAGTATCAGGGCTTAACGAAGTGCAATACACAATAATTGTGACCTTGAACATTTAACCCTAAAGCACAAACTCATTCTTGGTATTTGAAAGGTCATTAACATCCCTCGAAAATTGGGCCCAGTCATGCATGACTTGGACACTTGGCTTACCATGAAGAATGGACGGTTCTAGTCGTGCTTTATCTGGACAGTTGACCATGTGATACCTCAGCTCAGGCCTACGAACTTCATGACGGGCGTTGTATGGGCATACAGCGAAATCTGCCCCCGGATGGTTCTGTGACATTATATTAAAGACATGTTCTTGACAATATCACGATGCACAAATTGAACATCAATGTGTTGTTTGGACATACAGCGAAATCTGCCCCTGGATATTTCTGTGATATTATATAATAGACTATTACTTGACAAAATCATGATGCATAGATTAAAAATCAATGTATTTCACCTGAATTTCGTAACTGTCTGCACATGTAAAATTTGGAAAATATATGAATACTTTCTAAATAACTCTTTTTTATCAAATGGACACAGCCTACATCACCTGTAAAAATGGAATCAAAATATCACTATACATGAAGACCTGGACTACAGAGTATGAGTTATCTACCCCTGGAGTCACTAAGATACTGGCAGTCTGTTTACATAATGTAACCATTGCAAAAGTTATGTTTGTGATTAAATATCAGATAGTTCATATATTCGCTATGATGACTGAACATTCCTTAAGGATAAATCTAAATTACTTGAGCATTGAAATAGATGTGTAAAGGTCCATTCTGTTTTAAATGGCTTCATAGTTCACTGTCCTGCTACTGTTTGTAAGCAAACATGACTTAAAAGTCTAGCTGAACAGCTATGGATGTTCTTTCTGGTGACACTAAAACTGTCCAGATAGTGGCCTCTATGAATATTTATTCATCATCAACTGTTTATAAGACTATCAAACCAAAATTTTGTGTGAAAGACTAACAAGAGGCCCATGGGCTTACGTAGTCACCTGACTAATCTCTACCAAACATATTGTCAACCTCATCAAAGATCTTATTGATATAAATATGTTGGCATTTACTCAGATTTTCATGTTCACAATGTTAAATAAAACTTCAAAGGGTCATAACTCTGTAAAACAGTCTTGACTGAATTGGTTCCATTGTCACACTCATCTGAGATCTTAATGATATAGGCTGCATACCAAGTTTCATCAAAATCTGTTCATATTTACTGAAGTTACTGTGTTCACAAGAAAAAGTTAATGCACAACGACAAACGAACAACAGTGGCCAAGCTCACAATGAGCTATAGTCAGGTGACTTAGAGATATTATGCATTATATAAGATAAATCACCTCTAAATGATTGGTATGTAACATCACTTACCCTACGACACTTCATCATGTGATACTGCATCCGTTTAGCAGCAATCATGTGCACCTTGTCATAAGGGCACTCAATCATCTCTTCTGGGTCGTAGACCTTGTACTGTGCCATGACTGTGCTGTGTCTGCTACAACGTAAATAACGACATACATGCATGGGGTAATCTAGAATTGTGGGATGATACCGATTGTGGAAAGAAGGGAATTTTTTAACTATTTTCAGAAATGAAGACGATTTTAGACAGCCATTAATTATGGTAATTAGAATTCAAAAGATAAAGTTGAAATATTTAGACATACAGGAGGATTACATAAACAAATTATGAAAATGTTGAGGTTACATTGATATTGTTTTCACAATTGCGTACCAGGTAGTTTGAATTACATGCACGTTATTTGATAATATACTGATCAGCTCTGTTTGGGGGGAAAATTCCCCCTTTTTAGGGACATTTACTCCGTCTTCAGTATATTTTCTTGACCAGGGATTTGTTTACATTCAGAGAGGAAAACGTACCACTAAGTAATTACTACCCTTTTCTGGTAGTAAAATTTGTCTAAATAAATCAGTGACATTCAAATATCTGAAAATAATTACATCTCAGATTGACCAATTGATGAATCTCTTTTCTAAATAATATGTAAGTGGCCCATCAACAAGTCATATAATGCTTCAATAATTGTACTTTTCATTTTCACTATGTTCATATTATCAAGCTATATACATGCATAGGCCTGTGGTCAACTGTGCACATGTAACAATTTGATTGGATGGAGGTCATTCAGGGTTTTTTCTTGGAACTCTTAAATGTAGAAATTGTAATTTAAGAGTTAGGGATTCACATTATATATGAGATACTAACTTTCACAATGAACTTGATTTTACGACAAACACAAAATCTCTAAATTATGATGGTTTTAAAGAAAAACTCACTTCTATTATTTACTTTTTGTAAACTATGATGTCAGAAATATGTAGGGAATTGCTTCTAAATCTGTGGAACAAATAAAAAGTAATTTACGAGTTATCTTAATTAACAGTATATTCAGAGTATGGTAGGTAACGTCAACTGTATTATACGTCCCTGGCAACGTATACAATAAACAATATAGGTTATATCCAAGTATGTGCTGTAGCGGGAGTTACATAATAAATAAATCTACAGTGAATACCTTGGTACCCGACCCTAGACTGTATAAACACGAGTATGCAATATCTATAGAGAAAACCATTAGTTTTTTAATATTTCAAGTGATTCAAACGTTCATTCAACATACGACCCGATTTCGATAAAGCATCACAACACGCCCATCACAACACAAGGGCGACAGGGCGAAGCTTTTCAACCGCACTATTACACAACATTAACATTAAAAACGACGCCTTTAATACAACACAGACTGTGATAGTTCGTGACAAACACAAAGCGAAACTATGCCAGTCAGTAAAACTAAGATTCGTTTTACAGCTTACCAATGTCATACAAGCATGCGTGTTTCTCTCTCAGAGTCCTGTGTTATTTGTGGTCATGTAGAAATTGAGGGAATTTCCCTTATTTTTTACTATGAGCGCCATCTGTGGTCGCGTTCGCGTAAGCAGTTGAAAAGGTCGGACCGGTTGAACCTGCAACACTAGGCACAGATCGGGACCGAGGCTGGACTGTGGAATATTTTGCACGTGCAGTTAGATGGGTCCAGTCGTACATGCCCGAAACAAATTTGCTGAATATCATTAGTTTTCAGAATTTCACCATAAAAAGTAGCACTCACATATTTTCGGGAGCGTTATGCTATAAAAATGTGTGAAATTGATGGTATCTTGATTTAAGTGAATTGATTTATGCTTGACAAGACATTCCGAAACTGCGCATTTTTCTCTTACATGCATCAGGTCCAACATCCGGAACAAGTGCGTTCGCATATAGTGGAATAAATCCAGATCACCTGAACCGTTTTAACCGGGTTGCGCCAATGCGCCTTTGGTCACTTGCGCTTAAGTGGTTGATTCGATTTTACTAAATAAACTGATCAAAATAAATTGAACGCGACAGAGTCAATGCATGCCATGGTATTGACTAATTATTGTTTATTTGACAAAGATTAAGAAATTGTGCATTTTGATTCCTAAATATAATGAAATGAAAACGCAACAAATCATTTGAGTAGGGTTAACATTTGTAAGTGTCTGGGTAAATCAGGTATTAATTGCCAATAATACCGACCACATTTATTAAATACGTTCCGTGACAATTTGTGTCGAGAAACGGACCGCAGTTTCGTATATAGCACTGTGTATATTAACTTAAATTTCATGATTTTGTTGTTTCCCTTTTTTAACGTTTTAAAAATGAGGAATCATAAAAAATATGAATGAGATAAAAATAACTAAGTTTTATTAACGCCATTGATTGAGACGGTTTTCTTCACATTTGAAACTAAATCTATCTGTATTATACGTCCCTGCTAAAGACTATGTTTCTTGCTTTTAAAAGTATAAAAAGTTGAAAGATATTATTTTTCACAAAAAATTAGCATGTTTCAATTGAAAGCCTTTCACCTATACATTACAGTGCATTTTGTTATCTCAAATTAAACAAAATGGAAAAGATAGTTTGTTTTCTCAACAATTATACGTCCCTGACATAAGAGATCATTAAAGAAATATATAGAAAAGATACTTGACTAGCACTGACTAGTCCCATGGGTTTACCATAGTATAAGCATTGCTCATCGAATAGATGACAACTTGGCCTGTCTCAATTTTCTGCATTCTGCTCCAGTATAAATTTTATTTCTGGAAAGAACCAGTCCTTCCTCTCAACTGTTCTCAACCATATTCAAGATCTTGTTCTCAACAACACGATTTTCGTGCAAGATGTCGTCAACTGACAAACACAATCACAACACAGGGTTTTAAAAGATGGAGGTTGATGAAATGAAAATGACGAGTAAGATTTTATGGTCATCATAGTGATATTATTGAAAATATATTCTGTTTCCTAAAACGATGTATTACGTTGGGCATGTTTGATGCTCGTTAGTACACCTGTAGGTTCCGTTGCGGTGTACCTTGTTCTCATTTGGGAACGTGACATTACTTACTTGGATTGAATAAGATTTACATCGCTGGGGTCGTCTATGTCCGAAGCCCGAGACTCTTCTGGAATACCTGGTCTTAGTCTTCTTGTAAAGTTTCAAGTCTCCTTGTAAATCTTACTTTTGTTCATATTTTGTCCTGTGTTTTTTTTTTCGGAATTTGCGTTTGGATTATGTTCACGTGCTGGTGTTTTCTTTGTTGTTTTCATTTGGTTTACTATTTTTATATAAATATCTTGTTCAAATTAAGGCAATATACAGCGCAATTCTACATGTATGAACCGAGGTATTTATCGAACGCACCTGACTCTATTCTTGTCACGTGATGACACTTGATCACATGACAGCAATCACATGATCATGTAAACAAAAAAGAAACGAGATGGCTGGGCATTATGTGTTTCATTTACTTTGGTTACTAATAGTTGTTTGTTCAGCTGAAGGGAGGTGTAATTTTCCGCCCAGTCTTTGGTGTTCATCTGAGGAAATAGCTGCTTCATGTCAGGTGATAGAAAATATACACATGATCTGCCAATGACCATGATTAATATCAGGCATGCAAAGTGGCCCACATAGGATATTACCTCATTGCCTACAGATATCATTGATAGTTACATGTATTTCAGGAGAATTATATACTAGGAATCAAACCCGGGACCTTTGGCTTACTAGTCTGATGCTCAAACAATCGAGCTAAAGAGAAGTTCTCTCTAGCTGTGTGGTATATGGCGTCTAGTATTTTACCAGGGTTACTTACTCCCCCTTCAGGAAATAATATGTCCTCCAGTTTCCAGGGGTTACAGCGATGCTGGTGGGGCATGGCTAATTACTATTCTCGGGTCCCAACATGGGCGCTAAGGTAACAGAGGTCATTATGTACAGTATTTCAATGCCTCTGCTAGGAATCGAACACCGGACCCCAGGCTTACTAGTCTGATGCTCAACCAATCGGGCTAAAGAGAAGTTCTCTCTAGTTGTGTGGTATATTACCGCTAGTATTTTACCAGGGTTACATACTCTCCCTTCAGGAAATAAGTCATCCTCGAGTTTCCAGGGGTTACAGCGATGCTGGTGGGGCATGGCTAATTACTATTCTCGGGTCCCAGCATGGGCGCTAAGGTAACAGAGGTCATTATGTATTTTAATGCCTCTGCTAGGAATCGAACACCGGACCCCAGGCTTACTAGTCTGATGCTCAACTAATCAGGCTTAAGAGAAGCTCTCTCTAGCTGTGTGGTATATTACCGCTAGTATTTTACCAGGGTTACATACTTTCCCTTCAGGAAATAAGTCATCCTCGAGTTTCCAGGGGTTGCAGTGATGCTGGTGGGGCATGGCTAATCACTATTCTCGGGTCCCCACATGGGCGCCAAGGTAACAGAGGTCATTATGGATTTCAATGCCTCCGCTAGGAATCGAAATCTGGACCCCTGACTCACTATTCTGACGCTCAACCAATCGAGCTAAAGAGAAGTTCTCTCTAGCTGTGTGGTATATTACCGCTAGGATTTTACCAGGGTTACATACATATTACAAGACGCCTTACACAGTATAGAAAAAAAATGGGATGATTAAAGATATATCGGCTAGTTATCCCCCTTTGACCAGCAATGATTATAATAGTTATGAAATCATAGGATAATATCTCACTTATTTTTTTCTGCTATGAATTACACAATGCTATTTTCATTATAATTATATATCTATGAAATTAGATATAGTTTCTTATCATGCCATGACAAAGATTGTGTGTAAGTCAGGTGACATCACTATGGTGATTATGTGTTATTGGTGACATCACTATGGTGATTATGTGTTAATTGTGACATCACTATGGTGATTATGTGTTAATGGTGACATCACTATGGTGATTATGTGTTAGTGGTGACATCACTATGGTGATTATGTGTTAGTGGTGACATCACTATGGTGATAATGTGTTAGTTGGGACATCACTATGGAGATTATGTGTTAGTGGTGACATCACTATGGTGATTGTGTGTTAGTTGTGACATCACTATGGTGATAATGTGTTATTGGTGACATCACTATGGTGATTGTGTGTTATTGGTGACATCACTATGGTGATTATGTGTTAGTGGTGACATCACTATGGTGATAATGTGTTAATGTTGACATCACTATGGTGATTATGTGTTAGTGGTGACATCACTATGGTGATAATGTGTTAATGGTGACATCACTATGGTGATTATGTGTTAGTGGTGACATCACTATGGTGATTGTGTGTTAGTGGTGACATCACTATGGTGATTATATGTTATTGGTGACATCACTATGGTGATTATGTGTTAGTGGTGACATCACTATGGTGATTATGTGTTAATGTTGACATCACTATGGTGATTATGTGTTAGTGGTTACATCACTATGGTGATTGTGTGTTAGTGGTGACATCACTATGGTGATTATGTGTTAGTGGTTACATCACTATGGTGATTGTGTGTTAGTTGTGACATCACTATGGTGATTATGTTATTGGTGACATCACTATGGTGATTATGTGTTATTGGTGACATCACTATGGTGATTGTGTGTTAGTGGTTACATCACTATGTGATAATGTGTTAATGTTGACACCACTATAGTGATTGTGTGTTAGTGGTGACATCACTATGGTGATTGTGCGTTAGTGGTGGCATCACTATGGTGATTGTGTTATTGGTGACATCACTATGGTGATTATGTGTTAATGGTGACATCACTATGGTGATTATGTGTTAGTGGTTACATCACTATGGAGATTATGTGTTAGTGGTGACATCACTATGGTGATTGTGTTAATTGTGACATCACTATGGTGATTATGTGTTAGTGGTTACATCACTATGGTGATAATGTTTTAATGGTGACATCACTATGGTGATTATGTGTTAGTGGTGACATCACTATGGTGATTATGTGTTAGTGGTGACATCACTATGGTGATTATGTGTTAGTGGTGACATCACTATGGAGATTATGTGTTAGTGGTGACATCACTATGGTGATTATGTGTTATGTGTTAGTGGTGACATCACTATGTGTTAGATATGTGTTATGTGTTAGTGGTGACATCACTATTAGTGGTGACATCACTATGGTGATTGTGTGTTGGTGGTGACATCACTATGGTGATTGTGTGTAAGTGGTGACATCACTATGTGATTATGTAATAGTGGTGACATCACTTTGGTGATTATGTGTTAGTGGTGACATCACTATGGTGATTATGTGTTAGTTGTGTTAGTGGTGACATCACTTTGGTGATTATGTGTTAGTGGTGACATCACTATGGTGATTATGTGTTAGTGGTGACATCACTTTGGTGATTATGTGTTAGTGGTGACATCACTATGGTGATTATGTGTTAGTGGTGACATCACTATGGTGATTGTGTGTTAGTGGTGACATCACTATGGTGATTGTGTGTTAGTGGTGACAAATTAAATGTTCTATATATCTGTTACATATATGATAGTTATTTTAGCAGGGATACCAGTTGTACTGGTAAGGATAAGGTAGTGGAAATTTACCCAGTTACACGTCCACAGCCAGCTGTCAGTGACCAGTATCCTATAATGTATCTACCGGACCAGAAATAATGAAAGTGATTTATAGCACATGTTGCTGTGACTGATGGTCTTTGGGTCTACAGTCGACATGGAACAAGATTAATAAACCTTTAAGTGTAGAGTTTGAAAGAGAAGAATTTGTGATTTTGTATTCCATGTTAATGCCTGTAGTTCATACAATGGACTAAAAAATTGATTGGAATTTTTTTTTATATTCTTTAAAAGATCAATTTATTTATTAAAGCCAAATCAACGTAGATGATGTAGATAGTGATGAAAGTCCTCAGCACAGGAAACATTTGTATCAAGTGGTCTGATGGTCTGATTGTTCTAATCTCACTGATGATTGTGTACCAGGTCGTTCAACAGTGTAGGGCATACAGGACAAGGATAACAGACAGCACAGTGCCACCTGTGGATTTTACACTTTACTATGAAACTCTGTGTCCCGATTGTCAGAACTTCTACCAGAAACAGCTCTACCCTACATACAAAGCTGTTGGAGCCATTATGAATATAACATTGGTACCATTTGGCAATGCTCACGTAAGTATATATTGATATGTGTGTGTGTGAGGATGGATGTGTCCGTCTGTCTTTGTCTTTCTGTATGTCTGTGAAGGTGTGTGTCAGGGTGAGTGTGTGTTTGTCACAGTGTTTGTGTCTGCATCACTGGCTGTCTTTCTGCATGTATGTGTCTTTCTGTCCATCTGTGAGGACAAAAGTGAAGGTGAGTGTGTGTCTGTTTGTCACAAACCAATTAAAAACTAATCACAATAAAAAGAGATCTCGGGTGTAATAAAGTAACATGTATACATGTATCCAGAAAGATTTTTACCTTTGAAGTGATTTCCGACGTCAATACAAAAAAAGAATTAAATACATATTTCACCCCTTTGGTAGCAGGCAGGTCATTCAAACTGTGGAAATATTAGTGGAGGTTAATGCTTAAATGATATTATTCTTCCATATACATGACAAAATGTTTGGTCATGATGCAATCTTATAATGAATGTAAATGAAATGCCATGCCAAAAATATTAAAAAATATGATATTTTCACTACAAATGATCATATTTTGTCTATTTAATTACATTATGTAGCATGTGAGTGATACTAATTCTCTGACCTGTTTATTAGAACAGTCGAATATTTTCTTTACATAGAAATAAATTTTGTTTTTTATTCAATAGAATGTGAAATCAACTTTATTATGATATATCCTTCACAGGAGAAAAAGTCGTCAGCTGGAAAGTGGCAGTTCCAATGTCAGCATGGAGAACAGGAATGTATAGGTAATATTATAGATGTAAGTAATATGTATCAACAGAGATGTATTTAAATTAACACAGATCTTTTTATAGACAGTCAAACCTGTCTTAAATGCCATCTTTATACAAATACCACCTGTCTATAAAGGTCACTTCATTGATTCCATATGTAATACAATTCAAAATAATTGAACCTCTACACAAAGGCCACCTGTGTATAAAGGCCACCTTTCTTTGGTCCCTTGAGTGGCCTTTATAGACAGGTTTGACTGTATTATCATTAGACATGTGTGTTGATAACGTAACAGGCATATTGAACTTCTGCAATTTACAGAGATTTTCTCAAGAACAAATATAACGTTTACTTATACCTGAAAGGTGTGATATACTGACCTCCATCTGGATAATTAAAAGTTAGGTATGCACATTACTCCTCCACCGGGGTCTATACATTTGCATCGTGTCCATCCATCTTTCCATCCTTTCATCTGTCCTTCCAGTATCTTGTATTGCATACTTGGGAGACGGGTTCACCTTGGTATCAGTAAGGGACTGTAATTCACTGAATTATCTTGTTTACAGGCGTGTACCATCAATATCGTGAAAAACTTCACTGTATATTTTCCATTCATTTACTGTATGGAGGAAAAGTTGTATAAGGAAGATATCAAACCGCGACAAGCAGCTGAAAAGGTAGATATTGTAGTCTTGTTTTAATTGACAAATGTGTTTTATTTAATTGATGCTAGTTATGATGTAAATGTTAAATTGTTAGAATTAGAACCTAGGAGAGATAAATATGTCAAATGTATGTGAAATGTGTCCTCAATACCAGATTGTTTTGCTTCTAGAGATAAACAGAATCTTGTTACAAGTGATAGACATGGAATTCAACTTATCCATGGTTACATGTATCATGTGTCATAAATTGGCAAGTAAATTTTTAAAAAGTGAAAAAAACCATAATCAAAATATAAAGACTTGTCCAGAAAAAAATGTTCCTAATATATTATCATTTTTTTCCCATTTTTCATATTATTCAGTTAAGCTATACTATAGTTCCTTTCACGGCAATGTTTGATACACTAAACATATAACTAACAACATCTGCTTAACATTAGCAAAGAAACAGAATGATACTTCAGGATTTTTTAAGAAAATAGCCATGTAGTTTGAGACTTCTTGTTGTTACATCTACCCTGTACAGTGTAATCGTTTATAAAACAAATGACAATAAATAAAAAACTCTTTAACGGAAGGGGAGAGAACCAACGTCCTGATTGTCTTTGGTCGTAGATCAGATCTTGTATTCAATAGAGCCCCATCAAGGAAGGTAGATGCAGTTGACATATGTGATAGATCATTGACATCTGGATTCTTTGTATATAAAACAGTGTCACCAGAAGAAGTAATTACACAATGCTTATAAGGCTCTGATTGTATCTTAGGCTCCAAAGCCCTGGAAGACTTAGACTGGGGAAGAATTAGACTCCGGACAGGGGAATGTAACATATAAAACTGGTGGGAATGAAATTACAAACAAAATCATTCTACCATACAAACATAATGTGACATTTGTCTTCTTTTTATGGCAATAAATTCAGAACAAGTCCCTAATGTATGAAATTGATAAGATTTGAGCAATGTAGAAATGGCACAGTTGATTTATAGTAAAACGATACCTACAAATATATGTCAAATTGTTTTTAAGTGTGCAAAGCAGTTTCAACTGAAGGAAATAGACAGTATCTTGTCGTGTTCTGAGAGTGACACCGGAATTGAGTATGAACACCAGATGGCATTGAAAACTAATGCTTTACAGCCACCGCACACGTTTGTTCCTTGGGTGGAGCTTAATGGGGTAAATACTTGTGATGATGAGGTGATGTACTGCAAAAACCATATCTTAGTGGTGATAATGAGTTAATCCTGATGCTCGTGTGATAATGAGTTAATCCTGATGCTCGTGTGATAATGAGTTAATCCTGATGCTCAAGCGATAATGAGTTAATTCTGACGCTCAAGCGATAATGAGTTAATCCTGACACTCAAGTGATAATGAGTTAATCCTATCACATGTGATAATGAGTTAATTCCATCGCTCAAGTGATAATGAGTTAATCCTGACACTCAAGTGATGAGTTAATCCTGTCGCTCGTGTGATAATGAGTTAATCCCGTAGCTCATGTGATAATGAGTTAATTATGATGCTAGTGTGATAATGAGTTAATTCTAATGCTCAAGTGATAATGAGTTAATCCCGTCGCTCGTGTGATAATGAGTTAATCCTGATGCATGTGTGATAATGAGTTAATCCTGATGCTTGTGTGATAATGAGTTAATCCCATCGCTCAAGTGATAATGAGTTAATTCTGACGCTCAAGCGATAACGAGTTAATCCTGACGCTCGTGTGATAATGAGTTAATTCTGATGCTAGTGTGATAATGAGTTAATTCTGATGCTCAAGTGATAATGAGTTAATCCTATCACTCGTGTGATAATGAGTTTATTCCATCGCTCAAGTGATAATGAGTTAATCCTGACACTCAAGTGATAATGAGTTAATCCTGTCGCTCGTGTGATAATGAGTTAATTCTGATGCTCAAGTGCTAATGAGTTAATCCTGTCGCTCGTGTGATAATGAGTTAATTCTGTCGCTCGTGTGATAATGAGTTAATTCTAATGCTCAAGTGATAATGAGTTAATCCCATCGCTCGTGTGATAATGAGTTAATCCTGATGCATGTGTGATAATGAGTTAATCCTGTCGCTCGTGTGATAATGAGTTAAATCTGATGCTAGTGTGATAATGAGTTAATTCTGATGCTCAAGTGATAATGAGTTAATCCTGTCGCTCGTGTGATAATGAGTTAATCCTGATGCTAGTGTGATAATGAGTTAATTCTGACGCTCAAGCGATAACGAGTTAATCCTGTCGCTCGTGTGATAATGAGTTAATCCTGATGCTAGTGTGATAATGAGTTAATCCTGATGCTAGTGTGATAATGAGTTTATTCTGACGCTCAAGCGATAACAAGTAAATCCTGTCACTCGTGTGATAATGAGTTAATTCTCATGCTAGTGTGATAATGAGTTAATTCTGACGCTCAAGCGATAATGAGTTAATCCTGTCGCTCTTGTGATAATGAGTTAATCCTGTCGCTCGTGTGATAATGAGTTAATTCTGACGTTCAGTTGTTAATACATTAATTTCAATGCTCGATGATGTTTGTTTTTCCTGTTTATTTTGATATTGGTTTTCTATGACAGGTCCATACTGATAAAATACAGGCAGCTGCAGAAAAAGATTTAACTGGCCTCATTTGCGAAACATATATGGTTTGTATGTTTGTTGTACATGTTATCATAAACATCTATCATGCATAGCCTTTGTTCTTGTTACTCACTTAATAAAAAATCACAGGTGATCTACAGGTGTGCCTCTGTGTGTGTCTATACATGCACAACATATCTGATGAACCATTGATAATAGTAAATGTTGGTATTTTCTTAAATACCATTCAGCTAGCAATTTTTCACAAGTCAACACTTTCACGATTTTCTTTCAACAATCATATTAAAACTTAACAAATAAAAATTTTGTGATCTGGATGTGAAAGGCCATCTTACACACAAGTGTCTCATTATTTCACATCTCTTTAAGGTACCACAAAATAGCAAAACTGCCATCCTAGCGAAAATAGTTGGTTATACAGTATTTTTTTAGCAATTTTCAAGGATTACGTTGAGTTACATTCATACATACTTTTGGCTTTAAGCTTATACTAGAACCACAGAAATTTGACTCATTGAAAAAACTTTACACAAGTTCATATTCTGATCAACATCATACTATCAACTTCTACAACTGATTAAATTTGGAGGTCATCAGTCAAGGTTAAAGGGTTGAAGGGTTAAAGTTCACACTTGATCAGTTTTGAAATAAAAATCTTATGTGTCATATTTATAATGATTCCCTTTAAAGTTGTTGTGAAATATGTTAAAAATCAGGGAGTGGAGAGAATATCTGTATGAGTCCTTGCTCTCTTTGTTTTTATTTGATAAAATATTACAATATTTTTCCGACTTTTCGTGACAAACCTTTGTAATTCTCATTCATATTAAAGTGTTTTCTGTCATTTGCCATTTCAGAGCCTGTCATGTCTGAATCATTCGTAAAATATTTTCATATCTATCATATTTCAGGGCACCAAGCCTGCAGCTTGTGAGAAAGTCCTCAGGTACATACACAGAGTATAGCTGGCTCATACAGCGGCTGTGGTGACAGTGATGCATCTTATGTGAAAAAGCCACCAGTTTTCTGATTAAACAATCAGGTGAATTTCATGTTCACTTTGGTGGCCATTTCTGATATGGATCAAGGAATTATACAAGAAAACTCAGAATTCCCACAGAAATCCCTGTCTTTGTACAGAAATCCCTGTCTTAGAACAGAAACCCTTTATTTAGTATAGAAACCCTTGGTTTAGTACAAAAAAACTGATTTAGTACAGAAACCTCTCTCTTGGTACTGACTACAGAAACCACTGGCCTAGTGCAGAAACCTGTGTTTTAGTATAGAAACCCTTGATTTAGTTCAGAAATCTCAGATCTAGCACAAAAAGTTTTATTATTGTATAACACTAACGTATATATCCAACAATAACTCCAGGCTGCAAAAATGTTACCTTTGACTCTAAGGGGTGGGCTTATTACAGGAAAATGATATAACATTTGTTTGTATTTTAAGAAAATAGTATAGATGTTATCATTCAGCCATGGGCTTATTGAGGGATAACTACAGTTACTTTAGTGATTTTTTTTATTAAAACACATGTTGCACTTATATTACAACTTAGATTTCTTGCACAGTAAAGAAAATATTTTCTGTAGCATGTCCCAATTATCCATAAGATATTCCAAAGGAGCTGGTTACCAATGATATGATTTTATCCCCAAAGTGAACATTGTGATTTAATTGTTCATATCATGTAATTAGACAATTTGCCATTATATGATCATGTCAAAAATTTCCAGCTGTCTATCAGTACAACTTCCAAACATCCTTTTTTGGGGATGTCATGGTGGTGTAATGGTTAGGCACAGGATAGGAGTAAAAAATTGTCTACATTACATTACACGTTTATATATATAGAAATCTATCATTTATTCTGTTGATAATCAACTCTGAACTTTGTGTAGAATATTATTCATTCATTTAATGAGACTAATATGTACATTCTTTAAGAGTTTTTAAGAATCAATTAGATGGAATGCAGTTAAATGTTGTAATATTCAATTATTTCAGACTTGGAACAAAAGTATTTAACTCATATTTTATCATAATGTGTAGTGTAAGGATATAATTGATTAATTCAGTCTAATTTCACTGTTCACACTCGTAGAAAGAAGAAAATTCTCATGAATACAAAATGCATTAACAGATATCTAGATTTTTGTAATTCTTACTAATTTAATACCTATTTGAAGTTTAAAAAATATCTGGAATTCGTTATTCTATTTGTGATGTACAATTAAAGTTATTTTCACACATTGAAATTTGAATTCTTTTAATAAAATAATCAATACCTTTTTGTGGTAACAAATGCTGAGTCTCGGAGTGAGGTTTTGTAAAATGGACATAACGTACCTGGTATGATTGTATGTATGGGATTGGAGTTAAGGATGGTTGTGTTCTTAATTTTTACTTAAGAGATGGAGATGATATTTATAGCAAGAGGCATTTGAGTCGTTGCATTTCTGTGTAAACTGACACATGTATCACATAATATACAAATTAAACTATGTGAACTTTGAACCTTTTGTATGTGTATCTGTATAAAGTCGTCAACTCTTCCTATTTCTATGTCTTATAATATACTAATTTGATCTTTCTCAAATTTCTTACGTTAGCATTCATCTTGAGAATACAAATATCAAATTGAATTTTTATTCAAAATCAAGAACACAAAAAACTCTTGTTCATCAGCAGCTTACCTCCTTATTTTTCTCTAAATGCCCCGATAGTTCAAAAGAGGCAGCTTTTGTCCAAGCTTTAGGATAAGTATGACAATTTCAATTTTCTTATTGCGAAATTTCCATTTCTGGTTAGTAAAATCCAGATTCCTTAACTTGAAATGTTCTTCCTGTCTGTGGATGGGGTGGGGGACTCTCGTTTCATTGTGTTTGAGTTTGAATGAAGATTTTTTTGACATATCAGCGTCACCTGAAGTGCATTCCTGGGCTTTACACTGGAAATAAGCTCATCACTTTGTGTAGTGTAACCATATCACACATGTATCCAGGTGGTAACCATACCTTGTAATTTTAGAAAGTGTATGAGAAAATCAGTCACCTTAGGGCAATATGGACAGAATGACCTGAAGCCTCAGTGTAATATTTTCAAATTTCAGCAGGTTTTCCTTTTATCCTTAGATTTTGAGATAATTCTGTCCATATTACACAGAATGAGTATTATTTATTTATCTGCATCAACAATATCACTGCGCAAGTATCAACCGCAACAAGCTCAGGGTAAGTTGGTAGTATGTTCATTAATCTTGTTGACCGGGCTTCATCAGGACAACAAATGTATGAAATTTTTCCCTTAAGTACTAAAAATGTGGGCACATTACATTATGACATACACAATAAAGGTCACATACATGACCTTCCATTATATTCTATAGTTTCCATAAAAGTTAATACAATTCGTTGTATGTATAATTCTACATAAGTATATATCAGATATTGTGCTCGTTAACCAGTAAATTAGGAGTTTCTCAATCATAAATGGATTTATCAACGATTACAGTTACTGTTACAGAGTTGATAAAATTAAAAGATTTGTTCATCTAAACAAATGATAGAAGCAGAGGAGTTGTACTCATATTGTTGGCTGTTTCCTCCTACTTCGGATGTGGTTGTAGACATCTACTGGTATCTCAACATCTTGTAGTCCTGTGTGTTTACTTCAGATGATTTAGAAGAGGATGCAGTGTCGTCACTGTCTCTATCCGACAGTGCTAAGTCCTTTTTAAGTAGTTCAATGGCCTCGTCCAGGACTGGTCTGAACTGTCGGCTTTGAGGACTAACTGTGCTTCCTGGTTTAATCTGAATTTTACAAGGTCCAATTATTTTTTAGTCAGCGCTTCGAACGGCTGTTTATCATCAGGTTTTACTGCATTAATTTTGGACATATCTTCAAACAGTGCCAGTTCCACACTATATCCCTGGTGTTCTTTTCTTAGACGACGATTATGTTTCCTTCCTTTCACGTGTTGGTTTGCATATCTTGTATTTGTACCATTGTGTATCTTGCATGTCCCCATAGGTTCCTAATAGTTGAGTAAGTCCTCCCATATTTGATACAAGGGATTCTTAGTTTCATCTTTGGCTGCTGAGACCATCAGGAGTTGTGGTTTACAATATTAAAACAACAACCACAATATTAAAACAATATTACAGAGTACCATCCTTCAATAAGCCCAGGGAGACAAAATACGCACTCAAAAGTCAGGCATGTGCTTAATGCATGACAATGAATTTAGCAAAATTATATTTGTAGTTCTAACAAACTGCAGTATGGGTGGGCTTATTACCAGACATCTGTTTACTAAGAGGACTTAATTCCATTGGAGTTGTCTGCCCTTACACCATTGCTTTTGTATGTTTGTTTTTTGGGTTTGTCCTTCCGTGAACAATTTGGGTAATTTTGATGCATTCTCATTATCGTAGCTGATTGCTAAATCACTGAATATTACAAACAAGGCATGTCGCATGCTGTCCAGATCAACTACGACAAAGTGTCTTTCCCAAGAAGGCAACCTTGTCAGCACAGACCAATCCATTTCTCAGCGTCCTGAGAAACACGAATCGCTAAAGTTAGGGAGTGTTGAACCGGATATTGATTGATTTTTGAGTATCAAATACTTGAACTGCAATCATGCTGACTCTGCCAAGTGGTAATCTTATACAAAAATAGGACCAAGTCAGTTTCATTTAAGTGAAATAATTTATTTTTTGATGTTCAATATCTACTTAATTTAGTTTATCACATATACAAATTGTACATCTCTGACTTTACCATGTGAAAATTCTACAACTCAGATTTCACATATCAGGTATATAAATTTTACAACTTCAACTTTACCAGTTGTCACTTTCACCACATCCCCCAAAAAAACATGCACCAGACTAGCACTCTGATACCACTGATTTCAAATTGAATTTTGTTGAATTAAAATTATAGTAGTTAACAAAGGGGACTTTTGTACGATGAAGGTTTTTGTATCTATAAATAGATCTATAAAGAAACACTAACATTTTAACGTGATTCAGCCCACAACATTAACAGTACAGCCCACCAGTTAAACCCTCAGAAAAATGAGGTCATAAATTATGTTAATTCATATCAGGGATAAATATAGCTTTCCAAAAATAAAAAATTACAAACATAATCATGAAACCATGACATAAAAACTATTCCAAGCTTGTTTTAAGAATGAGTTCCAGAAACAATTTTGAAAGTTTCTTACAGAAATTCACATATACACATTTATAAATACATGAAATAGGATGGACACATTTGAAAGACAGGAAACAGCCTTTTTCTTCTGTAGAAGGGAAATAACTTACTTTTTTTTTTTTTATACTTACTTGTACCTTAAGTGTTAATTATTCTGAAATTGTTGAAGGATTTTGCATCAAATCACAATTTAACTGTATAAACAATCTTGAATGAGTTTACATTTATACAAAATTTATGAAACAAGTTGTTAAATTTTACATTTTATCGAACATTTGGTTATTTAATAGAAAAAAATAGGTGACAAGTTTCATAAATGTTATATGCAGATTCTATTAATTACAAAATGTAGGTACTAATTTCAAGCATTTGATTACGGTATAAAATAATATAAGACTGATTTGAAATCTCAGTGGAATTCTTATGATAATCTATTTCTTCAATGACATCACAATGCCATGATGTAATGAAGTTATGATGTCACAATAAAAACAATGGAAACCTTCAATCAATCACAGTTCCACCAATGGCTTGGTCAGACTAAATGTGTGGTCAGGTCAGACTAAATGTGTGGTCAGGTCAGGCTAAATGTGTGGTCAGGTCAGGCTAAATGTGTGGTCGGGTTGGACTAAATGTGTGGTCGGGTCGGACTAAATGTGTGGTCGGGTCAGGCTAAATGTGTGGTCGGGTCAGGCTAAATGTGAGGTCAGGTCAGGCTAAATGTGTGGTCAGAGCAGACTAAATGTGTGGTCAGGTCAGGCTAAATGTGTGGTCAAGTCAGACTAAATGTGTGGTCAGGTCAGACTAAATGTGTGGTCAGGTCAGGCTAAATGTGTGGTCAGGTCAGGCTAAATGTGTGGTCAGGTCAGGCTAAAAGTGTGGTCAGGTCAGGCTAAATGTGTGGTCAGGTCAGACTAAATGTGTGGTCAGGTCAGATAAACGTGTAGTCAGGTCAGACTAAACGTGTAGTCAGGTCAGACTAAATGTGTGGTCAGGTCAGACTAAATGTGTGGTCAGGTCAGATAAACGTGTAGTCAGGTCAGACTAAAAGTGTAGTCAGGTCAGACTAAACGTGTGGTCAGGTCAGACTAAATGTGTGGTCAGGTCAGACTAAACGTGTAGTCAGGTCAGACTAAACGTGTAGTCAGGTCAGACTAAAAGTGTAGTCAGGTCAGACTAAACGTGTAGTCAGGTCAGGCTAAATGTGTGGTCAGGTCAGACTAAACATGTAGTCAGGTCAGACTAAATGTGTGGTCAGGTCAGACTAAACGTGTAGTCAGGTCAGGCTAAATGTGTGGTCAGGTCAGACTAAACATGTAGTCAGGTCAGACTAAATGTGTGGTCAGGTCAGACTAAATGTGTGGTCAAGTCAGGCTAAATGTGTGGTCAGGTCAGGCTAAATGTGTGGTCAGGTCAGGCTAAATGTGTGGTCAGGTCAGACAAAATGTGTGGTCAGGTCAGACTAAACGTGTAGTCAGGTCAGACTAAAAGCGTAGTCAGGTCAGACTAAACGTGTAATCAGGTCAGACTAAACGTGTAGTCAGGTCAGACTAAACGTGTAGTCAGGTCAGACTAAATGTGTAGTCAGGTCAGACTAACTGTGTGGTCAGGTCAGACTAAACGTGTGGTCAGGTCAGACTAAAAGTGTAGTCAGGTCAGACTAAATGTGTAGTCAGGTCAGACTAAATGTGTAGTCAGGTCAGACTAAACGTGTAGTCAGGTCAGACTAAACGTGTAGTCAGGTCAGACTAAAAGTGTAGTCAGGTCAGACTAAACGTGTAGTCAGGTCAGACTAAAAGTGTAGTCAGGTCAGACTAAACGTGTAGTCAGGTCAGACTAAACGCGTTGTCTGACTTAGTTTATTATTAGTTAACGATAAACCATTGTAACCTTCCCACTGCTACAAGGTAAGGGATGGATTATTCTATTTAAATACTTGTATTAGCAATCATTTTTTAAATTCCACAAGTCACACTCTCATATGTTTCTATTCAATGAATTCGCTGACAATCATGAACAAACGAAATATTGCTATAGCGAGAACTATTATACAAGTCTCATGCCTGTGCTGTAAGGGGCAACAGCAAACCATGGTTAGGAGAACTCGCATACGTCTTGTGTTGTGTCGTGTATTCATGTAAAGTACTCGTATTCTCATGCATTCTCACGAACAAAATGGTATTGCCAGAAGTTTAAGGGAAAAAGTCACTTCAATAATTCTGTAGGTTTCCTAAAGTACATGTATCATATATTGTATGTACAAGCAAAAATTGTATAAATGTTCTACGATTAAACTTTGTTATACATCCTAACTTCTTAAACTTACTTTCTATGTTTGGAAGAAACAACTTATTACATATCATCTCATGTTGTATGATTATTGTGGTCGTCACATTATAATTATTAAGGAGTGAAAGACAAAAAACAAAAAGGATAAACTACATAGGTTTGTTTAAATCCCTCTTCTTGGAGGATTTATTTTTGTTCAGTAGGTGGGTATGATAAACCTTTAGTCAGTCCGAATATTAAATAAATATCGTTGAAATTGTTCAATTAAACAAAATTTTGCTTGTGAAAATAAACTAAAATTTGAACTTTCAGAATCCACATTGTCCAAAATCATAACAAGACTAGAATGGGTTTGAATTATCACTATAGACCCCAAAATTATTGTTTTTATTGAAAGTATCATGAATTCAAACTACCTGCCTATGCGAACTGACTAGAGGTTCACCATGTTCTAAATCCACGAATTTATACCTTCACAAAATATAAACATTGACATGGATCGTCGTACTAGTGAATTTTGTGAGTAAGATTTGTCAACAAACAAATACCAATAGAATTTTTCTTTGGAAAACCATGAAATCTGAGTGCCACGAAAATATACAATTTCAACATACAACATTCATCAAAAATTGGTCTTTCTATATCAGCAAGTATCGACAGCAGAAAACCGATTGTTAAAGTGAATGTGATATATTATAAAAATATCACTAATTTCTTTCTTTTTTCCCCTTTTTTTCAAGTGATCAATACACATTTACAATGTTTTGTTAATACAATGATGGAGAATGTTTCCTTGGTTCATATATAAATCCAGGACCCCAATTCACTAATCTTCTTTACTAGGTCAATGAATCACAGACACCCAAAGAAATGCCCATAACATGTAGTTGTAGAGTGAACCTTGGACTGTGATTTCTCCACCAGGCTAGATTCAGGAAACACAATATTGACCTGCGGCAACATCCACTTATTCTCCAAGCAGGTTGATAAAACACAGTCAGAAACATCAGTTGTAAAGTACAGTAAATCTCCGACCCTATTTTCAGCCCCATGCCAGGTTCATCAAACACAATATTGACCCAAGGAGAGGTTTCATAAGACTATTTCATATGTTTTGGTGTCGGATAGGGATATTCTGCACAAAAGGTCACAAAATGTCACAAATCATCCCGAGGCTTTGCCAAGGGTTTTACCACATTTTGTGACCTAAAGGGTGAAATATCCCATCACCCCTGACAAATAAAAGATTGTTTTTCTCTCATATCTCATTCTAAAATACTGAAAAAATATGAGCTTCACACATGTACTACCAAAGATACCATCTGACACAAAAATCAAATTTTTTTATTTTGTAATCAGTCAAGAAATTGACGCAGAAAATGTATTCTTTATACCCAGATTTGGCCAAGAAAGTTTGCCTTAGAAAATTAAAGCAAATTAGAAACTGTCACTACACTAAATAACCACTTGTACACAAGTGTGTATACATTGTATCAGGTGATGATGTCAGTTGCTAAGAGACACATCACATTTCTACACACACGTGCCTGTATTGTATGAGTGGTTGCGTGTATTGCTCTGGACAGACAGTATCACACTGGTAGACATGAGAGAAATTGTTGTAAAATATGCAAACAGGCTTATAAAACCTTAGAACCTGGTTTCTTTTTCAAGCCGGGGTCAGAAAACACGGTCTGACCTGAGCAGACATAAAAAGCTGCAAATCCAAGGCCCGGATTTGTCCATCACACCAAGTTCGTAAAACACAGCACTGACCTGAAGAGCCAAGTGTAGTCGTATTAAAAGGTAAATCCTAGGCCCTGGTTTCTCTTCCTTGCCAGGTTGAATGTGCTAATGAAAGCTTCTTTTTGACAAACATCCAAGAGGAAATGGAAATGGGGGACAACCCCTCCTTCACCTGATGGAGAGGCTGACAAATCAGACAGACTTTCGACTCTTGTCGGCGATCTTGGTGGTGACACATGAACGTAATCAGCAGCACCATCTATAAAAGCTTCAACTCTGTTTTTGCTTTCGTTCTCAAACTGAAATGGAAAAAAACTAAACTTACCTTTTACCATGGTAGTATGTCAAGATAAAGAGGATGTCAAGTGTCATGTTGAAGACATGTCCAACTGTAGGAAAGTCATTTTGTGAGTTCTCCCTTTGTCAAGGCTAAGATTATGACAACAGCTTTATTTCATAATCAAACTCATCCACATGTCCAAAAGAAGGGTAGTTGAATCACAAGTCTGACATGTAAAATATGTAAACTTTGAGTTCAAAGAGTAAATCATTTCAATAACACATTTACATACAGGGTTCACTTTAATCACATAGTTTATGAAATATATACATCAACTATATACCCGTTATTTTTTCGCAAGAACATTATTTTTGCAATTTGTAGATACATTAATGTGACTTAAAAAATTAAATCCACGAATAATGTATTTGTTGTCCTTTCAAATTCAGAGGACCTAGAAAATACATATAACTAACATAAAATGATTGGTTGTTTTGAGACTTACCTCCCTTGTTGCCTGATGGAAGCGGTCTTTCCATAGCAGAGTCAGTAGATTTCGGTTTCCAGGTTTCTGACTAATTTCTAATTCAGCCAATGAAAAGGCTTGTTGTTGGCAATCCTCTTCACAGTTCATGACAACAAGCAGTTCATTTGTTACCAGCAGGTCAACACTGAGTTCTGACCCAGTGGGGTCAAGAAAGGTCGCAGATGTAGATATCAGGAGGTCATTAGGGGACACAGACTGCAGCAATTTCCTGACAAGTGTTAATTAGAAAAGTTAATACAAAATGTACAACATACAGTATTGAAAACATCAAGAAATATAGGTCTAACAGATACCACAGCTTTCCTCATCTGAAATTTTACTTCCAGCAACACATGTAACACATTTCCATGAGGCTCGAAGTGTGTGGTTTCCATGAGGCTCGAAGTGTGTGGTTTCCATGAGGCTCGAAGTGTTTGGTTTCCATGAGGCTCGAAGTTTGTGGTTTCCATGAGGCACTAAGTTTGTGGTTTCCATGAGGCTCGAAGTTTGTGGTTTCCATGAGGCTGGAAGTTTGTAGTTTTCAAAGATATTCCAATTCGGTACTTGATTCTAATGATAATATATGCTCAGGGCATTCCTAATACTTCAAATGTATGTCAAATTTTCCACGATCATACAATGTATGGAAATATGAATTCATAGATAAAGAGTACCTATGAATACAATGAAAATAAAACACAGCAAATATTAAGATTTTTGCAGTTTTATGACAGAAATTGAGCAAGGGGAACTCAAATAATTTTTGGAGTGAACACAAGTGTGGCTTACATTGAAGGTTCATAAAATTTCTTAAAAATATTTTGTCAGACTCGACTGGAAATACAGAAAACTGTGTTATGATTAATCCCAGCTCAATGTTCTAGATTGAAACAAAGGGAAACTCCTGAAGCAGCCTGCCTTTGTTGTGCATAATACAACATGATGGTCTTTTACCAGCCAAATGAAATATTAGCACCTGTATTATAAAACTTAGGCTACTAAAGAAGTAATGTGTCCTAGTGTGTCCAAGATGGTTAATCAAGTAGTATGGACATGTGGAATAATCTAACTTACCCGAAGTATTTCAGTCTACATCCACGGAATGATGACACAAGTTGAACTTCTGCTGCATATCGCACTTTGGGTGAATCTGCAGCCAGCCCAGTTCCCAGAAGAATTCCTTGATAACAAACATAGACCAGACATAGATTTATCTAAAATACTACGAATATCATCGAAAAAGATATCTTAATCTCCTCTTCCTCTTTCTAGGATGGAGATCTAACATAAAAATGGGGAGCTGGGGAACTAGTATCAAGCGATTTGTTATCAATTTACACACATGACTTTTGTGTTCAGTTTACACAAATAACTTTTGTGTTCAATTTACACACTTAACTTTTGTGTTCAATTTACACACTTAACTTTTGTGTTCTATTTACACACTTAACTTTTGTGTTCAATTTACACACATAACTTTTGTGTTCTATTTACACACTTAACTTTTGTGTTCAATTTACACACTTAATTTTTGGTGTTCTATCACACATTTTTGCACACATTAATTTTTGGTGTTCAATTTCACATATAACTTTTGTGTTCAATTTCACATATAACTTTTGTGTTCAATTTCACACTTAACTTTTGTGTTCAATTTACACACTTAATTTTTGGGATCAATTTGCACACTTAATTTTTGGGATCAATTTCACATATAACTTTTGTGTTCAATTTCACATATAACTTTTGTGTTCAATTTCACACTTAATTTTTGTGTTCAATTTACACACATAACTTATGTGTTCAATTTACACACATGACTGTTGTGTTCAATTTACACACATGACTTTTGTGTTCAATTTACACACATGACTTTTGTGATCTATTTACACACATAATTTTTTTGTGTGTTCTATTTACACACATAACTTTTGTGTTCAATTTCACACATAACTTTTGTGTTCTATTTACACACATAATTTCTGGTACACACATCATCTTATTAATGAAATTGGAACATATTGAAGCATGAGATGGAAATAAAGAACAAAAACAAAATGAACATTTATTGTTTGATAGAATAACCAACAACTACAACAACTGACAACAGTCTTACCTTGTCCAGTTTGTGATACAAACTCTGCAGCTCCACCTATGGGTTTAGTGACGGCCCCGACCAGGCCCTTACCCACCCCTGTCACCACCCCTGTAGCAGCTGCTGATGTGGACTTTGGGCGCTCACTGGCATCCTGATTTGAAATGATATTCTGGATAGGCTGATCCGCGAGTCCAGCCACAGCCCCTAGTGTTAACAAGGAAGGTCAAAAGTCAGCAGGACCCTAAGTATTGTAAAGCTAGTCAGCCATCTTTTTTGTTTTGATGGTACAAATGTGACAGTATACAGTGATAAGGACAAGACTCTGGCCTTAATCAGAATTACAGAATTAAACCAAAGAATAGTAATTTTTTGCAAAAATTTTCTTGCTTAAAAAAAGCATATTGTTGAAACTGTTCTTAGCAAGTTTTTATCAAATTAATGAAAAAAGTGTTTTGTTTTTAAAAACTGTTTGCAAATTTATTCTCAATTACTGAGGGAGTATCTTAAAATGACTGCCAGATTGCCGCCATGATGAAATTTTAACAATACAAGAAACAACAACACCAAAGAACATTGCACACCCCATACCTGATAAACTCGTTCCAAACTCTTTAAGCCCAAGTCTCACACCCCTTACCTGATAAACTCGTTCCAAACTCTTTAAGCCCATGTCTCACACCCCTTACCTGATAAACTCGTTCCAAACTCTTTAAGCCCAAGTCTCACACCCCTTACCTGATAAACTCGTTCCAAACTCTTTAAGCCCAAGTCTCACACCCCTTACCTGATAAACTCGTTCCAAACTCTTTAAGCCCATGTCTCACACCCCTTACCTGATAAACTCGTTCCAAACTCTTTAAGCCCAAGTCTCACACCCCTTACCTGATAAACTCGTTCCAAACTCTTTAAGCCCAAGTCTCAGACCCCTTACCTGATAAACTCGTTCCAAACTCTTTAAGCCCAAGTCTCACACCCCTTACCTGATAAACTGATAAACTCGTTCCAAACTCTTTAATAAACTCGCCAAAGCCCAAGTCTCACACCCCTTAAGTCTCACACCCCTTACCTGATAAACTCCCAAACTCTAAGCCCAAGTCTCACACCCCTTACCTGATAAACTCGTTCCAAACTCTTTAAGCCCAAGTCTCACACCCCTTACCTGATAAACTCGTTCCAAACTCCTTAAGCCCAAGTCTCACACCCCTTACCTGATAAACTCGTTCCAAACTCATTAAGCCCAAGTCTCACACCCCTTACCTGATAAACTCGTTCCAAACTCCTTAAGCCCAAGTCTCACACCCCTTACCTGATAAATTTATTCCAAACTCTTTAAGCCCAAGTCTCAAACCCCTTACCTGATAAACTCGTTCCAAACTCCTTAAGCCCAAGTCTCACACCCCTTACCTGATAAACTCGTTCCAAACTCCTTAAGCCCAAGTCTCACACCCCTTACCTGATAAACTCGTTCCAAACTCTTTAAGCCCAAGTCTCACACTCCTTACCTGATAAATTTATTCCAAACTCTTTAAGCCCAAGTCTCAAACCCCTTACCTGATAAACTCGTTCCCTACCCAAAAAGTCTAAGTCAGCTTAATTAACGAATTCATTCTGAACTCCAGACGTCCCACTCTGAGATCCCTTACCTAATAAACTCATTCCAAACCCGGTAAGTCCCTGTTTTAGACCACTGGAAATCCCATGTGGTTGTTGTCGACGTCTTTCCTCTTGTCGTTCCTGGTGATATTGATCGAGGGAAAGGCGATCCATGTTTCGAGATACACTGGAGGCAAAACTTGTCACGGACATTATCATACCTGCCAACAAAGCATTACGATCTAATCAGGTACAGACATGACATAACAGCATAGAATACCCTGTCAAACCTGACCCCTGTCCAATAAAGACCTCTGTCTACTCTGGCTTTTTTGTAAGAGGTAGTTACATATATAATCTGGACCCTGCCTTTTCTGGCATTTTCCCTTTTTTTTACTGTAGTTACATCATATGGAGTCAGTCCTTTCTGAAAACAATTGTTGTTTAACTGATCATAGTGTAAGAGTTTTTCTAAAAATGACCTGTTCAAAACGAACTTGAACTGTTCTCACCATTCATTAATCTTAACAAACACTTTTGAAGGTCATCACATTTACTAACTTTTAAATCTCACATTTTACTTAAACTGCTGCATTTTTGTATCTTGTTAAAAATAACTAAATCTTTGATAATAACTTTTCCATGTTTTTAAATGTTATTCTAATTTACAAATATACCGGACTGTGTATCTCAATAAACTGACACCTGTGTAAACCAGTATCAGAGAGTTTGGATTAAGACAGGTTATATTGTACCAGTGAAACGGTGTGCCATTTGATGATAGCTATACCATATGATGGAACAACATCAACTAATAAAGCTGTAGATGTTATTATGCATACAAGATTTTTTTTTGTTATTTTCAAGGAAGAAAAAAAACATGAAAAATTCATTGAAAATAGAGAAAAATACAGCCTGTTTTGTAAACTTCTTCAAAAACTACATTACATTTGAAAATTTGAGCCATTTAAAAAAACATAATACAATATCATTTTTGGTATATAAACTTGTATTTATGTCATTATGTCTGGTAATAAACACACCTAAATATGTCTTTACTGGAACATGGATATTGAGATTAATTGTATTGCTCCCTTGGTTTAGTGTCCTGTAATAAGCCCACCCACAGACTGTGATGAGTCAGAGTAATTGTGCTGGTTCCCTGGGTTTAGTGTCTTGTAATAAGCCCACCCCCAGACTGTGATGAGTCAGAGTAATTGTGCTGGTTCTCTGGGTTTAGTGTCCTTTAATAAGCCCACCCCCAGACTGTGATACGTCTGAGTAATTGTACTGGTTCTCTGGGTTTATTCTCCTGTGAAAAAATAAAACCCACCCCAAGCCCTCTGGCTTACCTGAGGAAATGTTTTTGACAAAGGAAGTCATGCCATGTGACACGCCGGACACAAATGCCCCCGGTCCACGAGTTAAACCAGTGTAAGGCATTTTAACCAGGTCAGCCACTCCAGTTCCAATACTCCGTATAAGACCTGTTGGGTTTCCTAAGATTTCCAAGGATCCCACCACAATTCCGACCCGAAACAGTGCTCCAGTAGCATAATGCATAGCCAACACTCTAATGACTTGATGTGAAATACCACACACGTCCTTGCGTTCAAACTTCCCAAAGGACAGTGGTGTACGATCTGAAGCTATGAAGAGTTTTAGAGATGCATGTAAGCTAAAGAGCAAGTTAATTGGCTGAATGCAGAGATGCTCAATTTTCACAGGACAGCTGAGGGATGTTGATATATTTCTGAAAGACTTTGGTAATTTTTTTACAAAAATATCACTTCTTGTCCCACTGGAATGTGAAAGTTTCGTTGGTATCAAACTTTCGACTTCCTTTAGAAATCTCAAAATAAACCCATCGTCAATATTAGCTATTGCTGCTTGTAGACCAAATTCCACCCTCTTGGTCACGGAATTGTCCAAGATAGTTGTTCCTTGGACTATTTGAAAATGTAGAAAACTCACGGATTTGAGGACTGCAAACTTTTCCGATATACTGAGATTCTGAAGACTGGGCAGTGTGAGTTGTGATGGGTCGGGAATGTTTTGTGGTAAGAACAGTACAGGGAAGTCATACAAGCCTTTAGTATGGAACAGTTGATTGTCCAACTGAATGACCCCGACGCATGCAGATATGCATGAGTGACTTTCCGATTCCTCTATAGAAATCTGTCCAGAAGGGTAATAAGCCACAAAAAGTTCATCAATGGAAACTCGGAGAACTTCGGAGACTTCTACAGAACTTGATGTCTCGTCTTTCAGGGAGACAGTGAGATGTCTTACTCTCACACCAACTGTTATATCCATACTTGGGGCTGTAGGTTTGAACACAATTTCCTGTAAATTCTCAGAAATATTTTCTTGATGTATATAAGTGTCATGAGAGTTCGAAGGGATTTCCTCTGCTACTCTGGTAACGGTCTTTTCCTGTCCTGTCAGACGACTGCGGATTTCTTTGGCGGATACTTCAGCTTTGCTGATTGGTTCTATGGTAATGAATGTCACCATGGCAACTTTCATGACCTTGACCTTGACATCAAAACATCCAGGAATAGGCACAAACATTTCCATTTTAGAGTTTACATCAATTGCACGACTCCATATTAGACACTTTTCATCAGGACTTTTTTCAGCGTTTCCGACTTGAGCTGACGTTAGATTGCGGAGATCTTTACTGTTCACAGCAAAATGTAGACTTGGGATGAGAGAGTTGGAAATGTCTTCACCAAATATACCATTGATTAGGCTTGGTGTGTAGAAGACATTTTGACCCTCGGGAATAAATGGAGGTCCTCCCAATAATTCCGTCTCCTCCTGCACCGTAATATCTACAATTCAAAGATCAAGTATGTATTCTGAATCAGATTTCCAAATGATAAATGGTCTAGTCTTGTTGTGCTATGTTGTGTTTTTTTTTCATCAGTTGATTTTTAACTATTAACACATGAAAAAGTGCGAGTTTTACAAAGACTAGAACATCTCTGTAGGATATCTAGTATCGCTGTTTAATGAATTTGCAAAAAGCGGTCAAATGCGACCTTTGACCATTTAACCTTGACCTATGACTACCTTACCACGAGGAGATTCAGACTTTGATGTTGTGATACTTTTGGGTAAACATGAACCAAATCTGTTAAAGTTCTAACAAAATGATGTGGAATGGGACGGACTGAACTGGACTAAGGTACATTAGTAACACTCTATAAAACAGAGAGGACATAAAAGTCATTGTGTTAAGCACCTAACATGACTCTTCATGTTCATTGTAACTGACTGAGAGTTAGTCAGGAATATACAGCAATGGTAAAGACTTATCTAGAAGCACTGTCACGGTTATTACATGTATTTTCGATGGAACCCATTTCTTTCTATTTTCAGGGATAGAATGAATTTGTGAAAAATATCTACATTGGAAACCAATTTTATAGAGAAAAAGTTCATGTCACGATTTCAATGAAAAATGTGTCCTGTTTGCTTCCAGATTTGGTAAAATTGCATGATCCTCAAATTATACAACCTTGAAAAGTAACAGTAATGATAGGTATTAATTCTTAGAGAAATACAACACTTTAAAAGGTATGGTGTAGCTTCTTCTAAAAACATGTTTCTCAAAGAAAGACGGCTCCAATCATGGAGAATCCTAACTGAAAGAACAGTGTGTGTCGGTCCCTAGTGTTGAACAGCATGAAACTCACTTGGGGCTATGATGTTGGCGTTTTGATGGCCATAGTACAGTGGAACATTGGTTGCATTCTGCAGTAGACAAGATGGTGAATTATCCTTCCGCATCACAAAGTAGGCCACACCATTCCTCTCCTGCCCTGTGATACACAATGGCTCTGTCATTCGTCCTGGCTTTCTATTGGGGACAGAAACTGTAGTCCGAACTGCATTTTTATTGGCCAGAAGTCGTACTGGATTTGACCAATCAGAATCATTGACACATTCTTCTGTTTTGATTGGTTGAAGGAACATGTAATGAACCAATGAATCTTCTTCCTGAAGCAGGTCACTGCCCTGTGAATTGTCCAGTGACCACACGGGAAGAGGATAAATGTCTGTGTCCTGTTTACTGACCTTTGAATGGTCAGGAAAGCTAATCCAGGCCGAATCACCTAGAATCGTTCTTTGAATCTGCAAAACAAGTCAGGGAATGTATGGTGAATACATTAGATTCATATAAAACTATAATATAATTTACATTAATTATCATGTGTGAAGGTTACATAGTGGTGATTAACTGACTCGTCTTTCACTTAGACAACTGGGGTTTATTCCTTGATCACATGTTAAAAAGTTTTATTTTTCCTAAAGTACTGGGATTTCTTCCCCACAGTAAAAAACCCTGATGTGCTTCAGTCATGGGCTAACATGAGTGACTAATGTCAGCTTTTACTTTGCTTTGCAATTATTCCAAAAACAAATAAGTTTATATTTTTTTATTGAAGTGTATGAAATCACGTTAGATTCATTTCTCCTCTGATACCATACCTGTCCCATCCTTGGACAAGCACACTGTAACACTGCCTTGTAGGACTGTCCTGTTAAATTGGTTATGCAGATAGACTCTAGGATAGTAATCACTCTCATCCTGTGGCGAACAGATGACTGGACAGTGAGAAGGTACACCTGTAAACAATAAGGGTCATGTAAGGACAACAAATTTTTTCAGGCATCAAGTTGGAAGAGTCTGATGGGGTCCGTGTAATGAAATACTTAATCAGTGATGTCTAGATAGCATTCTGCAAGATACACTTCCATCGCAGTCAAATTGAAGTTACAGTCAGCTGGAAACCTTTTGCTCAACTTACAATTTCCTTTTCGGAATCACAAACCAACGTTTGCTAGGTGATAGAATCACTATTGAAACTTAAAAGACAATAATTCTTCAAATTCAAGTTATGAGCAAAATTGAAACAAGAACGAAAGATTTAAGGAATTTGGTCGCATTGGCGTCTGTGACAGCTTTTTGTTCATTACCTTATTCTCACTGGCTTGTGTGATGGTGGTACTTTCTTACCTTGGCCTTGTTGGCTAATGTGACAGCAATTTTTTCTTACCTTATTCTCACAGGCTTGTGTGACATATATTAGTTCTTACCTTGATCTCACTAGCTTGTGTAACAGATATTAGTTCTTACCTTAGTCTCAGTAGCTTGTGTAACAGATTGCGTGACAGATATTAGTACTTACCTTAGTCTCACTAACTTGTGTGACAGATATTAGTACTTACCTTGGTCTCATTAACTTGTGTGTCAGATAACCTTGATCTTACTAGCTTGTCTGACAGATATAAGTTCTTACCTTAGTCTCACTAGCTTGTGTGACAGATATTAGTTCTTACCTTAGTCTCACTAGCTTGTGTAACAGATATTAGTTCTTACCTTAGTCTCAGTAGCTTGTGTGACAGATATTATTTCTTACCTTGATCTCACTAGCTTGTGTGACAGATATGAGTACTTACCTTAGTCTCACTAACTTGTGTGACATATATTAGTACTTACCTTGGTCTCATTAACTTGTGTGTCAGATATTAGTTCTAACCTTGATCTCACTAGCTTGTCTGACAGATATAAGTTCTTACCTTAGTCTCACTAGCTTGTGTGACAGATATTAGTTCTTACCTTAGTCTCACTAGCTAGTGTGACAAATATTAGTTCTTACCTTGATCTCACTAGCTTGTGTCGCAGATATTAGTTCTTATCTTGGTCTTACTACCTTGTGTGACAGATATTAGTACTTACCTTAGTCTCACTAACTTGTGTATCAGATATTAGTTCTTTCCTTGATCTCACTAGCTTGTGTAACAGATATTAGTTCTTACCTTAGTCCCACTAGCTTGCGTGACAGATATTAGTTCTTACCTTGGTCTCACTAGCTTGTGTAACAGATATTTGTTCTCACCTTAGTCCCACTAGCTTGTGTGACAGATATTAGTTCTTACCTTGATCTCACTAGCTTGTGTGACAGATGTTAGTTCTAACCTTAGTTTCACTCGCTTGTGTGACAGATATTAGTTCTTACCTTGATCTCACTAGCTTCTGTGACAGTGATACGGGTGTGTACATATCCGTCGAGATACAACACCTGACCTATATCAGGGCGATATCGCTGTAGGTCTACTTCCTCATCAGATAAGGGAATACTTCCTGTACATACCACACCGCTGCCGATCCTTAAACCCAGCATTATCTCCCCCTACATCAACGAACGTAAACATGTCAGTAATGAATTACAATGTGTGTACTGTATCCTCCAAGAAGCCCACGAGCCAAATTAAAATTTTCCTTTACGTCAAGAGGCTTACTGTATCACAATGAAATACCATTGGTTTGCAATTCTTTTCAAAAGCCATTACCCCTGGTGGGCTTAATATTATTGAGAAATTGTCAAGTTAAAGCCAAGAAAATACAGAGTAAGAAAAAACTAATGAAATAATATCAAGAATATAATATAAATAATTAATGATGTTATCAAAGAAATAATCTAGCTAATAAATAATATAAAGTACGATGTCATCAATGTTATAATGTAAACATTGTTAGCTGTCAGCTGATTTTGTTTTGTATCTTAAGGAACAGATCATACCTGAAACCTTGGAGGACTGTATGTTTTCCCTGACGGTAATGTCCATTGTGACCCAGTGGTGTCCATAACAATGAGGTCAAGGTCACTTTGATTGGTCATCAGGCACCAGGGCGACAAGTTGACCAGTAGTGTGTTGGCTCCCGGCCAGTATTCAGACAGATGAATGTTGAAGGTCACAGAGAGGTCAGCTGAGTCCACATCAGGGACATCCACCGATTCTGTACAGCTTCCAGCATGTGGAGCCGAATACACTGCCTCATCACCATAGCTACAAGACAGAAGATCATCAATTTTGAAATGAACAAATGACAGTAGCTCTTCCAAATACAGTTTATTCAAAATGCTGTTCAGCAAAACACAACTTCATGTTATGGTGATTAAGTTTAACATGTTTGAAAATGGGTGGTGATCTCCAGACAAACATTAGCTTATGATGGACAAACCACGCTATGTCATAATATGTTTTGTCATAATTTTAGACAAGTGCATGAAAACGTTATGACAAAAGAGAGTACCTACAAAAATCTCATTTATGTATGTATCTTTAACTGTAATCTGGTCAAAAATCCCTTAATTTAAGGAAAAAAAATCACAGATCAAGCCCTTCTGTGATGCTTGAGACCAAATTAGATCACTGGTGGAAAAACTGGTTATTTACTTTTGTGAATATCTTTAGGAAAACCTTTTAAGTTCGTATTTTATTCAAACACTAAAAACATAGATATAAGTACTTTTCAAAGCATAAATGCCAAATCATAACCAGAATTGCAGTTTTTACAGGCAAGGGCTAAAATTCTAGGAGATACTCTATTTATATAACCCAGAAAGTTTGTCTAAGACTGACCCTGTACCTACCTGTCATAGCTCTGGGAACAGTAAGGCCAATCTGTAGGGGGCACCACCTTCCACACATCTGAAAGATCATCTGGGTTTTGCTTACTGATGGCCGTACGTTCTACCTGGTCAATAAGGCCAGTGGTCAGTGTGAGAGCCTGGCTGACCATCTCCCTGTTCCTGTGGGAAAAATAGAGCATTCTGCTGATAAAAGGACAGTATCATCATTACATCAACTTGGAAACTGGTGAATTAAATAAAGAATCTCTAAATTCATTCTGAGCGAGATCTACTTGGACAATAGACATGTTACACAGGCATAGGTCTCTTGGTCTTGATGTCAAAAATGTCAGAAGTATGTTCACATCTATATTCTTATTTACTTGCAACTTAGCAGCTGTTATGAAAACTTATAACAAGAGGCCCATAAGGCCTGTATAAAACATCTCAATAATTCAGCAATAATATCAATATGTATTTTTATTATTTTATCAACAGTCCCTGCCCCTCTACCCCACCAAGTCCTTCTATTTCTACCAAACTAAAATCCATTCACCAAAGGATGCTTGTGACAAAACTTGGTAAAAATTTGTTCATTGCAATATATTCTGAAAGATATCAAAGACCCTTTTAACAAAGTTCTGTCAAATTTCCTTAATCTGAACTCCCCCTCCCCCCCCCTCCCCCAAAAAAAAAATCAACCACTTTGTGAAAAGTCTTTTCTTTGGCACCCACCCTCTTTGCTACAAATATAGGCAAATGAAGGTACAGAAAGAAAGATACCGTATTTATTCCAATAAACGCCCCAGGGGCATGAAATTTTTCAGACAGGGGGCGATTAATAGAACACAAAATTTCATAATTTGTTGGTCGTGACATGCCATGGCTGCCACTTAAAAACATTGTTTAACAAACTAACGAATTACTCAGCAAAGAATGCATTTGAAAATTGCAGTAATTCCAACATCGTTGTAGCTTTAAACATTGTTGTCAATTGCATTCTGATAACCTGAATTCTTGTATGAAATGACACGATGTCAATCGTGTCAGCTTCATTCAAAAACGTACAATGTTCATCATCGCTTGTAGGCCTAGTTTGCATAACAAAATAAAAAAACACAGCGGTATATAAGCCAGTCTGTTTCTTAATAAATCCCACATACCTGATAACAATGTCTGGGACAAAATGAAATTACGAGACTGCTTTCAAGCTTAAAGTAATCACCTTCGCAGAGGAGAAGGGTAAACATGCCGCCGCGAAAGTGTTTCGTGTTGACAGAAAACGAGTGCGGGACTGGTGTCAAAACAAAGAAAAATTAAAAAATCTTTCTAAAACATCTAAACGCTGTAAAGGAGGTGGGAGGCATGTCAGATATGAAGATATTGACAAAAATCTGATGAGATGGCTACAGGACAGACGGGAAGCCGGAATACGAGTGACTGGGAAAGCATTGCGGTTTGAGGCCCTGCGTATGCATAAGGCAAATGGTAGTCAATCGTTCAAAGCCTCATATGGATGGTTTTCTAAATTCAAAAAGAGACATAACATTTCGTTCAGGCGATCTACGCATGTGGCACAACATGAAGTTTCATTAATTGATGATCGTATTGACAGTTTTTTGAATTTCGTGTTAAGAATGCGTCGGCTACGAGAATACCCTGATAGCGATATCGCTAACATAGACGAAACCCTGGTGTGGTTTGACATGCAAGGAAAATCGACATTGGCAATAAAGGGGGAAAAGGAGGTCAGAGTTTACAGTACTGGCCACGAAAAACAAAAAATAATGGTGACACTGGCAGCATATGCCAATGGGACTAAAATCCCCCCCACCACCACCTTGTGCACATGCCAGGCATTCGTCCCCTTCCGAAAGATGACATACCAAGTGGTATTATGGTATACATGTGCGGGGCCGGACAAAAATCCTGGGCAAACGAGGAAAGTATAAAATTTTGGTTAAAAAAACTCTGGGGTGTGAATAATACAGCTAGGCGGTTATTAGTATGGGACGCTTTCCGTGGTCATCTTACTGAAGATGTAAAAAAACTGGTTCGTCAAAAATATGATTCAGACATCTGTGTTATACCCGGAGGATGTACATGTAAGCTACAGCCAGCCGATGTGTTGTGGAATAAACCCTTCAAACAAAAACTTGGAGAGTTGTATGACGAATGGTGTTTCAGTGGCCCCATTGAGAAAATCAAAGCAGGGAATCGTAAAGTCCCATTTAAAGCTGTAATGTTGTCTTGGGTCAAGACAGCATGGGATAGCATTAGCCCGGACACAATCAGAAGATCGTTCAAAAAATGCGGTATCACAAATTCGCTGGACGGTAGTGAGGATCATATTTTCCAGCATGATTCTGACGATGAGGAATTCCAGGGGTTTAGTGAAAAGGATGTCCAAGCTGGAGATGACGTTTTGCAAAATTTAATGGGTGATGTTAACGCGCCTTCTATTCCACAAATAGAACTGAGTTAAAGGGAGACTGGCGAAAGTGAAAGTGAAGACAGCAGTACGTACGGCAGTCCCGGCCGTTAGGCCGGCAGTATATTGAAATGAACCGTGGATTAAATTGATATTACTTGTGTACATGTCGTGACAGTGTAATTTTCTTGTGCCAAAATTCATTTGTTCATGTTCATGGATACCAGGAATTTAAAATTTATTAAAAGGTAAGCTTTGTAACCTGACTCCTAAGTTGTTGAAATTTACTGAGAAAACAGGTGGGGGATGTTTATTAGAGACGGGGCGTTTATTGGAATAAATACGGTAGTATCCTCAGATTAACAACTAATACAAAAGACAATAAATTCACATTGAATATCTGAAAATTATACAAACTTGAGTTTAAAGGATAAAGAGTGAGATACATCCGCTCCAGAACAGCATAACTGGAGTTCTCTCCCTTGACCAGGAATCTCCAGCTGTTGTTGTGTTTTCAGTTTTGGGGTGTCTATTTGTACAAACACTGGCCGTGGTAGATGTGACCGCAGCACAAAGAGAGGGCTCAGCAGTACCTGAACAAAATACAAAGTGAGGACTCAACAGTTGCTGTGCAAAACACAAAGTGAGGACTCAACAGTCGCTGTACAAAACACAAAGTGAGGACTCAACAGTCTCTGTACAAAACACAAAGTGAGGACTCAACAGTCGCTGTACAAAACACAAAGTGAGGACTCAACAGTCGCTGTACAAAACACAAAGTGAGGACTCAACAGTCGCTGTACAAAACACAAAGTGAGGACTCAACAGTCGCTGTAAAAAACACAAAGTGAGGACTCAACAGTCGTTGTACAAAACACAAAGTGAGGACTCAACAGTTGCTGTGCAAAACACAAAGAGTGAACTCAACAGTCGCTGTACAAAACTCAACTGTGTCTAGAGATCCAAACAGATGAAAAACACATGTTTAACTCCAGCAGAATTTTTCAATCACAAGTATTAAGATTTTAACAATACCATAACATGTTATTACGGACATGTTTCTCGGTGAATATCCTTGTGTAATGGTATTAGTACATAAACATCATTTGAAAAAATTTCAGAAAGGAAAACAAATAAAGTCACAAATGCATTGAACATTTGCAAAAATTTATACACAAATCAAGTTTGTTGGATCACAATTAAACTTAGCTCTTACTCTTTTTGACTGAAATGTAGGCCTTTTGATAAATCAAAAATTTTTAACCTGAAATTTTGCCTAAAAAAATAAAGGTGCAAATTAAACTGGAGCTAAATATAGACAAAATATTAAAAATATGAACACCATTGAATGTACATGAATTTTGAGATATACTCTTCCAAGTAGAATCTACTCATCCAAAGATTTAAACTGTAAAATTTTCTCCAAATGAAAAAAGATAACACAAAACATGACATCATCCTCCACGCCCAGCTGTTTGAAAGAAAGACACATAATCATATATAAACATATAGATATTACAACAAATTCAATTTCTATGTTACTTTTAACCATTCCATACAAAGTATTGAAGTGGAGAACTTCTAACTGAGTACTAGCTCGATGCCTGTACAAAGTTTTGAGTACCAGATAATTACTTTCAAAGGTTTAAGAGAACTGGTGTGAAACAGGAGATCCTAGAGGGATCTTGGCACCCATCATCGATAGCATGTTTGCTCTTTCACTTCTTTTCTTTTCTCTTCCTGTATTTGCTCTTAATGATAAGAAATTAGAATATTCCTTTGAAGAAAAAGCCATGATAATCTATACCTGCCAAATCCAAAATGGCCGTCTGGAAGACATTTTATCTTTTCTGATCTGTCCCAAAATCAAACGGGCACAAGTAGAAATGAAAGGGAACATACATATGAAATTTGAGAGAGCTGCATTTAGTTCTCCTTAAGAAATTATGTATAAAAATTTTTACTAAGTGAAATCCAAAATGGCTGCCTGTTGACCATTTTGCTTTTCTGATCAAACTCAAACAGTCACAACTAGGGACCAAGAGAAACATATCCATGAAATTTGAGAAAGACCTATGCTATCTTGCACAAGAAATAGCCATAACAAATTTTTGAAGTCAAAATCCAAGATGGCTGCTTGTAGGCCATTTCTTTTTTCTGATCAGAACCAAACAAGCTCAACTAGGCATCAAGGGAAACATACACATGGAATCTGAAAAAGATCTACACTGTAGTTCTCAAGAAATTGTGATAACAAACTTTCAAAGTAAAAATCCAAGATGGCCACCTGTCGGCCATTTTTTTTTCTGACCAGGCCTAAAATTAGATAGACACAACTAGAGACCACAGGGAACCTACATCTGATATTTGCGAGAGATGCATCAAGTTCTTTTCAAGAAAAAATGATAACAAACTTCATTGAATAGATCCAAAATGGCTGTCTGTCAGCCTGTTTGTTTTTTATCAGTCCCAAAATCAAACAGGTACAACTAGAGAACAAGGAGAACCTACATATGAAATATGAGAAAAATCCGTCTGTTACTTTTCAAGAAATAGTGATAACAAAAACTGGTTATGGACAGACGGATGAATGCACAAACATACACGGCGCAGCCAAAATTAATATCCCCTGCAAATGCATTTCACGGGGGATAACAAAACCAGATGAGGCATACATTGGTATATACCCTTCCAGGTCTAGTGTGACCTTTGACCCTTTAGTGTTGTCCAATGACCATTAAGATCTTATCAGTGGATACCATAGTGTTAGTTAACTAAATCTAACCATGTCTTCATATTCATATTGTACACAAACTCAAGTTTAAGTCTTAAGCTGAACACAAAATTGCAAAACAGGGTTTTTTTTTTTTTTTTTCACATATCAAAATTTTGTAAATTTAGCAATCCTATCAAAACTGCATCAACTGAAATTGAAAACTTTGCCCACATGCCTTGTCTGTTCACGTATCATGGCTATCAGTGCCTTTGACACAAAATCATAAAACAATTGATTCACAAAAATTTCAAGGTGTACAAATTGGATATTTCCACCAGCAATCAAGGATGTTTTGTACTATTTACTGTGTTTAACTCTCTTAACTGGTGTACTCATGACTTGTGAAATAAAATTGAAGTCCTGACTGCAAATATGCAAATTCTATGAAAATATTTCTTTTTTAAATTCCTAATGGATTTCTACAAAGCAAGGCTCTCCAATACTGGTTTAACTGTTTTCATGAAAATTTCAATTACAGGTAGTATTTTAGCGATAGTGATAACTTCTGAAAACAAGAGGCCCATAGGCCAGTCATAATGCATCGTGTAACATGTCATAGAAATGATTCTATTCAGAAAAGTAATGTAACTTTAACTATATTGTACACATAATACAAATGGAAAATGTGTAAACATTAACTGCTGTCTCATGCTTAGGTTTCTAACCAAGTTTGAATTAAAAGAACTCCAGATTTGAATTTTCCTATATATATAATATCCTTTTTCCCCCTCCCTAAATGAAAATGTGAGACCCTGGCATCATGAAAATTACGATTTTGGTAAAAGGTCATTTCATCCATAAAGACTACTTGATTCTACCATACCTGGGATTCGATAAGAAGATCTTTGAAATTTCAATCTATTCAACACATTTTTGGCCCCACTTACCAACCCCTTGAGGTCAGCCACCGTCAATATGTGCATTTCATAAAACTGTCACCTTACACTAATAATATTCTAACCAGGTTCGAACTATTTCCATTAGAAAATAAACAAACAATGTTCAAAAATGTGATTGTCCTGTATAAACTATAGTAAACTTTCCCCTCTTCCCTTGAGGAAATGTGAGACCCTTTTGGGTCATGAATTTTACAATGTTGGTAAAGCATCTGTAGGCCTTTTCATCAATGAATAGTACTTGATTCTACTATACCTGGGATTTGAGAAGAAGATTTTCTGAAGTTTCAATCAATTTGACCCTTTCTTGCTCTGCACCTCAGGCCTCTGGGAGTTCGGGACCATATAAATTTACAATTTTGGTTTGCCTTTAGTCAGAAAACATTTTTGTAAAATTTCATTGAAATTGGTTCAGGAGTTTTCCAGATTAAGTTGAAAATGTGTAAAGTTTACGACACGTGACACAGGACGCCGGACAAAAGATCACAATAGGTCACCCTGAGACTTTGTCTCAAGTGACCTGAAAATTGATAAACCATGATAGCTGAATCAGAACAAGACCTACATATTATTGTTACTATGAAATAACATAACAAATTTAAGATCTCTATCTGTTAATGTGTAAATAAATGAAAGCAAAATGATGACAAAATGATGTATAAGCGGAACACTATAGGCTATGAAATAGAGGGACGTCAGAAGTCCTTTTCAGACCAAGGTACATGCAATGAATAAAAGGCGATCAATTTCCAGCTGTTTTTCCCTCGTTCAGTTTCAAAATAAATAAGGCAAACTAAAAATCAGTTTATGCGGTTTGACAGCCGGTTTTTCTCATGAACTTGCAAACAGCTATAAAACAAACTTCAACCGACAAATTCAAGATAATCAATGATCAGATATTATTTACATATTGTAATGCAATTTAGTCAACTTACACGTGTGACCAAGAGGACCTCAAATATGTTAATTGGTAATGATTTATTTTGCGCTTTTTCACAAGATAGCTCAAAAATATAAAAACCACCAAACAGTTATATTAAAAGAAGTCGGTTTTTCCTTCAAACATAAAGCAGAGTTATTGACTTCAAATCAGTATAAGAACTGTATTACTATTTTTGCACACAAATTTTCTCCACTCAAACTTTATTTTCTTTCCTAATTTTTTTTTTTTTTTTTGCCTTTTTCAAGAACAAACTGAAATTACATTATATTATTTATAAACATCATAGAAAAAAACCATGTTAAATATACAGTTTTACTCCCTCAAAAAATATCATTATATCACACCACAGGACATTATTTTCACATTGTCAAGTCTTTACACCATCACGAATACCAATATCTACAAGGTCCCGGAGGTCACTAAAACTGAAAATGCTACAAATGTATTAGCTCTACAGGTACAACGTTGTTTGGCAATTGTTGCTGTAATTAGAGACAACAAAATGTATGATATTACTGTAATTTTAATACAGTAAAGGTATTTTATTTTTCGAGTTCTATTTTTGCTGCTGTAAAATCATTATATATATTTGTGGGGCTCAAATCTTTTGGTTTCCCAAAAATATTCACTTTTTGTTGGCACTTGATTTTGCGGATAAATTTTGCTCACAAAATACACTCATACTATGATATATGTCAATTCTGATCAGTTTATCATGTCATGAACATATAATCATTTAGAGTAACCACGAATGCCATGAAAATAAACCCCCCACAAAAATTCATAATTTTTCAGTAGATGTTTCTAAGGATGAGATAATACAATGATACAAAAATACATTGCAAATGAAATTGATCATAAAAAAAATCCATATCACTATTTCTGCAATAATTGCATCTCTTTTTTATTTAAGTAAAATCACAAAAAAATAACCTGTCTTTACTGTACAGAGTAGAAAAATACTTTGAGAATTATGGTTGAAAAACTTGACATTGTGAAAATGATACCCAAAACTTCTTTTTAATGTCCAAAGTGCTTATTGACTTACCATCCGCTGACTAGCTGTTACATACTTTTTCTTCTGGAAATATGGGAGTATGTTCTGTTATAGTAATCACAGTTCGTGGCACGGATATGTCGTTTTGATAAGGCACGGATATGTCGTTTTGATAAGGCATTGTACTTGATACAAATACCATCGTGCCTCAAATTTGTATGACATAGTAAGAGTAAACGGAGACCTACACGCATTCACAAACGTCACCTTTTTGTAGGAGTTTGCATTTATACCTTTAACTAGTTTACAGTTTCTATAAATAATTGAAATTGTGTACTTAATACAGTAAAACACAGATAAATCGAAGTCGACGGGACAAAAATGAAATATTTGACTTATCCAATGGTTCGAAATATCCGAGTCTCTCTGAATGAAATATTTTGAAACAAAATTCAATAAATACACACCCCAGAACATTCTATATTGATATAACATTGATAGCAGATGAGTTACAAAAAGGTGAAGGTCGGGGCAACATCGCTAAAGCATAACTTTACAGGTAAAGCACTGTCTGAGGATATACCGTAAACAAGAACAGAACAAAACTAGCACTTCATACATATATATCCAGTTAATCACAAACAAGCATGTCAGTGACAAGCTAGTATTTTCATTAATCAGCGGGGCAGTAGTTAATGCTTTCTGTTTTTTTGGTTTCCAGCATCCATGCGCAAAAATAAAGCCCACAAACAAAATACAGCAGATTTACAGTAAACAGGCTACAGTGTACATAATGTATTTTGTTTTAAGTTTGGTAGCCTAATTCTGTAGAAATTCTAACTTTCACTTGTGCACCTGTGTAAACTCAGGGATTACTGTCGATCATAAATTATACTAGAGCTTATTAACACCAATACCGCTGACTGAACACACACAGTCGTTCAGACCAAAGCCAGGAAATTTTTACCCGAGACACCTAAATGTTCGCCACAAAGAAATAAATTTTGATAGCATAGGATGGACCAGATGATATATTTGACATAGACACAGTATTTGACTCAACAGTGTTTGAATCATCTGTGTTTTATTTACTAAGATAAAGAGGAGAAAAAATCGGGACCAAACAAAACATTTGACTTATACAATGTAGTCGATTCAAGCATTTTCAACAACAAATGAGTTTTACTGTATACAGCATGGTAGAGTAAATGGTGCCCTATTTGATGACAGAATGTCTCTGGTGTCGATATGGTCTAATAAACTACCAAAATGATGGCTAGCAGCCTGTACTATTTATAGTATAAGTGACCCAGTTTTTGACTGCAAAAGTTGAAAGTTAAACTTGTACAAGAACTGCAGCCTGTAAAGCATTTTTTAACATACCAATTGTACATACGTACAAATGGTTTTCCTATATACACTTGAGTGTATAATAATCTACAACACAACATAACAGTTTTCACACCTCTGTGTCCAGCTAAAACCTTCCATATAAGACGACGATGGTGACTGTATATGACCATCACTTTTGTAGTTTAACCAAAATCAACAACACATGTAATCATAAATTATCTCACACACATTTACAACAGTCAGTTTGTTCTATGATGAACAGGTTATGGTATTCTTACCTTCGTGTTGATTGTACTTTTGTAATGAGAGCAGAGGACCCTACACCATATATGGAAGTGGGAAGCATCTGCTTGTTGGATCTGCAATAGAGTGACATTTCACTTACATAATGTATATCTCACAGTAACATATACAGTGGAACCTATCTATAAAGCCCACTACACCGTTAGAGAATTTTGACCTTTATAAACAGGTATCTGTTATATACAGATGGCTTTAATAGAGAGGTGTTATATATATACAGGTGGTTTTTATATAAACAGATATCTATTATATAAGATAGCATCTAAAGACATGTATCTGCTATATTCAAGTGGCCTTTATAGACAGGTATTTGTTAAGTACAGGTGGCATTACATAAAAACTTACAAAGTGAAACCACTAAGTGTGTGTTTCATTTTGCCAATTTGTGTTTCAAATAAAATTGTTTGTGACTGAAAGTTTATTTCTGATTTATATATGTTTAGCATTTCTCTGTCATGAACTGAAGTCTCTTTGGTGACTTCGTGAACAGTGATGAGTGGGGTGTCAGGAGAACAGGTGACTTGATGGAGGGTGATGACAGGTATCATTAGGACAGGTGATTAGATGACCAGTGATGAGTTGATTACAGTAGGACAGGTGATTTGATGAACAGTGATGAGTGGGTTACAGTAGGACAGTTGATTTGCTGAACAAAGTTCAGGGGAGAGAGAGTTTAAGGAGTTGCACTGATAAATATTTCTTGGGTACATTCTAAATGGAAAGTTTGTCTGAATGTTTTAACTCACTTTTACAGTTCTTTTCTCCTTCATTCTGTCTCCAGTGATATGTATATCATGTGACCAGTTGCCATGGGAACCTAGTGGGCGGAGCTTGATGCTTATCACCTCTTCAGGCTCAAGGACAAACGAGGGCAATTTTTTATTGTGATGGAGCTCATGGTCAAATCCATCATTATTTGTTGTAGTCTTGACCTTGACCTCAAAAGGTAATGTCAAACAGCTGAACAGCATCAGTTGACCTCTGACCTTTATCTATGAAAAATACAAATAAATGAATAAATAAATATGTACTAATAAAAACAGCTTAAGTCCTTGGACATAGTTTAGTTTAATTGTGATATTGTTAGACTGTAAATGATGAATTCTTCTTTTTTCTGACCTTCAGAATCCTTGCCCAAAGGTGATGCTGATCAATATGATTTTGATGTTTTATTGAATTTATCACCTCAATGCTTCATACAATCCATTTCGTTTCTAAATGAATTAATTACATATCACTAAACACAATTCCTACATGATTATGTAAAGTTAAGTTAGAGATTTAGGGCTATAAACTACTACAGACTCCAAGCAATTTCATACAAAAAAATTACCCTCGTTGGAATCAAATCAAACCAATATATAAATAAGCTATAAGAATAGCTATGGTCCTCACCTGTTTCTGGACATTGGTCAGCTGTGTGATGTAGATGATGAGGCTGTAGATCTGATCATTTGTACGTACTGACCGCACAACTTGACCAACGCTGTCCACATCAAATGGCTCACACCATTTCCACACTTTGCCATCCAGGCATACATGAAGTTGCTAAGAAAAATAAAACAAATGGATTTCTATCTTTTTTCAAAATTCACACTCATCTGGCAAAGATGATTCATCTTCATAAAATCATGCTCAGACCAAATTTGATCAAAATCCAATCATCCCACAGGAGGAGTAGGATTTTAAAGATAATTGCTCTATTTCCCCTATTGGGACCCACCCTCCCACTTCATGGGGGAAGAGACCCACCCTTTATAAAAAAATATAACTTTCTTTTGCCAAACAATGCTTCAGACCAAAGTTCAACAAAATCCAATCACTGCTATGGGAGAAACAGGATTTTAAATAATTTGATCTATTTCCCCTATTGGGCCCCATCCCTCCTGCCCAAGGGGTCCAAGACACACCCTTTTTTACAAAATTAATTCCCCTTTACCTAAGAATGTTGCAGACCAAATTTGATAAAATTCAATCAGTCCTTTAAAGTAGGATTTTAAAATGTCTTCTTTAGGCCCCTGGACTTCAGATCCCTGAGAGCTGAAACCAACCCTTTACAAAAAATTTTGTTCAATTTCCCTCAAGGGTGCCCCTGATCAAATATGGTAAAAATCCTCTTAATCATTTATGACTAGTAAAGATTTTTAGGGGAAAAGTTGACTGACAGACAGAAGGATGGATGGATGGATGGATGGATTGATGGATGATGGGCAACAGACAGATGGATAATGGATGCCATAGTATGAAATACAGCTCACTTGGCCTGGTGAACTAAAAAGCAAATCCTAAAACTTGTTATTTTAAGGATCACTTTACTTCAATGAATTCCGTGAATTAAATTTACGTTACAAGGCACCCTTTTCATACACAGACCTGCTTTGACTTGTGGGTTCGCCAGCTATAACAGTGCATCTTCCTTGGCATCAGCACGAGGTTCTCGTCCGTCCCAACCTACAAACCACAGGTAAGAGCAGTTCGACTTAATTCACATTTATTGTATGACAGAAGAAATTTGTAATTTAAGATAAGAAATCACTTAATAATCAATCAAGCGTGCTGTTTTTTGAGTCGAAAGTGATCTTAATTTATCTGTAGGATGGACGTCATTCCTTTGACAACTATGAGTAGATCTATGATAATCATACACCTACTTGTCCAAATCTGATCGAGTTGTGTGTATCATTACATATGACATAGTGGCTGTATACAACCCGGGATCTGTCCTCACTGTCTGACAGCATCTGCAAAATACAGTGTTACAGAGAATAAGATATTTCGATATGAAATATTTCAAGATTCTTACTAAACAGAGAATTACAACGATTAATTCGACATTTATATATTGTATACAGCAGATATTTATGTATATTTTGTTGTATCTTTTTCACGTAATTTATATATAAGTCTAATGGGTTATTTTAGTAATTTTGAAAATTGTCAGTGAGACATTCAGCTTGTATGATGTATACCATATAAAACAGGACAATAATGTAGGAACAGAAGGACAGACATGGTCAGACAGTTAAACTAACTACAGGCCTGTGAAGCATTACTGAGGTTGTGAACAGACAGACACTGACATAGGGATGGAAGGACAGACATGGTCACACAATTTACTTGACTCATGGTCTGTGAAGCCTTTTTGAGGGTGTGAACAGACAGACACTGACATAGGGACAGAAGGACAGACATGGTTACAGAGTTTACCTGATTTCAAGTCTGTGAAGCATTACTGAGGGTGTAAACAGACAGACACTGACACAGGGACAGAAGGACAGACATGGTTACAGAGTTTACCTGACTCCAGGTCTGTGAAGCCTTATTGAGGGTGTGAACAGACAGACACTGACATAGGGACAGAAGGACAGACATGGTCACACAGTTTACCTGACTCCAAGTCTGTGAAGCATTACTGAGGGTGTGAACAGACAGACACTGACATAGGGACAGAAGGACAGACATGGTTACAGAGCTTACCTGACTCCAAGTCTGTGAAGCATTACTGAGGGTGTGAACAGACAGACACTGACATAGGGACAGAAGGACAGACATGGTCACACAGTTTACCTGACTCCAAGTCTGTGAAGCATTCCTGAGGGTGTGAACAGACAGACACTGATGTAGGGACAGAAGGACAGACATGGTTACAGAGCTTACCTGACTCCAGGTCTGTGAAGCATTACTGAGGGTGTGAACAGACAGATACTGACACAGGGACAGAGGGACAGACATGGTTACAGAGTTTAACTAACCCTAGGCCTGTGAAGCATTCCTGAGGGTGTGAACAGACAGACACTGACATAGGGACAGAAGGACAGACACTAATACAGAGTTTTATTGACTTCAGGTCTGTAAAGATGTACTGAGAATGTGAACAGACAGACACTGATGTAGGGACAGTTGGACAGACATGGCTACAGAGCTTACCTGACTCCAGGCCTGTGCAGCCTTACTGAGTGTGTGAACGGTCCCACATCCAACAGACAGCATCATCGGATTAACAGTTACATTACTCTCCACCAAGGGGCGCTAGTGTAAAATAAAAGTCAACATTTTCAGGAAATGTCCACATAGTAAGGAATGTCCTAATTGTCAGAAAATGTCCTAATTGTCAGAAAATGTCCTTATTGTCAGAAAATGTCCTTATTGTCTGAAAATGTCAGGAATGTCCACATTGTCAGGAAATGTCCACATTGTCAGGAATGTCCACATTGTCAGGAATGTGCTAATTGTCAGAAAATGTCCTAATTGTCAGAAAATGTCAGGAATGTCCACATTGTAAGAAATGTCCACATTGTCAGGAATGTCCACATTGTCAGGAAATGTCCACATTGGCATGAAATGTCCACATTGGCATGAAATGTCCACATTGTAAGAAATGTCCACATTGTCAGGAAATGTCCACATTGGCATGAAATGTCCACATTGTAAGAAATGTCCACATTGTCAGGAATGTCCACATTGTAAGGAAATATCCACATTGGCATGAAATGTCCACATTGTCAGGAAATGTCCACATTGTCAGGAAATGTCCACATTGGCATGAAATGTCCACATTGTCAGGAAATGTCCACATTGGCATGAAATGTCCACATTGTAAGATGTCCACATTGTCAGGAATGTCCACATTGTCAGGAAATATCCACATTGGCATGAAATGTCCACATTGTAAGGAAATGTCCACATTGTCAGGAATGTCCACATTGTCAGGAAATGTCCACATTGTCATGAAATGTCCACATTGTCAGGAAATGTCCACATTGTCAGGAATGTCCACATTGGCAAGAAATGTCCACATTGTAAGAAATGTCCACACTGGCATGAAATGTCCACATTGTAAGAAATGTCCACATTGTCAGGAATGTCCACATTGTAAGGAAATATCCACATTGGCATGAAATGTCCACATTGTAAGGAAATGTCCACATTGTCAGGAATGTCCACATTGGCAAGAAATGTCCACATTGTAAGAAATGTCCACATGAAATTTTGTTCATTTTTCATCCAAAAAGAACCTTATAATTTGTATCCTTTTAAGATAATTTTAAAGATTACTTACAGATAAGTGTGGTGTAAAGGTGATATCCCCAAACATCTCGAATGGCTTCACCATGCCCTGTTTTGTCAATGTTTTGTACTCAATGACCTCCAACTCTGTTATACAGTTCATCTACAACACAAAATCCTACACATTTATAATTTATCAAAGTCGGGTAAACTGGGGTTATCACTCTTCAATAGCATGTTTTATATATGTTGTAATCAAGGGATTATCTTCAAAAACATAATTTATATTATCATATAACTTCAACACAGACGTCGGTGATATTGTTTCAGGTGTTAATTTATGACTAGGTAAGTGAGGTACATGTATATCTACAAAATTCTCCATTCCACAAGATACGCTAGGAATATACTGATGCTGTTTCTAGTGTTGGAAATATCAGGAAAAAATTCACAAATACTACTGATCTGTCAATAAGCCCATACTTGGTAATAAGCCCATCCACATATGTTGTGGTTGGGAGGCAAAGTGTGATGTAATCACCTTTCACCTGGGTGTCCAAGTTCAAATGCTGGAATGGACAAGAACAGGTAGGGGGACCATGTTAATTTTCCAACGACAAGCAGAATTCCTTCTACAGTAAAATCCCTTTCCCACTGCCATCCAGGCCAACAAGTGATTAATATAAGCCCACAAACTTGTTCCACAATTGTTTTAAAAATAGATTTAAAGTCAAAGTTTGGTATCTTTTGATAATGTTGTTTAAAATTACTAATTAGTGCTTTATTACTGTCCTGTAATACGCCAAACTCCTTACTTTGGATAGGAATCTGACTGCTGGCCCCCATGACTTATTGCAGAAAAAAAAGTAATGCATTTTCTTCTACAGTAATGAGAAGAAAAAGGTATAAAGATGATTGAAAGTTGACGTGACACAATGTTACCTGTATACAGGTACTAGCATGAGGTCCATTTAGAAGTGACCCAGTAACAGTCATCTGACGTGAGGAGACGACAGCAAACTCCTCCTCTTCCAGACAACTTTCGTCGAATGTGAATGGTTGTAGCTTCTCTGGTATATCTGAATGATAAACAGTAATGATATTATACCTTATACCCAACATCAACACTAAACCAATTATCAACAATAGAAATTCATTCTTCACATAGACATTGAGAGATCAAATTCTAAGTCCTTTCATGATTTTCTGACATTAAATTTTAAGACATTTCAATGATTTTTATCATTAAATTCCAAATCTTTTCCAAGACAATCTCACATGAAAGACTTTTCAGAAGTAGTGATAAAATTTTTCTTGTGATTAATATGATCAAATAATTCTGCTCTTGATGGAGACAACCGCTACATTCTTGTTACTTGGAACTCGAGCTGGTCACAGGCATTCACACCATGCCATGTCATGTTACATCACACATCATCAAACATCATGTTAATAGAGGGGGTTAAAGGTCTCACCTTTCCCTAAGTAGGTCATGTGGTTCTGGAAGTGCACTTCAACAGCAGGGACAGACAGATAGACTTGGAGGTATGGTATGAGGTTTGGGACGTAGCAAGAGTCTACACACATTGAAGCAGCAAGGGATTCTGGGAAAATTGCCAGGTCAGATGTAGAAGATGTTTCCTCCTCATCTGAACTGTAAAATTTCAAAAGTGAATAGTGATAACATGTCTTTTAACATCAATAAATTCATTTTCACTTTTTTTAAGACACAGAGTAAATTATTTGATGGTGAATACAGCTTCTGAATGTGTAGTTGGCTACCATCACTTCTAATCTATTTCAAATCAAAATAAAGATTACTATTGTTTTTGATGTTACATAATATAATACATTTTATATGATGATAAGATGACAGTACCAGTTTTCAGCAATCATGCTGTTATGAATGACAACCCGCCATGTCTGGGCAACCACCAGATCCCTCACATTGATGACCTTGACCTCTGGCAGCTGAAGGACTGTCTGTGTGTCTTCCGAAAGCTCAAAATCAACATATGGAAGAAACTGCTGGGAGGCAATGTCCTGGTACTGCAGTGTACAGGGAATCTATCACAAAGACAAGAGGCCCAAAATGCCTGTATCAGCATTCTACTTTTTTCATAAATACATTCTGCAAGTAATGTCATTAGCCTCCAAAGTGAAACTCACCAATCTAATTGCTCAAACTAGAAAACACGTAGGGCTAAACATTACCAACATATGAACCAATGATCCCTTTCTTGATTTTTTTTTAAATTATGGAGAAGATCTAACTCTACATTCAGATAGCATCACCTTTGACCTGTAGATCTGAAGAGCAATCTTGTGTGACCCCTTCATACAAGCAACATTTATACAAAGTATGGATATAAATGTGCTTTTGTGATTATACCTTCTTCAACAGAAACATTAAGTGGGTCTCTAGCATGTTGTTCACTAAGGAAGCCACCAGCTTCTACAAGTCCCTGCCCCCATGTGACCCTGGCTGTCCTCGGGGCAATAAACCAGGACAATAAACCACCACCTACATATTTACCTCTGACTTCAACTCACCAGTGTTTCTGACTTCTCTGCCTGATGGGGCACATTAAAAGGGATGGGAGTGAACTTGACATGGGAGATAACTCTAGGTACATCATAGCACCAAGCCATGTAACTGTCTCCAGCACTGTCATGACTACAGAAAATTATCTCCCCTGAATTAGCCTCCACTTCAGGATCTGAAAAATAATTTAAGATAACATGAAGTGTATATCCTGACCTGGTCATATATAAATCAATATTTTTTAGGTAAATTATTTGTATAGGAATAGTTGGTCAAAGTTCAGGTCTATATTCTGACCTGGTCTTGTACATGTATAAGATGTACATGTTTATGTTAATGTTTCAGTAAATTAACAGAGCAGAAACAGTTGGTCTTGTGACATCCTCCCAAAAATGACATCGTCTGAATTATAATCAATATGCTACTAGAAAAATGACATCATAGAAACTGTGATGTCACCATACTCCTGGACAAATGACATTACATAAATAATGATGTCACCTTACAACATATAAAGCACGAGTCAAAAATATATGTATTGTTATAAGCAACAGTTGCCTCCCATGATATTTGGTCCCTGTGCATCCTTTGCAGAGAAAATTCTTTACACCATACTGGACTCCTGACCGACTGAGGTCCTAAAATCCTGATGAAGTGAATGGTAAATTATAAGCAAATCCATTCTATTACAAACCTGGATTTTGGACATACTGAAACTGTCCTGATCGCAGATCATCTGTCGTCTGCTCAACAATCAGATCTTCCTCCAGTTTAGAGTCCTCCTTCTTTCCTGTTGGAAAATCTTTCCTTGGAAACTTTCCACTTGTGTTTGGTTTTTTCTGAACAAATATTACAGAGTATGAAGTTGATATCATATAAACACAATTCCACACACTTAATGTAGGTGTGCTGTATGGCATTGTACTGTAACATATGTTACCTTTGCCATACTTCACCTGTAATTTCTGTATCACCTCCATTGTTCTTCACTTTTGCTAACTTCAGTAAAATCCTTATCATCTCCACTCTTCAATATCATATTGTATTCTGTTTTCATTCTGCTTAAGCTTAGAACTTTGGTTTTCTTTTATGTTATATTCCATTTTCGTTATCATGTTGACATGGAATGTGTTCGGTTCTGTGATAACTACTCAGATTAACTGTTAAATTCAAAATTCAAAAGTGATCCTTCACCATAAGAAAGTATCACTAAACACAGATTTATACTCTTGAACTACATATCATTGTCAGTAGGGAGTGTGAATTCAGGGATGCCTTCACTTTATCTATTCTGAACTTTACCTTTAACAGCCTCTGCAGCTGTTTTTGTAGACTTGTCAAACACATGAAATGCTCCTGACCAATCGTAACAGTCACAAGACCAGTTGTTATGGTAGCAGAAAGTGTTGAAATCTGTGACTGCAAATCAGAATGCTTGTACCATTCCAAGATGGCATCTACAGTGACACTACATGGGTGGATGAGAGTGCGCGGACGTTTCTGATAAATAGTCTTCACCGTGATGTCTTTCAGGTGTATATAGGCTTCCACACATTCTAAACCTCCTGGAAACAAACAGTTTCAAATCAGCATCAACAACGATCCTTAACAAGGACAAAATTATAAAAATCTTTATAATTTGCAAATTGTATGAAATAATGTTTAAAGTGAAAAAAACTGTGTTTTACCTATGTGGTATTGGATACCTGTATGGGTGGGTTATCTGTGTGGATGGGTTACATGTGTGGGTGGGTTACCTGTGTGGGTGGGTTAATTGTGTTGTGTGGGTTACCTATGTGGGTGGGTTAACTGTGTTAGGTGGGTTACCTGTGTGAGTGGGTTACCTGTGTTGTGTGGGTTACCTGCGTGGGTGGGTTAATTGTGTTAGGTGGGTTACCTGTGTGGGTGGGTTAATTGTGTTAGGTGGGTTACCTGTGTGGATGGGTTAACTGTGTTAGATGGGTTACCTATGTGGGTGGGTTAACTGTGTTAGGAGGGTTACCTGTGTGAGTGGGTTACCTGTGTCGTGTGGGTTACCTGTGTGGGTGGGTTAATTGTGTTAGGTGGGTTACCTGTGTGGGTGGGTTAACTGTGTTAGGTGGGTTACCTATGTGGGTGGGTTAACTGTGTTAGGTGGGTTACCTGTGTGAGTGGGTTATCTGTGCTGTGTGGGTTACCTGTGTGGGTGGGTTAACTGTGTTAGGTGGGTTACCTATGTGGGTGGGTTAACTGTGTTAGGTGGGTTACCTGTGTGAGTGGGTTACCTGTGTTGTTCGGGTTACCTTTGTGAATGGGTTAACTGTGTTAGGTGGGTTTCCTGTGTGGGTGGGTTACCTGTGTTGTGTGGGTTACATGTGTGGGTGGTTTAACTGTGTAAGGTGGGTTATCTGTGTTGTTTAGGTTACTTATATTGGGTAGGTAACTGGTGTTGTATGGGTAACCTCTGTTTTGTGTGTTACCTGTGTGGGTGGGTTAACTGTGTTAGGTGGGGTATCTGTGTTGTTTAGGTTACCTATATTGGGTGGGTAACTGGTGTTGTGTAGATTACCTGTGTTGTATGGGTTACCTGTGTTAGGTGGGTTACCTGTGTGGTGTGGGTTACCTGTGTGGATGGGTTACCTGTGTTGTATGGGTTACCTGTGTGGGTGGGTTACCTGTGTTTTGTGGATTACCTGTGTGGGTGGGTTACCTGTGTAGAGGTTAGCTGTATTTTGTGGATTACCTGTGTTGTATGGGTTACCTGTGTTGTATGTTGTAAGGGTTACTTGTGTTGTATGAGTTACCTGTGTTGTATGGGTTACCTGTGTGGGTGGGTTACCTGTGTTTTGTGGGTTACCTGTGTGGGTGGGTTACCTGTGTTGTATGGGTTACCTGTGTGGGTTGGTTACCTGTGTGGGTGGGTTACCTGTGTTGAGGTTAGCTGTATTTTGTGGATTACCTGTGTCTAACTGATCCAGACTCATCTCCAACCTCACTCCATCCACCAATCCTATTATCCCTGAACTCTCCAGGTCTGGACTGGTTTCCATGGATATCACAATTTGATCCGTTTGTAGTTCTAACCTTTCAAGTTTAGACAGCACAACTGAAGAAAAACAATGTGAAACAAAATTACAAGAAACACCAAGCTATTGACATAAAAAAAATTCATACTGAGTATATCATTTCACAATAATTTAAAGCAAGAACTTTGTACCCATACCATGGACAAGGTCATGTTGATGGCCTTGACCCTGATGTCTGCTGCTAGTCACTGTGTCCTTGACCTCTGATGCTTGACCTTTCGCTCTGCTTGTTGGTAGTAAGTCAGCAACAAACTGCTCCACCTGGTTAAGTTTTTCTTCACTTAGATTCACCTTCAAGGGTCGCTCCACCTTCAAGTTGATGCATGCTAACACACACACAAAAAAAGTGAATGAGCAATAAAAAAGATATTCAAATCGGACACTTTTGGTAAATTTGTGGATTTCATGGTTTTTGCTTTCTATGATTAAGTTGAAAATAAGAAACCATATTGTCAGCCTACCAACATTCACAAGAAATTTTTTTTGTGTGAAATTCACACATCAAAACAGTTGTTTTTAACTTTGGACATGTCAACTAAATATCTTTTTTTTATTTCAAGACAGACAGAATCAAAAGAAATCAATATTGGTGTTCCTTAAAGTTCAATATTTGGATCATTTTTTAAACATTAAATAAATGATTATCCTAAATGTTAAACACACTCGTCAGTTACAAGGTAGTGACACCTCACAGAGTGTTAAAGCTGAAAATGTTGTAGAGGGAAACTTAAACCAGGACATTAACTACCACTGAACTGGATATAACCAATTTTGAACAAGTTTTAAACTGAACAAAACTTACTGTATACTTTTATTTTCCATACAAAAGCTGTCAAGTAGACAATGTTATTATTGAAACAATTTCTTGTGAAAAACTAAATCCTGGAATTTTTATTGATGGCTAATATTGGTGACATAGACTGTATAACACCTCACAACAGTTTTGTGAAACAGACTTTAGGTTTGTGTACCTGTTACTGTGTAGGGCTATGCACTTATTTATAAGCATTATACATTTCATATCCATCTATATTTTCATTTTGTTTGGATTTGTGTGTTTATTGAAATTTCTTTCGTGTTGTAAGCAATCTATCATTTAGCGACCCTATCCAGCCAAGTGGTGTCTGAGAAATCTTTCCTCTTGGTGTTTTATACCAGACTTGTGTAAATATCTCACTCAGGGTATCTGTGGGAGTATCATGAGCACTGTCAAGCCAAAGCGAGTGCAATGCATGTTTAGTGGCACTCCCCTTATCTAAAGCTAAACCCACTGTGACAACAGCTTATTGTTCTAATCAATAAATCAACCTGTGTTACAATTTGTAAAATATAAAACATCCTATACACCTGAATTCTTGAATTCCTATCGACTTTAATTCACCACATTAAGGCAATTTTTGTTCCATTTAAGATATAGAATCTGAGTATTGATACACTTACTTGTTTTGTTTTGATCTTTCTAGTTCATAAGTCCTACCATAGTAATTATATCTAGTATCTGACCTATACCTTCTGCCCTATGACCTTGACTTTTGCCAAGAGATTTCCCCTTGATCCACCTTGCTTCATACTGTTGTAAGAAAATACAAGTGTATTTACCAACTAAGAGATAGAAAATGTGACCTTTGACCTCTGGCTATCTTTCACAAGGTCATAGCAACATGTTTACCAATGAAGAATTTCAAATTTGTTCCGGTGTAGCCAGGCAACTTCTAATTTGATTCCAGCCATCTTGCCTTCTTAATGTCATAAATGTAGTAATATATTTATCAATAAGATATTAATACATTGACCTTGTCCTTCGACTTGATGACCTTGATGTGTAGGAGGAGGATTTCTCATTTGATATCAGTCCATTTTGCTTTGTTTTCATTGGGAATAAATTTTTATAACAATCATGTACAACACATCTTACAGTGGTATTCTCAGTTCTATTTCAAGTAATAATGACCTTTGGGAAAGGAATTAACATAAGCACTAAGCTTCTTTTTCAATCCCATATATATCATGTATATGAGGAAATATTGTTGAATAGTGTATAATATATAGTTTAAACTTATAGTGACCTTGACCTTTGACCTCTGAACATGTAAAAACAACCAAAAGAATCCAGATTCTCTGCAGAAGTACTGGATGAAGTTAGAGTTCAAGTGCCTCAATAGAACTGGAGATATTGTACAGATATAAAAAAGGGACAGACAGACACACAGACAGACCACTTCCTGACTTCTATAGGGAATTGCATCTTCAATGTGGGGTGCACCCATTAGCAAAAATTGTTTGGTTGTTAGCTTTGTAAACAGCTCAGTGATACACAGGTTTGTGTGCACAATCTCATAGGTGTGTCTGTCAGTAAACCTCACACAAACCAAGAAGATAAAGAAAGAACAGTTAGATCGATAAATCACTGTGGGTGTACACACCCAGATCTGATGTTTGATTCTGAACTTCTGTTCAGATATCTTTATTGACAGACATGAAACAGATACTGGTCACTTTAAATTTGTATCAAACCTGAACCTGGATAAAGTTATTTAGAAAGTCACAGATATACTAACATGACAAGAAGGAAGTTAATTGTTCCAAGGCTGGAGATATACAATGTGAATTAACATTCTGATGCTTGGGATGGAGAACTTGGATTCACTATCACAGTAACCCTGTGACATCAGTGATCAAAAGGTAGTTATTGTTTTGTGACTTTATAGTTATCAAATCATAAAATATTTCATCGAAATGGCAGCTCGAGACAGTCAAATTCCCTTCCGTATGAAAGATCAGACAACCTGCATGCATCACAAAGGGAGACAACTGGAGTTTTATTGTGAAAAATGTTTGGAATTAGTTTGTCCAAAATGCCTTTCTTCTATTCACAAAAAACATGCAGTTTGTGAACTCAGTGAAATCACTCCTCAAAAGGAAAAAGATATCAGAAGTTTTATTGACAGAACAGAAGAACATGACCTGAAACACATTGGGAAATACATCAGATCTACTGATACACTCCTTCAAAACAACAGTACTACGTTTAAGAAACTGTCATGTCAATTAAAAATACAAACAGAGAAGCTAAAACATGACCTTGACATGCTTTCAACACAGACACTTTCCCTCTATCAAAAGATGGAAGAGGACAATACCAAGCGAATACAGAAATACAGACATGACCTGGAGGTGTACGATAAACAACTCAAACAACAAATACAGGAATGTAAGGTCGTGCTTCAGCGTGGTTCTCGCATACAAATTTATGATAAATCTTGTGAGATCCATTCTCCTACAAGTCTTCCTGTAAAACCTGTCCTGGATACTGCCAGCTTCAATCCAAACAAAAATCCTCAAGGTTACCTAGAAGCAGCCTTAGGGAAAGTTGTCTCTTCAGGTCAAGGTCAAACATCAACTGACCAGAAGCAGTCAGTTTCAGCATTAGGTGACCAGGGACAATCCTCTGAATCAGAAGTAAAAGAGAAGAAAGCAGTGACAAGTAAAAAACCACCTTCACAGACTGAGGTGGTAGAGGAATGGCTGTCTCCTTGTTACATTTCTTCTATATGTCCCACCACTGATGGTCAGGCGTGGACCAGAGACTGCAACACATTAACTCTCCTGGACAGGAAAGGTAGTGTTATACAGAATGTCACACACAAGGTTATCATAAATGACATCAGTCTATCACCCACAACACACACACTGTGGGTCTGTGACAGTAAAAACAACATCATGGAGCTGGTATCAGGACAACTCACAAAGAAATTCAGAACCAACGAGGCAATCTGGTGTATATGTGTTACAGCCAGTAAACATATACTTGTAGGGATGGACAAACACATCTCCAAATTTACCACACAAGGTCAGATGGTGCTCACTACAAAGGCTGTAGGGACTGGGAAACCCTTTGTGTATTTACCACACAGGATCTCCGAGTGTGCAGTGACCCACAATGTTGCAGTGGTTGATACCAACAATGAAAATAATGTTGGTGATGGAAATCAACGTGTTGTTGTCATGGATACTGACTTGAAGAAACTGTTTGTATACAGAGGTGACATCCCCAGGACATATAAACAGACACCACCTACAGGAGGGAAACATTTTGATCCTGAGGGTGTGGTGTATGACAGTATTGGTAACCTCATTCTATGGGACAATAGCAACTGTACTGTCCTACTCCTCAGTGGAGGTGGTGAGTTCCTCAGAATTATATACACCAACACAAAATGGATATCTGTTGTAGGTGTAGACAGGAAGAATGTCCTGTGGGCAGTTTTTGGGTATAGAGATATGAAACTACTACAGTACAGCAGTGTGTGACAGATGTACACAAAACTACTACAGTACAGCAGTGTGTGACAGCTGTACACAAAACTACTACAGTACAGCAGTGTGTGGCAGCAGCAGTGTGTGACAGCTGTACACAAAACTACTGCAGTGTGTGACAGCAGTGTGTGACAGCTGTACACAAAACTACTGCAGTACAGCAGTGTGTGACAGCTGTACACAAAACTACTACAGTACAGCAGTGTGTGACAGCTGTACAAAAATCTACTACATTACAGCAGTGTGTGACAGCTGTACACAAAACTACTACATTACAGCAGTGTGTGACAGCTGTACACAAAACTACTACAGTACAGCAGTGTGTGACAGCTGTACACAAAACTTCTACAGTACAGCAGAGTGACAACTGTACACAAAACTACTACAGTACAGCAGTGTGTGACAGCTGTACACAAAACTACTACACTACAGCAGTGTGTGGCAGCTGTACACAAAACTACTACAGTACAGCAGTGTGTGACAGCTGTACACAAAACTACTACGGTACAGCAGTGTGTGACAGCTGTACACAAAACTACTACGGTACAGCAGTGTGTGACAGCTGTACACAAAACTACTACGGTACAGTGTGACAGCTGTACACAAAACTACTACAGCAGAGTACAGCAGTGTGTGTGACAGCTGTACAACAAAACAAAACTACTACAGGTGTGTGACAGCAGTGTGTGTGACAACTGTACACAAAACTACTACGGTACAGCAGTGTGTGACAGCTGTGTGACACAAAACTACTACGGTACAGCAGTGTGTGACAGCTGTACACAAAACTACTACGGTACAGCAGTGTGTGACAGCTGTACACAAAACTACTACGGTACAGCAGTGTGTGACAGCTGTACACTAAACTCTATGGTAGAGTGTGACATTTATGACAACAAGCAAATTCATGGAATTTATATCCCCCGCTTTCCAAACATATTGTGAGTAAATATTTTAGAGGTTAGGAGTAAACATGTCATAATGCTATGTAGAATGATATATTCTCTTAAGCTATGATGTATTGCTTTAAAACCAAAGAAAGATGTAAAGGATTATAGAGAGTAGCTATTTTATTGGACATATCAAATATTAACTATTAAAGTGAACTAATTGAAGAAAACTTGCATACTAGTAACTATAATGGTGCTAAGCAGATCCATGGTCATCAGCAGGTATAGTTGTCCACACAATATGATGATCAGTACAGGGGACTGGATAATATTTGTGGGACTTCAAGTTACATCTAAATCAGATTATATTTAGGAAAGTTAGAGCACAAAAAATGACAGACCAATGAAATGAAAGAATACCTAATTAGTATGCATTGATATTAACAGATAATGCTGATTGCTGTGATGTGCCCTAATATGCATCTGCTGACCAAGTTTCATCTAAAGCTGATTATATTTAGGGAAGTTAGAGCACGGAAATGAACCGACCAATGAAATCAAAGGATACCTCATTAGTATGCATAATTATGAACAGATGACACTGATAGTTAAACTGCTGACTAAGTTTAGCCCAAATTAGATGATTTTTGGGGAAGTTAGAACATGGAAGCGAAAGTGTGACAGACGGACGGACGGACGGACAGATGGACAGACAAACCCAAATTAATATCCCCTGTTTTTGGTGAAAGTGGGGGATAAAAATACTTTTGTACCACAGTACAGCAGCAGTATGTGTCAGCCTGATAGACAAATGGACCAGCTGTGCCTGTAATAAACCTTACCCCAGCAGTATAATGAATTAGTTAACACTGAACATATGGTAGAAAAAGTATTCAAAGTGGCATATATACAGATTTTCTTAACGAACTTTGTCAATTTAAGGATAAAGTTTTCAGGTTCTGAATCTCTAGTTATCAATGTGAAAGTCTGGTAATCTCGTGTTTATTCATTGCTTTATATTTGCATGTAATCTCATAATAGAGAAATAACGAATTAATGCTAATTTTCAGGTTTTGAATCTCCAGTAAGTATATACAAGATTCTAGTATTCTTGTATGAAACAGTGAATAGTAGACCCTTGCGTTAATTACTATTGATTCAATATCTGACAGTTATGGAAAGTAAACAATGCATGTGTATTAGTATTAAGGTACAATTGTAGTAATTAACTATAATATGCTGTTATCAATTTCCATAAATAAAAGTTATTTCTATGCTATATGCTAAAAGTGATTCTTGTCATTATTTTTTGTAATTATACTGTAAATCAATGTCCATCCATGAATGTATGTGTCCACATACTGATATAATTGGTTTAAGGACATTTATTGAGATTAAGTATCATTATCAATTGAATCAAATATCCCATTAAATTGTGATTTTTTTTTTTGAAAACCATGAAAATTAAACCCTATAAAAATATATGGTTTTACAGATTGAAATCTCATTTAATTTCCAATTCCTTGAACTTAACCTAATTTAGTGTCCAAATAAGATTTTAAAAGGTGAATATTTGCGTAAATCATTCCTAACTCAGACAGATGAGTAATTACACTGTAGACATAGATTGTAACTGAACACTTATATATTGTACCAACTAAATTTACTTAGTTATCAATGAATATCTGTTTATAACCTGAAGAATGACAGAGAAAAATAACGCTAAAAAAAACCCCACAGTTAGTCTCTAATCTCAAAACCACATGATCTCTAACGTCATCTCATTTGGACCTCCTTCGTGTACGGTAGGTTAAATTCATGAAATAGACTTGAGTGAGAAATCCTCAAACAGACATGAACAGAGAGTTTGTTTCAATTATGACTTGTCATCTTCACTACTGTAAAATTGTTCATTTTTCTGGGAGATTAATTTTCATTAAATTCATGGGTACACTAGATCAACAAAATTTTATCAACAAAATTGTAAACAGTTAACAAGAGGTATCCTCTGACTATAAAGGTCTAAATATGACAGAGGCAAAATAGGCTTAAAATGAATTCCTCAACTACTCTACAGCTTACATAGAGGACATTGTTGGTTCATCAAGACATTTTCTGCAACCTTGAAATCATATTCTTCATACCAGCACTACACAATTGCCATTACTCCAGACACATTGCCTGTTGAAAAATCAAGATACAGGCCCTATATTGGGACCCTTGGCCTGTCAGTTATTAAGAAGAATTTGCTAAAGCATCTCAACACATTTGAGCCCTGTGACCTTGAACGTTGGCTAATATGTACACCCTGGGCCTTTTAGATATTGAGTAGAAGTCATTTAAACTTTTGAACATATTTGATACCTGTGACCATGGAAGTGGGTCAATGCCATTCATAGGGGTTGAATCAACTTTCTGATTTCAAGAAATAATTTCCCATTCTCCATGAGGTTTTAAACTAAATTTGATTGAAATCCATTTAAACATTAAAAAGGAAGAAGTGTTTTGAATCAGAATATTGTCTTATTTTCCCTTTTGTGGCCCCCATTTTCCCTTTTGGGGTCCCATGCTCATGTCCCTAGGGGTCAAATCAAATTTATGAATTTAAGAAATAGTTGCCTACCCTAAATGATGAATTACGAGCCAAAGCTTGTTGAAATCCAGACAGACAGAAAGGAGTAGGGTTTCAAATCTAATTTCAGCATCTCCCTATTTTGGACCCTGTGTCTCGACCCAAAGGAGTTGAATCAAAATTCTGAATTTCAGAAATAATAACCCTCATTCATTTATGCATCAGACTAAATTTAATTGAAATCCATCCAGGTACAAAAGAGGAGTAGGGTTTTAAAGAAAAAGTTTATGCACGACTCATGACGACAGACAAAGAACAATGGCTATAGGTCATCTTGACCACTGTATTTTAAATAAATATTGTGAGCAAGATTTACCCTCAAATTATTTGCCAATTTACATGTATATCTTTGGAAAACCATGAAATTTGAGCTCTATGAAAATAAAGGATTTTACAGTATATCATAACCAACAAAATTAAATCCATTTGGTGAATATTATAACATCGTTTTTTTTTTTTTATGATCAATAAAAAAATCAATCAATAATTACTTGAGAAAATGTGCAGATCAATAACACCATTTTGGCGATTGTCAATACCAGTTAGAATCAATGCTAGAATAGAGATACAAAATTCTGATTTCCAATTTTCCAAGGAGTTGAATCAAAATTCTGAATTTCAGAAATGATAACCCTCATTCATTGATGTATCAGACCAAATTTAATTGAAATCCAACCACAATTATCAAGAAAGTACTGGATAAAGTTTGAGAGCAATAATGGGCTATGTAATAGAACGAGTGATAAAGCCTGGTTACAAATAAAAAAAACACATGGCCATAACTAGACCAGGGGTGGACAATTCTGCTAACCCTATGCCCCAGGCTAGTGATTTTCGCCTCCAGGCTAATTGCTCAACGGCAGTCACTGGCCCGTGGGCTAGTGGAAATATTCTGTAATGAACTTGCATTAACAGCCTTAAATTGTCTGGTGGTGTTTTCTGTTGATAAATAATTATCAACATTTCGATCTTCAACTCATGTCAGAGGTTCTGTGTCACTGACACATTCAAGTTCACCACATCGCTAAATATAGAGCTCGCGCAAGAGTGTTTTTGATTGGATGGTAGTGAATTATGCAATAGCTATATATAGCCTACTCGTACAAAATACATGTAGCCTATACACCTGTGTTTCTGATTGTTCTAGAAACATGGTAAATTCTATGATATCCAAACAATGTCTTTATTTCAGGTTGACTTTTTGTACATAAAAAAAAACATAAACACTAAAAAGAAAAAACTAAAAAAATAAATTAAAAAAAAAAAAAAAAAAAATCTACCGCTTTTAAACTGCAACCTTGACGTGGTGGGGTAGCTTGAGTGTTTCTAGATCCTGTAGAGCATTGTAAATGTAGTTATATTTGTAAAAAAAACTTTTGCATAAATGAATAAACACCAACTGCATATCTGTACAAAATGACATCAGGGCTTAGACACCAGACATATAGCATTTGAATCCATGATGCCTTATTATAAAAGTCAGCTTAGAGGCAATATAAAACCACCTGAAAGCCAAGTAATTGAAACAAGTCATGTGTGAAGATTAACCTTCAATTGTTTGAGAATATCAATGGTTATTGGCATTTATGTTGACAAAAGTGGGGCTAGTAGAAATCCTGTCAGGGCTAGTGGAAAAATTTTGAAATTGTCCACTCCTGTAGATACTCAGCATATCATCATGCTACTTACTACACAGACTTACAACAAATTACAGGTCTATATCTGTACCCATTAAAGATAAAATAGAGGCTAAAGATGATAGTTTGTGTTCCCGACCATAAATTGGTGTTTGTATACAACTGATTAAAAACTTAATGAAAGGACAGAAGATCAGAGTACAGAGCATGTGATACACAGGTGTGTGTAAACACAATGTACATGTGCATACAAGGCAACACCTGCCAGGTAAATTGTAGTTATATATATATACACTACATAATGTGACCGTGTCTAAAACCTAGCACAAACCAGGAAGTTATATTCAGCAAATGGTTTAAAATTACACTGTGTGTGTGTACACACCCAGATCTGATGTTTGATGCTGAACTTCTGTTCAGATACCTTTATCGACAAACAGACATGAAACAGATACTGGTCACTTTAAATTTGTATCAAACCTGAACCTGGATAAAGTTATTTAGAAAGTCACAGATATACTAACATGACAAGAAGGAAGTTAATTGTTCCAAGGCTGGAGATATACAGACAATGTGAATTAACATTCTGATGCTTGGGATGGAGAACTTGGATTCACCATCACAGTAACCCTGTGACATCAGCGATCATAAGGTAGTTGAGTTTTCACAGTCATAAAAAAAAAAATATTCATTTCAACAAAATGGCTACCCCAATTAGCCAGATTCCTTTCCGTTTCAAAGGTCAAATTACATGTATATTTCACAAAGGGAGACAACTGGAACTTTATTGTGAGAAGTGTCAAGAGCCGGTGTGTCTACATTGTATTTCATCTATTCACAAAAGCCATTCAATTTGCGAGCTCAGTGAAATTTCTCCCCAAAAAAAACAAGATATCACAAACTTTATTAACAGGGTGGAACAAAATGATCTTGAACAAGTTAGAAAATACATCAAATCTACTCATACACTCCTTCAAGACAACACCAACACATTTGAGAAACTGTCATGTCAGTTGAAAATGCGAACAGATAAATTAAAACAAGACCTTGACCTTCTTGCAGCACAGACACTCTCTATTTATAAAAAGATGGAAGAGGATAATAACAGGCTGATACAGAATTATATGGAGGAATTAAACATGTATGAAAAACACATGAAACAACAAATTGAAGAATGTAACATTGTGCTTAATGTTGGTTCTCACATACAAATTTATGACAAATCTTGTGAGATCCATTCTCCTACAAGTCTTCCTGTAAAACCTGTCCTGGATACTGCCAGCTTCGATCCAAACAAAAACTCTCAACGTCTCCTGGAACTAGCCTTAGGGCAAGTTATTCTCTCAGGTCAAGGTCAACTATTAACTAAGCAGGATAGGTCAGGATCAAAATCAGATGACAAAGGACAATTTTCTAGACAGCAATCAGGACGAAAAGAGAAGAAAGCAGTGATAAGGAAAAAACTACTGTCAGAGACCAAGGTGGTGGAAGAGTGGGAGTCTCCATGTTACATTACTTCTATATGTCAAACCACTGATGGTCAGGTGTGGACCAGTGATTATAGTGGCGTATTAACTCTCCTGGACGGGAAAGGTAAAATTATACAAAAGGTCACACACAAGTCTATCATATATGACATCAGTCTATCACCCACAACACACACACTTTGGGTCTGTGACAGTAAAAACAACATCATGGAGCTGGTATCAGGACAACTCACAAAGAAATTCAGAACCAAACAGAAACCCAGGTGTATGTGTGTTACAGCCGGTAACCATATCATTGTAGGGATGGACAAACACGTCTCCAAATTTACCACACAAGGTCAGATGGTGCTCACTACAATGGCTATAGGGACTGGGAAACCCTTAGTGTATTCACCACACAGGATCTCCGAGTGTGCAGTGACCAACAATGTCGCAGTGGTTGATAGCAACACTGAAAATAATGTTGGTGATGGAAATCAACGTGTTGTTGTCATGGATACTGAATTCCAGAAACTGTTTGTATACAGAGGTGACATCCCCAGGACATATAAACAGACACCACCTACGGAAAGTGAACCATTTGACCCCTATGGTGTGGTGTATGACAGTGTAGGTAACCTCATTATAGGGGACAATAACAACTGTAGGGTCCTACTCCTCAGTGGAGGTGGTGAGTTCCTCAGGATCATATACACTGATGCAAACTGGACATCTGCTGTAGGAGTAGACAGGAAGAATGTCCTGTGGGCAGTTTTTGGGTATAGAGATATGAAACTACTACAGTACAGCAGTGTGTGACAGCTGTACACAAAACTACTACGGTACAGCAGTGTGTGACAGCTGTACACAAAACTGCTACGGTACAGCAGTGTGTGACAGCTGTACACAAAACTACTACGGTACAGCAGTGTGTGACAGCTGTACACAAAACTACTACAGTACAGCAGTGTGTGACAACTGTACACAAAACTACTATGGTACAGCACTGTGTGACAGCTGTACACAAAACTACTACGGTACAGCAGTGTGTGACAGCTGTACACAAAACTACTACGGTACAGCAGTGTGTGACAGCTGTACACAAAACTACTACGGTACAGCAGTGTGTGGCAGCTGTACACAAAACTGCTACGGTACAGCAGTGTGTGACAGCTGTACACAAAACTGCTACGGTACAGCAGTGTGTGACAGCTGTACAGCAGTGTGTGACAGCTGTACACAAAACTACTACGGTACAGCAGTGTGTGACAGCTGTACACAAAACTGCTACGGTACAGCAGTGTGTGACAGCTGTACACAAAACTGCTACGGTACAGCAGTGTGTGACAGCTGTACACAAAACTACTACGGTACAGCAGTGTGTGACAGCTGTACACAAAACTACTACGGTACAGCAGTGTGTGACAGCTGTACACAAAACTACTACGGTACAGCACTGTGTGACAGCTGTACACAAAACTACTACGGTACAGCAGTGTGTGACAGCTGTACACAAAACTACTACGGTACAGCAGTGTGTGACAGCTGTACACAAAACTACTACGGTACAGCAGTGTGTGACAGCTGTACACAAAACTACTACGGTACAGCAGTGTGTGGCAGCTGTACACAAAACTGCTACGGTACAGCAGTGTGTGACAGCTGTACACAAAACTGCTACGGTACAGCAGTGTGTGACAGCTGTACACAAAACTACTACGGTACAGCAGTGTGTGACAGCTGTACACAAAACTACTACGGTACAGCAGTGTGTGACAGCTGTACACAAAACTACTACGGTACAGCAGTGTGTGACAGCTGTACACAAAACTACTACGGTACAGCAGTGTGTGACAGCTGTACACAAAACTACTCCGGTACAGCAGTGTGTGACAGCTGTACACAAAACTACTACGGTACAGCACTGTGTGACAGCTGTACACAAAACTACTACGGTACAGCAGTGTGTGACAGCTGTACACAAAACTACTACGGTACAGCAGTGTGTGACAGCTGTACACAAAACTACTACAGTACAGCAGTGTGTGACAGCTGTACACAAAACTACTACAGTACAGCAGTGTGTGACAGCTGTACACAAAACTACTACAGTACAGCAGTGTGTGACAGCTGTACACAAAACTACTACAGTACAGCACTGTGTGACAGCTGTACACAAAACTACTACAGTACAGCAGTGTGTGACAGCTGTACACAAAACTACTACAGTACAGCAGTGTGTGACAGCTGTACACAAAACTACTACAGTACAGCAGTGTGTGACAGCTGTACACAAAACTACTACAGTACAGCAGTGTGTGACAGCTGTACACAAAACTACTACAGTACAGCACTGTGTGACAGCTGTACACAAAACTACTACAGTACAGCAGTGTGTGACAGCTGTACACAAAACTACTACAGTACAGCAGTGTGTGACAGCTGTACACAAAACTACTACAGTACAGCAGTGTGTGACAGCTGTACACAAAACTACTACAGTACAGCAGTGTGTGACAGCATTACGATGGTTTTTACGGCAATATTAGGAGACTTCTGGAGTGATTATATTCCAGGAAAACAAAATAAAAAAAAATTGAGCCCAAGGAAAATATATGATGTTACAGTAATGATCCTTTGAACAGACATATGCTTATTGGCTAATAAAAGCTTCTATGTGTTGATCTGTTGTGTCCTTATTGGTAATGTTTCTGAACATCAACAGATAAAGGTGGGCTTATTATCAGACATATGCTTATTGGCTAATAAAAGCTTCTATGTGTTGATCTGTTGTGCACTTAGTGTTTTTTCTGAACAGATAAAGGTGGGCTTATTATTAGACATATGCTTATTGGCTTATAATGCTTCCATGTTTTGATCTGTTGTGCACTTATTGGTAATTTTTCTGAACATTAACAGATAAAGGTGGGCTTATTATCAGACATATGCTTATTGGCTAATAAAAGTTTCCATGTTTTGATCTGTTGTGCACTTAGTGGTAATTTTTCTGAACAGATAAAGGTGGGCTTATTATTAGACATATGCTTATTGGCTTATAATGCTTCCATGTTTTGATCTGTTGTGCACTTATTGGTAATTTTTCTGAACATTAACAGATAAAGGTGGGCTTATTATCAGACATATGCTTATTGGCTAATAAAAGTTTCCATGTTTTGATCTGTTGTGCACTTATTGGTAATTTTTCTGAACAGATACAGGTGGGCTTATTATTAGACATATGCTTATTGGCTTATAAATATGGATCTTCTATGTTTTGATCCATTGTGTCCTTATTAATGATAATATTGATAGATATGGGTAGATTAATAAGTATATAAACATAGGCGTGGATCTACTGCTGCAAAGCATTTAACATACACACCTGAGATATTGAACACAGGTAAAATGCTCACTAGGTATTTAATTACAGCTATCTTTAACGATTGCAAATATACCGTTAGTTAAATACCACCACTTATATGGTAAACAGAAAAAGATACAAGTGGGCTAATTACTGAGCATGGGCTTATCATCGGACAGATACAGTTACGAAGTGAAACACTCACCTGCATCCTTTAAGAAGTTACTGATTCTAAGTGTATACAGACTAGGTGGAATCCCAGTGTTAGGGTGAGGCTTCCCCGCCCGTGTCTCTATCCAGTACAGGTGGAAGTCGGAACAATCAGGTATGATCTTGGTATCGTCTGGGGAAAAAAAATCAAGTAAGTTATAATCAGGGGATGCAGACATTATCTCATGTCACAATATCCCTGTCACAAGTCAACACTTAGGGCTTACCCTTCAGGAAGATGCAACATGGAAACATCACATTCAAAATATACATAAAAAAGCATACAATAGACTCAACATTCTTCGTTATATTAAAAACACTGTAAGTAGAAAATCATTGATTAAAATTTATACAGCATTTATTAGACCTATTATGGAATATGCAAATATTATATGGGACAACTGTACACGACAAGAAAACAATCTTAGAATCAATTCAATTAGAAGCTGCAAGAATTATCACATGTATGCGATCAGGGACATCACATGAAAAATTATATAAAGAACTGGGTAGGGAAACACTAGCTGTAAGAAGATAAAAACACAAATACATAATAATGTACAAAATTATACATGGTCAGACACCTCAATACTTGCTAGATGTTTTAAATCCCCTCACTAATAGTAATGTTGTCAACCCCTATCCACTAAGACAACCTAGGCTTTTTAATCCTTATCTGTGCAGAACTTATAATTACTTTAACAGCTTCTTCCCTAGCATGTGCCGAGAATTTAACACAGTTAATCCCAACATACTTAACTCTCCGTCACTTGCTGCTTTAAAGACATATCTGAACAAAGACTTAAATAATGAATGTATATCTTCAACTATTTTCAAAACTGAAGGCAATAGACGAGCTAATATTGTTCTCTGTCAATTACGAAATAATTGCAGTAATTTAAATTGTGATTTATATTGTGATCATCTTGTGGATAATCCTTCTTGTGCTTGTTCATATGAAAATGAAACAATTACATTTTCTCATTACTTCCTAAATTGTCCTTTGTATGCTTTGCAAAGAAATTTACCATCTGTTTCTATCATTAATAATCATCATAATCATGTAGATTTAACTACTCTTTTCCAATGCTGTTCTGCTTGTATTAGCTTACTAATAAAAATATACTTGAAGCTGTACAGCTGTATATTGGACAGACCAGAAGGTTTAACTTCTTTATATCTTAACTACACACAGCCAGGATGATGTGCAAATATGTTATTTTATCATGCTTTACTCAATGTTGACAGACAATTACTGGATACCAGATGAGTATGAAATACACAAATCCATATAACTAATTATGTATTGTCTACAAAGTAGAGGTAGGAGAAATTCACTGTCACTAGTCTGATGGTCCACAGACCTAGAGGTAGGAGAAATTCACTGTCACTAGTCTGATGGTCCACAGACCTAGAGGTAGGAGAAATTCACTGTCACTAGTCTGATGGTCCACAGACCTAGAGGTAGGAGAAATTCACTGTCACTAGTCTGATGGTCCACAGACCTAGAGGTAGGCTGATTCACTATATACATATAAACTTCATTTAGTCTTTACAGACAATTGCGAAAATTCAAGTTATGTCAATTTATTCACTGTCATCATTCCTGTTGATGGTCCACAGACCTAGGACACTGTACTAGTCTGATGGTCCACAGACCTAGAGGTAGGAGAAATTCACTGTCACTAGTCTGATGGTCCACAGACCTAGAGGTAGGAGAAATTCACTGTCACTAGTCTGATGGTCCACAGACCTAGAGGTAGGAGAAATTCACTGTCACTAGTCTGATGGTCCACAGACCTAGAGGTAGGAGAAATTCACTGTTGTTAGGCTGATGGTCCACAGACCTAGAGGTAGGAGAGATTCACTGTCGTTAGGCTGATGGTCCACAGACCTAGAGGTAGGAGAGATTCACTGTCATTAGGCTGATGGTCCACAGACCTAGAGGTAGGCTGACCTATATATATAAACTTCATTTATTTTACAACAATTGCGAAACAAGTTATTTCAACTTATACTAATCATTCCTGTTGCCCCGGACGTAAGCGCGGGAGGGGTCTTATTGTGGGAGGAAAGCAGAGTACCTGGGGGAAACCCACATGGTCGGGCAAGTGACCCCTATCCTTTTCACGTCCGTTCCGGGAATCAAACCCCGGTTGGCTAGGTGAAAGGCGAGTGCGTTACCACTGCGCCCCCCGACCTGTGTACAATGAAGGAAAGTTTTAACACATCCCCTCTCCCCTCTCCACATTTTTGAAAAGTAGGATTGACGAACACTTTCCACTTTTAAAAACCTATGTTGGATACAATAAATAATTATAACTTACCTGTATCGATGAAATCTGTGGTAGGTCCTTTGATGAGAATATCGTAGCAGGACATTTCAAACGTCTGCTGCTCCTGTTGGCATTTCAGAACTGTATGTGGCTGGGAAAAATACAGGTAGAGGAACGGCTGAATCACACAGCTTCCTGACCTTATGACCTTTTCACTCTCTGTCTTCACATCATGAATATTCAAAAAGGAGTAGGTTGGTCTGTTTTCCTCAGCACCTGATTTGTTTGGTGAAGATTCACCACTTCTTCCTGTATCAGCCTTGTCTTTCATGTGGTTGTCATGGTAATCCTCCTTCAGAAGCTTGTGTGTGTACACAGTACATGATATACGACCTGCTGTTAACAAAAGGTCAAATGGGGTCACAAACTTTGGACTCTGAACAAGTGTTGTCGTGTGCTGTGTGGGGACGGGGGACACACCTTTCTTGAAGGTCAAAGCTGAAATCTCGCTTCCAATACCACTATCATAGGTCATTTGATCGGATTTGACCTCTTCCACTTTGTCTGTTTCTTCAACTGGCCTTTCTGTCTTCGATGGTAGTAACACAGCCTTTGTTTGGCTGATCAAGCGTTCCAGAAGGTGAATCTGATTGGTGCTGATGACAAAATCAATGTCACTAGAGGCATTCAGTTCTATAGTGTGTCCACATACCAAAATCTAAAAAAGAAATGAACATTGACAACACTCTGCAGAATTCCATTTCTACAAAACATTTTGTAGACTCAGAACAAGGTGAAATTGCACTAGTGACGATTTGTCAGTTAGTTTACTTGGTTAATCTTTTTCATTCTGTGTTGTCGAGAAATTTCAATTACCTATGGTATTACTCTTACTGTAAATCTACCTTTTTGGCAAAATCTAATATCAGTGCATTATCTTTTGTTAACAACTATCCCAATGATGAATTTGTGCATAAACAATTATTGCTATAGAAACACATTCAGAAAAGCAACAATTAACAAAAAAAAATGCTAAAATTGGCAAAATATGTATGTTTACAGTATGTACTTTTAAATTTTACACAAGACATTTTAGTTAAAAGGTTGGGATCCAGAAACCTCCGTTGAAATCTATCTCTGGAACTATTGAATATTTGTGACAGAATCATACTGCGATAAAGCTTAAATTAACAAAATGTTGTAATTTAATCAATTCTCTGATACTTTAAATAAGAAATCCAGGGCTTTCCTGTCTATCTTTGGAACAGACACTGATTGGAAGATTATAAGCGTCCTTTTAAGTCAATTTTTGAAATTATCCATACCACATTTTTTGTACAATATATCAAGTGGACCAAGAAAAAATTAGACATTTCTCATCATTTCCAAATAAGGAATGCCAGCCATAATCAATGTCAAAGGCAGGAATGTTCCTGGAAAATAAACTACAGAAAGTCACTTACTGGAGTCTGACTGTGGTCCCTTGGGGTGTAGGTGATTGCCGGAGCTGCTACAATTTTCATATCCAGACTTGCCACCAGGGGGATCAATTGTATATCCATTTTCTCCTTCCTACAAAACCAAAATTCCTTTTTTTTTTAATTTTACAGCTCCATTCACATTACTGGAAATATTTCCTTTTATCAAAGAGAAATCTATATAAAAGATCTTAATGAGTTTCCAATCACACAAGATTTACTGTAAGATTATTAATTTTCATGAGAGATTTATTTTCGTTGAATTTGACTTTGTACATGTATGTTCACAAATCATTAAACTGTTAAAGTTTATGAAATCCATGAAATCACATTTTTTGAAAACCACAAAATTTGAGTAACACAAAAAATGAATGATTTAACGGTATAAAATAAGTCAGAATTTACCATTTTTCCCTCAAAATTTGTGAGGAGTTTCATAAACCTCTAATGAAATGGAAACAACTGCAATATTGTGTTCATCACATAATTCAGTAGATATTTTTGTCAGCCAATCAGATGTTTAGGTGTAAAAGCTAACACTTAAAAATATAAACTTCATTTAATTTAACAATGGCAAAACAGTCTTTGATATTCTGTTTAATCACTCTTGTTTGTTCTGATTGAGGCAGGTTGGGGTTCTTACTGTGAAAGGAAAACATCGCAGTCAGACATTAAACAAAATATAATTCCATGTCTGATTGAGGAATCAAATCTCAGTCCCTGGTCCCCTTCCACTGTCACATGTATACAGTTGCATAATGAAAATGGATGTAGGTGTAAAACATGAGATCCCCGAGGGATCTTGGCGCCCACCATAGTTTGATCTTTAATTGCTCACCATATGCTGATGGTGGGCTAATTAACAGGAAAAAAACTGACCGTTCAAAATAAAATAGCTACTGACTGTGGTTTGAGTAGAGTATTCCATTCCAGGGCTGGCATCTGTATAGTGGGTGTACCTATCTCACACTGTTCCACATTCATTTGTCTCTCCGAAAAGTCGGCCCAGCATCCTGTTAAAAAACATTCGCCTTTGGTATGAATGAATATAACACACAATTAGAAGTTGTCTGTATGTTTGGGTGCCATATTTCTTTATCATCAACCAATCACAGAGCAATACAATATGTATACAAGCCTGTCCGTTGACTAGATTAAGTTTATCAATAGATTCTTTTCCTACTAAATTAACATATAAATACCGGTACAGGTGCCTGCAAAATTAAAATCAAAATTTACTTTTATTTTCATATAACATCAATTTCAATCATAGTTTACTTTAGAAATATATAGAATTCCAAACCTGTACATAGAGAAAGCCCTCTGAATTCCATCTGGTACTGTCGGTTCTCAATGGATGATCCTGGCACTCTATCTATCCCATGATGCATTGCTCGGCTGTACAATTCTTTCTCATTTGCATAACGTGGCAACGGGTTGTCTGCATGTGGTGTGACAGTAATAGAGTGTATGAATCCCACGATCAAATCATGGTCCATAGTACTTTTGGCTCTTCTGCGTTTTTCATCCTGAGATGTGATATCCTGGTCACACAAATGTTTGACAGGCATAAACACTCTTATGCTAGCCATATCAACATAGAGTAAAGGGAGAAGGCTTGACGTCACAACAGGAATAAAGTTTGTATTAGGACTGACTGGTTTAGGAGTTAAGTTCTTTGGTAACGATCCAGACTTTTGAACACTTGGCGGAATGAAACAGTCTATGACAGTTAAAAGAGCTGGAATGTTGAAAACAAAGTCACAAGGTTCCAGACTGAGACAAACCTCTGAAATGTGGTTATGGAAATAGAGCTCATTAGCAGATTCAACTCCAACATCTGGTAAACCAACCATGTCGGCGTTTATTTTTCGTAACTTTTGTTTCACATTTTTGCACAATGCCCGTGTAAACGTGAGGTTAACGAAACGACGATTAACCTCTCGTGTATTGGACTCGCCCATCATGAAGTTGTGAGCGGGAGAAGTCTGTGTGTCACATGACCAAACCTTGTTTGATACCACATGAATGCTACTAGCCAATTCCTTCTGCGAACTCATCAAGATTCCTAGATTTGTGCCCTTTGACCAGCCAGTGGAGCTGAAATTAGTTGAAATAGTAAGATTAACGATGAAAATGGTAAAAACGTGATCCAGTAACATATCCTACATCTCATAAAAACAATCAATATCAATATTATAAAGAGTGGTAAGGGACATAACTCTGTCAAAAAAGACGAGAAGAGACAGAAATATAAACTTACTTTCATCATAGTTAAATACATACCTCTCACGATCTCTACTGTAATGGTGCATAAAACATCCTCCACAAGTGACCTTGACCTTTGCATAAATGACCTCGACATCAACTGAGGTCATCAGATCCTCCATAACCAGGCTGACCTTTGTATCTGTATAATCAATATCTACATGTCAGAAAATCATTCCTTACTCGTCATTGTTCTCACAACTTCATTTTGTTTTGAGAAAATATCAACCATACTTTATCGAAAATTCTAAGCATGTTCTAACAAACCCAAACTTTGACCTTAGAAAGCCTTTTCTTGCTCTCACATAGCCAAACCATTCTTAACAAAGCCTATTCTTGTTCTAACAAAGCTTTACCTCTTTTAACAAAGTCTTACCTTGTTCTGCCCCTTCTCCCAGTCGGTAAAAGTTTATTTCAAATTTGGGTAATGTCCACTGAAGCCAAAGTGACAGTTTTACTCCACTGTCAGTCATATCCTCCATGAGCATGTCCCGAATTGGAGTTGTTTCCCTTGATGTGAAATCTCCTGAGGTTCCTGTCTCAGTTTGCTCAACATCTTCTGTGATAGATGTCATATTCAGTTGTTCCCTCTGAATACTAGGTGGTTTACCTGGCTCCTTTTGACCTGACCTCGGGGTCAAAGTGGTTTTGACCTTTTCAGGTTTAAGGATACTTTTGGTGAATGCAAGTCCTTGCTTGAGGAGCGTTTTCAGCCAAATTACAATGGAAAGACATAAGTGGACCTGGGAATAGAGTCATTTGGAATTAGTGTTTACTTTAACAGTACGTTACATCACTTAATGTTGATAAATCCCTGGTAAACAAAATAAGAGGCCTTTAGGGCCTGTACTTGTCACAAGGTGTAAGCTGACATATAACAAGATTAACAATGATATCAAAATGCACTGTACATTTCATGATGTACATCAGCTCTATGCCATGTCGTATGTCAAAATAGCATTTTATATTCCAGACTAATTCTTAATTAAATCCTGCAGAAAGGATTTGAAAGATTTTATTCTGTTTCCCTCTAGTCCATACCGAACATTTATACAAAACTAATGTTTCTTTTCTGCTCAGAATAGAAGCTTCAAAGGAAATTGGACAAAACATAATCATTCATACAGAAGAAAAAGAATCTGTTGTCACTTTTTCCTACCAGGTCGGCCATTCATACAGAACTCGTTCTGTAACCTTAGAGTAAAAGGGGACAGATTACAAACCTATAGTTAAATGGGGATCTGAGACTTTACCTGCCGTTTAGAGCAAGCCAGTGTGACACTCCTCATATCAGTGTGGAGACAAAGTCCCAGGGCTGAGAGGTTATCTGAGGTCGGTGGAGAGTACTTGGTACTGACCGCCACTGTACAGTTGACTGACACTGGTTTGAGAATGGAGAAGATTTCCTTTTTGGAATGTATTGTGTAGATGCTGAAGTTGTTCAAGGTCATTGTCCATGGCAGTTTTTCACCTAAATAACACAACGTCATTAATACAATATAAATTTTTACTATAGCCAAATTGTTGATAAGGTTAATTCTTGGTCAAATGTCTTCTGTTCTTCTGTCAAAATGTGTTATTTAGGTAAATCAGGTGAAAATAACAGAAACGAAACGATGCGATATTTAACAGAAACAAAGTGACATTAACAAAAACAATGTGATATTTAACAGAAACAAAGTGACATTAACAAAAACAATGTGAAACAATATCACATTAACAGACACAATGTGATAATAACAGAAATAATGTGATATTAACAGAAACAAAGTGATAATAACAGAAAGAATATGATATTAACAGAAACAATATGATAATAAACAAATTTCAGTATTTACTACGTTGCATTAGGTGTGTGATGTCTGGTTCAGTGAGGTATTGTAAGGATGCAACAGTAACATTAAATTGTATGGACTGACGATGAAATATGATTATCAGTCAGATTAATGTATAAATTATGACCTACAGGTTGCAGAATTAACACAAAAGGCACAATTTTCATTTGTCATTTTAAACCTTAATCATGAAGTCCCCTAAAAAACTGACAATGATATCAAGGCCATACTGTTTGACTAGCATGTTAAATCATCACAAAGGGGAATGACTGCTTCTCACCGACGAGTGACCCATCCATCGAGGATATGGGGATCTCCTGCAAAGCATGCACCTGTTTGACCCCTGAACTGACCAAATGTAGGTTAGGGAGACAAATGACCATAGTCCCCATGGCAATGTTTTGTTCCATTACAGACAGGAAGTTCTGGGGTATGTAAACACTAGGATCAGGAACTGACATTGGGCTCTTGTTTACAAACACACAGCAGCTCTTGATGTCCACCTGTAATAGCATCAAATGTCAACAAGGAGAGACACAATAAATTTCATTTTTACACAATTTCTGAGATTCTGAGAAATACTTTAATACTATTGTAAATTATTGGGTCAAGAAAATATTTTTTTAAGAAATGAGAAATTCCTATACACAATTTTACCCCAATACATTAGAATAAGACAGACAAACATTGTTTTACACATTAAACACTTCAGGTTAAAAAACTAACAGGTATAGTAACTTAAATATTAAAACCGAAACTGTATGTTAACAATTTCTACAGTTAACTAAGTATGGAACTCTTTTGTTGTTTAAGTCAAGATTAGTTATTGTCCCTATAGGCCTTAACATATCTGGGAAATATTTCAACTTAATTCTAAAATAACCTGGACTTACAGCATTAACTCAGGTTGTTCAAAGGACAGTTAGAGATAACCAAAATTTAGCAAAAATATTCAAACATGAATCAAATGAAATTGGGGACATTCTTTGTCACCTATAGCTGTCAATTTGTTGAGATAGGTCAAATTGATATATTTTGAATGTTGATTTTTTGTATATACATTGTAGCTCTAACATTTTCTGTGGCAACATTTAAGATTTTTCACTAATCACTAGTTAATATAAGTTACCATTGAGCAACTGGGGCCTTATGTATGGATGTCTTAGTAAAGGATAATTCATGTCTGTGTTAAAATATGTTAACTATCTGTACAGTTAACCATGTTTGGAACTCTTTTGTTGTTAAAGGTCAGTTTAGGTCCTGTTTCTTATCCATTAACAGTCCTCAAAGAATATTGCTTTTTACCTGAACTTGAAGCATTCTGACATATGGGAATAAAGTGGCTAGCTTGTTTGAAAGGTCGCAACCAGATGTTTCCTCGTCTTTCTGACTTTCTTCCCCATGGGTGGTGGTGGGGACATGTGATCGTGTAACAGTTGGTGTATCTGTGTTAGGTGTCACAGAGCCAGAGGAGGCCAGGGAAACTGAAATATGGAACAATGGGTTTATTTCATTGAATGAAAATTTCGTCATTTGGTGTCAAAACCAGAATATCTATTTTTAGCCTTTTTGAGTTTGAGGCGTTAAAGATCAGAAACCAAAAATATAAAGAAACATTTTCTCTATAAAGTTTAGGAGTTAAAATTCACCAAAAAATCTGTATGGAAATAAAGTTCTGTCCATGTTTCATCAATTCACTTTCATCCATTTCATGGGATTTAGAAGAGTGAAATATGATAACTGTATATTGACAGATTAAAAAAAAAAAAAAAAAAAAATTCATAGGGATCGCCATTAAAATTTTATACATGAATATTGACCATTATATTGATAAACTAATTACAACTTAATTGTCAAATCCTTTAGGCAATATTGAAATTAAGAAAAGACATCCAATTACCATTCTGACATGCTTTCCAGTGGAAAACTAATATTGCTTAGCATGTTAAGATGGGGTAAATACTACAAACCTTGAGAAGCATTTGTCTTAAGGGGTAACGCCACATTTGCCAGAGACTTGTCCACTGTCACTTTCTCCCTCCCATGATTGGAGAGTTTCACTTTGTCACGTGGAGTGTAGGAGAACCAATTTATAAGAGATGGGTCGAGCAAACACACCACACCCTCCATATTGAGCAGGAGAACACTTGGAACTGAAACAAAATTAATGAATCTGAATTACCTCCCTTTGATTCTTACAAGCATTACACCCCATTTATATTGTTTGAGCTGTCCCTATAGTCTTTTGAATTAAAGACATTGAAAAAGACACCAGTAAGTTTGAGGAATTCCATTGAAAATGTACAGAAGAAACTCTTTTCTTAGATAAAATGTAATTTCTTGATTATTGCCAGAAGGTTTAATGATTTAAAACATTAGCAAGAGATCCCAGAAGGATCTTGGCACCCACAATTATTTGATCTTCATTTGATCTATAAAAGTTGGATCTTTTCCTTTTTTTTCTTTTCTTTCCTTCTATTTGCTGTTTATTACAAAATTTGCCAATTCCTCTCAGGGACTAGCAATTATTGATCTTTGTTTTTCTGACAGTTTAAAATTCAAAAGAGCACAACAAGGGACCAAGAAAAACCTACATATGAAATTTTAGGAAGATCTATTCAGTAGTTCACAAGAAAAAGTGATAACCAACTTTCATTGTCAAAATCCAAGATGGCTGCCTGTTGGCCATTTTGTTTTTCCTAGCATACTCAAAACTATAAGTGCACAACTTTGGATAAAGGGAAATCTATGGATGAAATCTATCTAGTACTCCAAAGAACCAAGAAATACTTATACAGATGTAACAATATTTCATTGTCAAAATCCTAGATGGTCACCTGCCATTGTCAAAATCCAAGATGGCAGCCTATCCGCCATGTTGTTTTACTGACCAGTCCAAAATGGGACAATACACAATTGCAATCAAGAGGAACCTACATGGGAAATTTAAAAAAGATCCAACCTGTACTTCTGAAGAAAAAGTAATGACAAGGATTGCTTAAGAACTGACAGATGGATCACAGGCCACTGACACAGTGTGATTGGAAGATCCATCCTATGGATGCTGTTGGGGTCAAGAATGCTCTCCATGGGATATCTAATGAAGTGGATTTTTTCAAATGATGTTTAACTAATACCAAAGTCATTTAATTTCAGTTACAGACAAAAAAAACCAAAATTTCAAAATCCCAATGATTCAATTATCAAACATATATACAATTAAATTTGTCTCGCACCACCTGGATTGACACTCTTATAATGGAAAAATAGATTATCGCAAATTATCAGATATTTGCAAACATATACCAGAGAAAGGTATCTACTGATTAAAACTCATCAAACAATTACTTTTGGCTCACAAGGGAAATCTAAAGGAGCTAGTAACAGGCAAAGCATGTTTAAATATATATATGTTTGATGTATGCAGGCAATCCCACTTTAAATCCAAGGCCCCCCTGGAGGGAACGAAACACACTCTTACCATCTGTGGTGTTGGGTTTATTCGGCAGCTGGATGGTAAATATCAAGAAATCCTCGTCTTTATCCTCAAGGTTGGGGCTGTGGAAGAATTCTGTAGAATAGAGTCGGCTTGTACTGGCTGGAGCATACAGAAGCGGGCTTGGCTTGGTACCATCTATTGAAAAACCAAATACATGACGTGAACAAAGTAGATGGTGAGATCCAAACAGAGATAGAACATAACAGGACATATAAAGGGAACTCCAGTTACTCATTTGTTATTTTCACTTTTTCTGCAAAAACCACCCTGTATTTTCTCTATATTTTCTGTGTTAAGTCATTTCTGTGATGATTTTCCAGCTAATATCATTTTTCTAACAATACTAAAATCCTTTTAATTATCCTTGTAGAATAATATCTTATTATTATCATTTTTCTGTTAATTCTGATAACACCTTTTTTCTCTAAAATATCTGTCAGACAGCAAAAAAATTCTTTGTAATTGTCTTTTAGTAGTATTGTTATTTTTTTATGACGCTTTTTCAATCAATCAGCAGAGCAAACCAATGTCTGTTACTATAATTTCTTTCCAAATTGGTTAATATCATTATTCAGACAATTTTCTTCTTTATCTTTGTAAAACAATGTCTGTCACTTTCACTTTCCTGTTAATATCATTTTTTTCTGGCAATATTGTTTTTTCCTATTTTACAACATGTAAGTTAAGGCTTGTAACAGTAATTTTCCTCTTAACATCATTTATTCTGACAACACTTTTGTTTCCTTTATTATAACATGTCATCAATAAATGTCTGTTATTATCACTTTTCTTTTAATATCATACATTGTTGTTTCCTTTACTATAACATGTAAATCAATGTCACTTTCCTCTTAATATACATTTTCCTGAGAAAATTTCATTTAGCTTCCTACGGTATTATCTATGTTAAGAAAAGTCTGTTATTGTCACATTTAACAATTACCATACATTATAACCTGTATGGACGATAAAGTTCCACTGTAGGATGTTAAGAAAAGTCTGTTATTGTCACATTTACCACTTACCATACATTATAACCTGTATTGATGATAAAGTTCCACTGTAGGATGTTACACTTGCTGTCCGACATTTTTTCAGCTCCAGTCCTGATAAAGACACCTCCAGAACAGGATTTCCGGTACTGCCTGGTTTGTCTACAGTAAACAATAACATCCTATATTCAGCGGGTTTTTTTCAGAAATACCTTCATTTTGCCTTAGAGGAAATGTAGCTGAATTGTGATAAAACAATGGTACATACCATAGCAGTAACAGGACAATTGATGAATCAGTCAGATAGTGAGACAACTGGTTAAAACGAAAGGTAAACTGCAGACTGGAGAGTGGGACAACTGGTTTAAATTTGTGGTGGCTAGGCAGTGGGACAACTGGTTTATATTTGTGGTGGCTGGACAGTGGCACAATTGATTTATATTTGTGGAGACTGGACAGTGGGACAACTAGTTTAAATTTGTGGTGGCTGGACAGTGGCACAACTAGTTTATATTTGTGGAGACTGGACAGTGGCACAACTGGTTTATATTTGTGGTGGCTGGACAGTGGCACAACTAGTTTATATTTGTGGTGGCTGGACAGTGGCACAACTAGTTTATATTTGTGGTGGCTGGACAGTGGGACAATTGGTTTATATTTGTGGTAGCTGGGCAGTGGCACAACTAGTTTATATTTGTGGTGGCTGGACAGCGGGACAATTGGTTTATATTTGTGGTGGCTGGGCAGTGGCACAACTAGTTTATATTTGTGGAGACTGGACAGTGGGACAATTGGTTTATATTTGTGGTGGCTGGGCAGTGGCACAAATACTTTATATTTGTGTTGGCTGGACAATGGGACAACTGGTTTATATTTGTGGTGGCTGGACAGTGGCACAACTAGTTTATATTTGTGGTGGCTGGACAGTGGCACAATTGATTTATATTTGTGGAGACTGGACAGTGGCACAACTGCTTATATTTGTGGTGGCTGGACAGTGGCACAACTAGTTTATATTTGTGGTGGCTGGACAGTGGCACAATTAGTTTATATTTGTGGTGGCTGGACAGTGGCACAACTAGTTTATATTTGTGGTGGCGGGACAGTGGCACAACTAGTTTATATTTGTGGTGGCTGGACAGTGGGACAACTAGTTTATATTTGTGGTGGCTGGACAGTGGCACAACTAGTTTATATTTGTGGTGGCTGGACAGTGGCACAACTAGTTTATATTTGTGGTGGCTGGACAGTGGCACAACTAGTTTATATTTGTGGTGGCTGGACAGTGGCACAACTAGTTTATATTTGTGGTGGCTGGACAGTGGCACAATTGATTTATATTTGTGGAGACTAGACAGTGGGACAACTGCTTATATTTGTGGTGGCTGGACAGTGGCACAATTGGTTTATATTTGTGGTGGCTGGACAGTGGGACATTTGGTTTATTTTTGGTGGCTGGACAGTGGCATAATTGATTTATATTTGTGGAGACTGGACAGTGGGACAATTGGTTTATATTTGTGGAGACTGAACAGTGGCACAACTAGTTTATATTTGTGGTGGCTGGACAGTGGCACAACTAGTTTATATTTGCAGTGGCTGGACAGTGGCACAATTGATTTATATTTGTGGAGACTGGACAGTGGCACAATTGATTTATATTTGTGGAGACTGGACAGTGGGACAACTGGATTAAATTAGTGTTGGCTGGACAGTGGGACAATTGGTTTATATTTGTGGTGGCTGGACAGTGGCACAACTAGTTTATATTTGTGGTGGCTGGACAGTGGGACAATTGGTTTATATTTGTGGTGGCTGGACAGTGGCACAACTAGTTTATATTTGTGGTGGCTGGACAGTGGGACAATTGGTTTATATTTGTGGTGGCTGGACAGTGGGACAATTGGTTTATATTTGTGGTGGCTGGACAGTGGGACAACTAGTTTATATTTGTGGTGGCTGGACAGTGGCACAATTAGTTTATATTTGTGGTGGCTGGACAGTGGGACAACTAGTTTATATTTGTGGTGGCTGGACAGTGGGACAACTAGTTTATATTTGTGGTGGCTGGACAGTGGCACAACTAGTTTATATTTGTGGTGGCTGGACAGTGGCACAACTAGTTTATATTTGTGGTGGCTGGACAGTGGCACAACTAGTTTATATTTGTGGTGGCTGGACAGTGGCACAACTAGTTTATATTTGTGGTGGCTGGACAGTGGGACATTTGGTTTATTTTTGGTGGCTGGACAGTGGCATAATTGATTTATATTTGTGGAGACTGGACAGTGGGACAATTGGTTTATATTTGTGGAGACTGAACAATGGCACAACTAGTTTATATTTGTGATGGCTGGACAGTGGCACAACTAGTTTATATTTGCAGTGGCTGGACAGTGGCACAATTGATTTATATTTGTGGAGACTGGACAGTGGCACAATTGATTTATATTTGTGGAGACTGGACAGTGGGACAACTGGATTAAATTAGTGTTGGCTGGACAGTGGGACAATTGGTTTATATTTGTGGTGGCTGGACAGTGGCACAACTAGTTTATATTTGTGGTGGCTGGACAGTGGGACAATTGGTTTATATTTGTGGTGGCTGGACAGTGGCACAACTAGTTTATATTTGTGGTGGCTGGACAGTGGGACAATTGGTTTATATTTGTGGTGGCTGGACAGTGGGACAATTGGTTTATATTTGTGGTGGCTGGACAGTGGGACAATTGGTTTATATTTGTGGTGGCTGGACAGTGGCACAACTAGTTTATATTTGTGGTGGCTGGACAGTGGGACAATTGGTTTATATTTGTGGTGGCTGGACAGTGGGACAATTGGTTTATATTTGTGGTGGCTGGACAGTGGGACAATTGGTTTATATCTGTGGTGGCTGGACAGTGGGACAATTGGTTTATATTTGTGGTGGCTGGACAGTGGGACAACTAGTTTAAATTAGTCCAACTGTCCAGGCACCACTAACTTAAACCAGTTGTCCTACTGTGAAGCCACCACAAATGGGATGACAAGAATTTCAATAACAGAGAAAATGTTTTGTTAAAAACCATCTGAAACAAAGACGGCTTAATGATTAGCATGAAAACCCTTTACATCAAATGATTTTCTTAATTTCCCTTACATATCTTACAAACATTGAGTACCTGTTTGGAATATATCTTCCATGAGACTATTGTCTAGCAAAACTGACGGTTTTGGAGATTTCTGTTGCCATGACAACCAGATTTGTATCCCTAGCAATAGATTGGCCTTGTTAAAGTTGATGGAGACCTGAGGGAGCTGGTAAAGTTGTTCTCCTTTGATGTGGTGAGCACTTTTCCTGCAATGAAGAATTTACAACTCTCAGTTTTTTTATATAAATTTAAGTGCATTACTTTTGTTACCAAGAACAAAATTTCTCCTATACTTTGTACACAAAATTTCTGCAACACTTTCTGTGCAAATTTTCTACAATTCCTTCAATGCAAAATTTCAAAAGTACTTTAAACACAAAATTTATACAGTAATTTATTCACAAAGTTTCTGCAATATCTTGTACATCAAAAATGTTATATTCAAAATAATAATGACACCTTACAGTAGTTGTCATGATCTTACCAGTACATAGGCAGCAGTAACTTCTTCATGTAGAGAGCTCCACTACAAGGGGGCATAACTGTTACAAGAGGAGACTTTGTGCTTGCTTTGTCTATTTGTACAAGTCCAGCACTCAATCCAAAGAGCTGTATCAACAGAATATGTGTTTATATGTCAATAAGCTGTATTTAGATAGGCATTGATATTCTTGTCTAATGAACACCTACATGTCTGAATCTCCAAGCTTCCACAATATCTGGTTATTATCTCTCAACCCTACATTACAAAGACACAACACTTGACCGCTACAATATGTGAATACAACATTTGACTCCTGCAGGACCTGTGTCATCTCTACCTGTGTAATACTTTGTTTGCCAAATCTAGGTACAGGTATTCATTTTCTATCTGTTGCTTAACTGCATGATGAAAAATATTATTTTTGTGCAATAGGGCATCCTTTGTTGTACATTGTCGATGTCAGAAGCTAATTTTTTCCAATATTTCAGAATTAGAAATGAGAGAGAAATACTCTTCCATATGTCCGGGTGAAGGATGGAATATTTCCCTCGGGATGTTACAAGATGTGGCAAAACCCTCAGCAAGCATCGGGTTTTACAACATTTTGTGACACCTTGGGTGAAATATCCATACTCTACAACCCGACACATGAAGATTCTTATAGACCCCTACGGTACCTGAATATAACCTTTGACATCTACAGTACCTGGAAACAAGCATTAACTCTTACCTTCAAATGTGTGTGTGAGTAACAGTGATGGAGAAGATTAGGTGATGGACCGACCGTTTTGCTGACTAGCCTCACAAGTTTCCTGGGATACATAGCATAACTAATCTGGTAGTCTAGCCTATTACAGGATATGGCAATACAAGGCAGATTGGTCATGGACTGTTTGGATGGATCTTCCTTGTTCTAAAATACAAATTTCATTGATCTACAATATTTGACATCACCTCCCATCCCCCACACTGCCCATCTCTTCCTTGTGACATCAACTCTCATTCCTCACACCCTACATAGTGACATTTACTCCTACCTCTCTCTCAACATCCCTACCAAGTGACATTACCTCTCATCCCCCTCACTCCCCACCCCTGCCTTGTGGCATCACCTCGAATCCCCCTCATTCACCACCCCTACCTTGTAACAGTAACTCCCATCCCATTCACTCCCCAACCATACCTTATTACAATAACTCCCATCCCCCTCATTCACAACCTCTACCATGTAACATCACCTCCCATCCCCCTCACTCACCACCTCTACCATGTAACATCACCTCCCATCCCCCTCACTCCCCACCTCTACCATGTAACATCACCTCCCATCCCCCTCACTCACCACCTCTACCATGTAACATAACCTCCCATCCCCATCACTCACCAACCCATCTTGTAACATCATCTCTCCTATTCCTCTCTCCCTTTAAAAAGCAAGGCAAATCACCTGACGCAGACTGTGTGAGGTATGGTAGTTTTTCTTCTTGACATCACAGCTCGGATGTTCTGCGTAGAAAATGGTTGCTGAAGGTTTGATTAGAGTCAGATGCTTAGTACTTGTAGGTATGAAAGACTCCAGTGATCTCACTTGCTCTGGTGTCGGGGGCGGAAAGCTCTCGTCAACAACCTCTGTTAAAATAACAAGCTTTATTTCATCTTCACCATCACACACAGTTTTAACAAACCTATTCTCTCTAAGAAAATTGAAAAAATTTTCCTAATTTTGTAAAACTGCACCAGAGTCATATATAAATCATTACAAATCCTAAATCAGGCCTCGTACTGATTTTTCCTTTCAGGTTTGCCATAACAAGTACTGGAGTTTAAAATCAAAGCAGTTTTTAAAAAAATCATGATATCCTCCCTTAAGGCCTCTATTTGATTCATATCACAAATAATTTCATGAAATTTAATATAATTCCCACTCGTAAAACATCAAAATGTAAAGTATCAAGGGACAACGAAAATGGACAATGGCTGGACTCAGGCAGTCATTAGATTGTTTGGTGCAAGTGAAGTAAAAATTTGTCAACTAGAAGCCTAACTGATACCTCCATTAAAGGACAACATTAAGTCTGGGGTAGAAATTCAAGATGGCAACCACCACAGCCATTAGTGTGATTTAGGTATGACCAATAATCAGACATAAGCTGACATCTTGTTTTAATATATCAAAGAGGGCGTAGAGCCAACACCGTACTTTTAGTAAAGTTCAAGTGGGTTCCGTGGTCCCTTACTTGGATACCTCCAGGTATGCAGGGCGATTGAAAAATAGTAGGAACTAAAAGATAATAGACAATCGCAACAAGCTCAGGATACCAAAATGATTATGTTTCGGGCGAAACCTGTAGACGAATGATAATAAATAATCATATCGATATCCTGAGCTTGTTGCGGTTGATCTTCTTGTTTTATTATAGAAACATTTAAATCCGGTTGATAAGGGCTCCGAAATTTCAGACGACCAAGTCATCAGGGAACCCAACTCAAAACAGAGATTATCTGACCCATTACTGACAAATGTTGGTACTAAATCTCTTTACGTTCAGTACCTACAATGGTATACCAAGTTGATCTCTTCTCTATCAATTCTATAACCCTGTATAGAACTGGATCCCTCATCCCCTCAATCACCACCAACCCCATCCCAAATGATGTAAGGATATTTATAAATTTTTTTTACTGATAAACAGACGTCAGGCACAGCTGTCATATTAGATGATTAGATAGTTTGATAGATTGTCCATGGTCCAAGTTAGTCATGAGGATGGAACGGCTGTATTTACCTGGCTTGACCTTAGCATAAGGGTCATATGTGTGGTCTTTTGAACAGCTGATAAACTTCTGGATTCTATGAACAGCTGATGATGATACATTCAGATGAACCAGTCCAACGATGTAACGAATCAGAGAGTTTTCCTTGAGAAACACTTCATCCTCCATATCAGATGTCACAGAGGACTTACTGCTTTCTACAAATTAAGTGTGACTGGTTTAATTCACAAATAAAAAAAGAAAATATTGTGATATTTCAAATCATCAATTCTAACTGAACATCAATACCACCTAAACTCTCCACTGATATCATTAAAAATCTCCCTCAATAAACACGAAGTGAGCTGAGGCTCACAAAGACATACCACCATCCCCTCATATTTTTCCTTTCAATGTAAATTATTGAGGGGAAAATGCACTAACTTAAAGGGGTTCTAGAAATACCCTGTGCACAAGCTTTTTATTTCAATATGGTTAAGGGTGACCTTTGACCTTTCTTCTAAGTGTAGACCTTTGTTCTATAATGCTATGGTTATGAACTAAATCTGTTCATGATTTCCCGAGATATCTTGTACCTTCCTGAGATATTCTGAACCTTCCTGAGATATCTTGTACCTTCACAAAATATCTTGTACCTTAATGAAATATCTTGTAACTTCCTGAGATATCTTGTACTTCAGTTTATCACAAATGCATGCATGCAAGCAACACCCCGTCAACCTAACCTCAATCCCTGATTGCTATATGAACTCCTTACCTATGGTGGGGGTATAACCATAATCTAGTGAGTGTCATTACCTTGCTTGGTCTGGGTGCTAGAATCAGGCATAGTGTAGAGATAGTCAACAAAGAAAACACCAAATCTCTCTGTAGCATATTGCTCGGAATTGATCTGAAGGTGTTCGTCAAAGTCAAACACAAACTGGAGTTCTTCATCGTGATTGACTGGACATCCCAGATCAAATAACGACTGGCTGTAGTAGTTTAGGACAGTCTTTGTCTGAAGAGGATTTCCTCCTTGGAGCAGAATCTGACTCTGTACTCAAAACACAAAATATGTACACTCAATAATAGGCATACAAATGAAAAATACCAATCAGGAAAAAATAGCCTTCCTAACAACTGGTCTGAAAGAAAAACAAAAGAAAAAACAACCAAACTGGCCTGTATCATTCTATTGTTCTGCAGTTCATGGTCTTACTGCGCGTAACACACAGAGAGCTGTAATCTAGTGGACTTGTACATACTAATACATCTTACGTTAAGTCTGTGTCTGAACATTCTTTATTTCGAACCTGACATCATGATTCCTTATGTTTATTATTGTCTTCTGTGAAATATTCATACCAACACTTTTTTTTAATTTTTCCCCTGTTTATACAAACCATCAAATCTCCCTCATTGCGAGCCCACAAGATGATTTTTTTCTCATGTTTATTAATATCAATTAATCTCTCTCATCCTGAGCTAATAAAAACCCTTTAATCTCCCTTGTCTTGGGTGGCTAAGATGATTTTTCCTATGTTTTCATAACCCTTGAATCTTCCATGACTAGACTCCAAAAGATGATTTTTTTTCCCTGAGATTATACAACCTGTTGAATCTCCCTCGTCATAGGCCCTAATAAAAATCATTTTGCCTATGTTTACACAAAACATTGTTTCTCCCATGTATCAAGTCCCAAACATGATATTTTTCCTGTTTTTATACAAACCCTTGAATCTCCCTCGTCTTGGGCTCCACATATGCAGTGTCCTTGGCTTAAAAGTTGACAGTTTGAGAATCCAACTTTCACATCAAAGAAAGCTAGGCCTCGGAGAAGAATCTCCATGGCAATGCCCTCCCCTTCAAGAAGGAGAAAAGGACGGAATGCAGTCTTCTTTGGCCCAAACTGGTGCTTGTCTTTCAGGACTTCAGTCAACTGTTCAGAAAAATACACCAAAGCATTGTCAGAGACCTACTATGATTAAATCCGCTGTAACAGTCAAAACTTTTTGAAAGCTTTAATTTTCCAAGATTTACAAATAGCTGAAGAAGAAATTATGTATTTTCTAACTTTTTACAAAAGACTTGAAATGAACTTTGGTTTTCTTAATCAATTTTCTTTCCAAGGATATGCCTACACCCTTTATTAGACGTTGAATATATTGAAGTAACTTCTAAACAATAAACAGACAACTTTACAATCAATATTTTACCTTGAATGTGACAGATGCTTTATGAGCATACATCCCTACAGAGAGAACGGGAGGAGATCTTTTCTTAGGAGTTGATGCAGCTTCTGAAACCTCTTCTTCCTCTGAAGGTAGTATTTGTGGTACATAGGACCACGCCCACGATGCCCACCCCTGTTCATCACCACTTGGATCATTGGAAACCGACATATCTGTTGAAATGTTTTAAAAAATCTCAGCTGAACTAGAATTCACACTGTCTGTGTGGAAGGAAAGATGATTATAAACATATACATCAATATAATGGTTCCAAGACCTCAGATAGAACTACAGGCCTGGTTTTCAGTTTTCATTGAAGTTTAGATCCATTGTAAGTTAAACAAATATAGTTATATCTACAAAATGTAACAAACTCAAAATAGCTTATTAATATTTACATTTTCAAGGTTTTCCTTTGGACCCTAAAATTTATCATTTTTTTGTCAGAATCCAGGGACTCACATCATGAATGACATAGAGTAAAACTTAAGATACTGGTATTTTGGGGGTTCCTTGTCAATTTAAGGAGTTAAAATGAAGGTTTCTGAGTGTCAGGGAAACCATCCATTGTATCTCTTTAGAAATGAGACAGTTTTAGATATTTTAATGAGGTTAAACTGAGAATAAGTTCAAGCTGAGTAATTACCAATTACTGGTTGATGTTGTGAACAACAATCTCAACATTATTGTATCTACTGCATTGACGTTCTCTTTCTTTATTGGGATATTTTCAGAAATCAATAGATTTTATTTTCTCCTTTCTGACACATATTCCATGACTACACAATGTCATTTGCTCTGAAATACTACAGTATATTGACAAGTTACATCTCCTTTTAAATCTTTGACTCAAGATTCATAGAATTTTAGTCACTCATAGCTAATTAAGAAAACTCCTAAGAATAATCCATTGTCAGATATTGTAATCACAATTCTGAGACCCCTGGGTACCCAAATACTTGTGGGTCTTCATAGAAAATCTAGATCTTACAGAAAAAAATCAGGAAAATTTTCAAGATGAGTGGCAGTCAAGAAAATGACAGTTATAATCATATGTGTTATTATCTTATAATTTTGCCATTTGTTTAAAATACAAAATTATTATCTCTTAAAATGAGCAATAAAACTTAAAAGTGTGAAACATGAATAAATTACTCTACATGTATACGATAGTGATGTTATTAAGTTGTAGGAATCTTACAGACAATTATATATACCCACCTTCTTCTGAAGGTTCTTCTTGTCCTTGAGTATCAGAATCAGTGATTACACTCGGAGCTGGTTCAGTGTCAGTAGGATACTCCCTTGTACCATAGTACAGCGCCATACACAGTTCAATTAGGCGGAAAAACATTGGCAGCTGTGTGTCAGTCAATGATACATCAAGTTTGTCACAAAATACATCCATCTTTGTAATACTAGGAAGCTTGGATGTGACACTGTCATATTTTGTGTATATTCGTCCTGTCACAGAGCATCGGTAAATGAGTGGGTCTTGATATGTCTCTATCCTGCCACTAGCATCACATTTATCTAGACAAACAGTCAGGTCACAAAACTTGACAGACTTACGCAGTGTAAAATCTGGAGCACACAAATCTGTAAATGCCCTGTTCCACATTTTGTCTACACTGTAGCACTCAGCAGACTTAACATTGAGAGATAAAACAATGTCATCCTCAACAAACTTGATGATGAGGTTGTTGACGATGATACTAACATTGTTAGTAATCTTATTCATCAGACTCTGCAGATACCCTGGAGGCAAAGCTTCATCTCCAGTTCTCTTAGCTTTTATCTGATTGGATGACCTTGACCTTCGCTGATCCTTTGACCTTGACCCTCTGGTCTCTTCGTAAGCTTTATCCCGGAGTTTCAGAATACACTCTATAGTGTTAATTGTGATAACAACTGGTTCCGACCCAAGTTTTGTCCACGGAACATGAATCCGCAGCTCATGGATATACCCGCTTTTAAACATGATTGGTAGTTGAATAGCCCGTTCAATCATGTCAAGTCGAAGGTCAAGGTTATTCAGGACAGCATCCCCTCCCCACAGTGACAGCTGGAAATCTTCTGGGCGTAACTTCACATACTTGTCAACATATCCCATCAATAGTGGGGTGATGTAAGACTCAATCTTAAACATGGCTGCTGTCTGTTGTAGCACCTTGTCAAAACAATCCTGAACCCATCAATGTTTAAGTGATCATTATCTACAAAATAAAAAATAAGACAACTCAGATGGATATCAGAGTCAATCATCATATCAAACTAAAAATAATAACAACATACTTTGTAGTTAGTGTTGCAAAACCGTACAAAAATACACAGATTACATCCAATCAGCCTTTGAAATGATAGATTAAGCGTTCTTGTCGAAATCTTACATGGGCCAAGGATCACAATTTTACACGCCCTACTTAGGTTAGTTATGTATAAGACTGATCCTACGAACTGATCAAATAGTAAACGAGTTTATAATTAAAATTAAATTCGCCGGAAAACCATATGATACAATATTCTACGCTTCACCAAATCAGTTTAAGTATCGACTGTCAAACGCTACATCGTCACCAAATTCTGTGTCGGAAGTCACGGCGTACACAAAGTGACCATAAAGATTCCATACAATGCCATCTTAACGCAAAATGTGTGGATATATAAATTACCATCTTAAAGATGATTTCTTTCCATAGAGCAAACAGTAGGCATTCTTCTGGCGTAGTTTCCTATCTGACATAGAGCTGCCAACTCAACATTCGCCATGTTTTCAAGTGTCTTTCGGATATCGACTTCAACACTAAAAGTTGATGAATATTCTAGATGTATTCCGAAATAAATTTATTTAACGCGAGTTAGTTGTAGAATTTGACGTGATTATATCCGGCGCATTCGACAGTAAATAACGTATGTAATGTCAAAAACACGAAAAAAGTACGGACGTATGGAATGAATAAGGAAACGGAATCGCTAAAAAAAAAAAAGGAAAAAAAGGCAAAATCAACTGATTTTTAAATGATAATACTGCCATTTGACAGACATTAAATAAAAACCGTTTCGGCTGGCAAATTCTATTTTCCTTAATGTGATATTTTTTTATAATTTTGAATGAGGATATTGAGATGTTAATTGTAGTTACGCATATTCTAAGTCCGGACAAAATATAGCAAAATGTTGACTAATGTCTATGAATGTTATTTTTTAACAATGTGCGAGATGAAAACCTAACTCTCATTTTTTATCGTTCAATCTGTACCTTACTTAAAACTGACTTCGTTGATAAGAGTGTTAGACAGTATACATTCTTTCCTCTTTTTATAATCATTTGAAGTATTATTTTTAAAAAAGAAAATACTTCAATATCACCCTTTAAATGAAACATCAACAGGGTTGTCACCTCCACGACCTAAACAATAATGAACTGGAGGTCCCTTTGTATTAAATGTTACATTAGTAAACTATTTCCAGCACAAAAACGCCATGTATGTAGCTCCTCTCCCCTTTGATATGAATGGCTCCGATCATGATAACCAGCACGCCAACATTAAAAAAAAAAAAAACAAATGGAAGGTGTTGTTTAAGGGAACAATGGCGAGTCAATTACATACCAGTTCACATCAGCTCTCATTGTTAACCCAGACTTTTACCTGAGATTTGCCTGTGCTTCACACAAAACACTTCTTCATATTTGATGAATGGTAGTTTTGAAAACATTGAAATGTTATTTAAAGTAAAAGATATTTGAAATTTCAGTATGTTAAAAAGAAATAGTTAAATTTGACGGCTCAACACTAAAATCATATATATGTAAAAAAAAACAAAACAAAACAAAAAAAACAAGAGGTTATTACATTGGATGATTTAGCACGAAACAACACAAAAAAAAATACAAAAAAAAATTTTTGTCTAGAACAATGAGATTCAAGTAATTGAAAACAAAGAGAAAAAACACCTGATAATTTTGTAGGTTACAAACACTTATGCCGGTAATGGTACTGAATGCCAAGCTTTGTAATTGCCAGCAAAAAGGAATGACTCAAATTATTTCATTATTATTCAAAATCAATATTTGGAAGTTAATTACTATCAAGTTTAGAAATACATGTAGTGCACCAAGCTTCATGGTTTATCGTGAACACTGTACAAGGAAGTCCTATCTTAAATTCATAATTCATTTAAAATGATTGACGTCTAATGTATATAAAATTCTCAATTTCGAGAAAATTTCAATTCACAGTTGATAAAACCTATTGCTAAGCCAATATTACATTATCAGTTTTTACAAAAATGGAAGAATGATATTTTTAAATATTTGATGTCAGTTTTACATATAGAATATATAAAGAATGCGTGAAAGTTTGAAAAAAAACTTTAAACTTTGAAATGATAATGCAAGAATCTAACTTTGTATTTAGAACAAGTAACCATGGAAACTGGCAGGTGAAATGATGTAGGATAACAGAAAAAGAAATAATCCTTATTGTGATAAAAACGACAAATATAAAAAAAAAACTAAATGCTAGTCAACAGCTGAACATGAAAAATATCAAATAATATAAGTCCAAATGCAATTCAGAATTTATGAATTTCAGCCATATTATGTATTGATATATATACATCAACATATGATATGACAGAACGTGATATATAAAATGGTGTTATAGGTTTCTCTGTATTCTATGTTACTATGGAGAACAGCATTAATAATTTGTAGTATACATTTTACATATATCCGAGATAAGGACGTTAAGTAATTAAACTATAATGATATAAATTAGCACTGAAAATTATTGATAATCAATCATTTGAAATCCGATAAATTAATCAATCACACGAAATCAATATATATTTTTTGATATTCATATTTTATAGAAAGTTCGTTAACTTTCAAAATAGAAAATGAAAGATACAATACAATATGATAATGTTTCATTATAGTGTCATACAACATAGTTTACAATAAAACACGATCAAATATTGCCAAACATGATGATGTCCAGTCAGATTCGGCTTACGAGACACTGTTAAAAGTCCATGGTTATCAAAATAAAAGACGTATTTTACGTTATACATGTAACAGTTAAAATTACATTTTAAAATAGAACGTCTACGCCTCGGCATGAGATATAAACTGATTTTGATAAAAGATATTGAGTTTCTTCAGTTTGTAAAAAACGAAAAAATGTACTAAAAGCGTAAAGTTCGTTGCATAACGTACAAACTTTTTCAAAAAGTGAAATTCGAATATCGTTTTATATATAGGGCATTCACAAAGAAAATTAGTCTCGTTTTCTTTAATATTTTTACAAAAAGGACAAAGTCTCTGGTTCTCGTGTAAATTTACATATCTGTCAGTCTCTATCATAAGAGGTAGACATCCGAGTCGTAGCTGGGATAAATGGCTTCCGTAATGACGTGAAATGTATGACGTAACGTAGAATTCGGGAACGTTATCAGACTTCAATAGTCTTTAAACTCGAAGCTTATATCCTTGGTTAGGATTATACAAGTCATATCAATTGCTGAATACCGACAGGTAAGTTTACAGGTAAAAATATATAAGAAAATATCAGAAATTCACCCTTATATACATATATCATGTAAACTATACTGATTTTTATGAAAGAGACTATACTTTTAGGGCAATTAAAATCTATTGTTCTTAAACACTCACCAGTTCCTTCTAGCCCACATTTTTACTTGTTAAAGTAGAACGTGGGCTAAGTGGGAATATAGGAGTGGAACGGACACTTCTATCAGGAAAAAGTTATCATCAGTATGAAAACGCATCACCCTGTAGATGAATTAGAAATGTAGGCATTCAGATATTTCAAGTTTTAAGATTTATTACAACTTTAGGCCCACCAGTACATATTATATATACATTACGTTATACAATGTAAAAGAATGAAGACTATTGTTACAAATTTTATATATAATTAGGGATTTCTAAATATCATAAAAACGTTTACCTGAGATACAATTTTCTTTAATATTGAGGACACTCAATAATTCAAATAACTTAAGGTTTTCTGTAATATTATCACTTCATAAAAAAACTCGAAAGGATTGGAATTGTCTTCATATTCGTTAAAAAAAATGAAACCACCCCCACTTCAGAACCAGAGTTACACTGTTTACAATATCTTCGTGTCCTTGGAATATTTCTATATCTTCCTGTCTCTATGGCAAGAGAATGACATGATATACGGATTCTAGTCAAACATATACAGTATTTCATTGGTATATATTTATTAACGTAAAACTGCAATGAAAAGTTTTGTCCACGAGATATTTAAACATAAAACATTTCGGTGAATTTTTCAGTGAAGTCATAATTAATTGCTTTGCCTGATCAAATATTCCAAAGTTTGCTTAATCTCCAATAAAATGAAGTTTGGTCAAGTGGCACTATTAGAATTTATCCATATATCACTAAAAAAAAACCTAAATTATCTAATTCTTCCTTAACAATTGAAAACATTTCTGTTACTCAGATTTAACAGAAAATTATATGATTTGGATACAATACATTTATCAGAAAGTCTAATTTTAAACCAGTGTTTCATCTATCTATATTTTCGCAAAAATTCCAAAGGAAACAGACTCATTTAAGAATAAACCATACTGGTACATGTTGACTTCTTTACTCTTAACATTTTTTTTACAAAAATCCAAATGTTCTTCATCAAGTCCTTGAAACGAACCCCATATTTCGCTTGCATAATAAAGAATACTACCCACTACGGTTTAAACAAGAGCACTTACAAAGTCAAACAAACAAAGCTTAACATCCTTGGACAGCCAGTTGCTTCTAGATACAACTGAATTCGTTATTGTATTTAAGTAAAAATCCTAAATAGGAAAACTGACCAACACAAGAAACCATACAACCCTTATAATACCATTTCTCACTACCAAGTAGCCTTCCACCTTACGGAAAACAATAATTTTAGCTTTATCTAGGTTTACAGCCTCGACTCAAGTTTCTTATAAAGATGTTTTTGTGAATTAAGTTCCTATGACTATCATATGATTTGCAATTAGTAAATTCTGTTAGGACAGCTTTTGGACTCCCATACATGCCTGACACCTGAAGTGAATGGCAAATACGCACCCGTTACCACTGCCACCCAACTATGCACCCTCAGTTGCTAATGCATGCTTCAAACTCCATATTGATTTCATGGACTTAGTAAGGAGGCTGAACAGCAATTCGGTGATTTTGCAAATTTTGTTTTTTAAAATATTAATTTCTTCTGTCACCCGAAAGATTTACCAGGTCGAAAAGAAGATAACCGTCGTTATCTCTCGTTCGACATGAATAACTCTACATATGGATATGGACCTTTCCTGGTCTGCATCAATAGGACCTGAAATTTTGTTTCAGCCCATAGATGGATCTTTCCTGGTCTGAATCACAGAGTGTGAAGCATCCTCAAGTGAACCATTTCACTGGTCTGGCCTCTCCGGGACTCTGTTGGGAAAAGGACTTAATACTCTAACAAAAATCTGTCTTCTCATATACCGACAACAGGGTTTTGTATAAAGTATTATCCAGTGGTAGGGCGATGAATTTCGTTTGATCTATGGGTATTGTTTAAGATTGGCGGTGGGGCCCAATAGCGGGGTTGTATCCAGAAGAGGAGGGATGGGGTCCAATAGGGGAGTAGGTGTCCTGAAGTGGAGGGGTGGGGTCCAATAGGGGGGATAACAACAATAGGTAGAATAGAAAAAATAAAATGTTTCAAATCTCTTGTCTCTTGTATTTTCAGTACTGATAAATGTTTAATTTTAAAGTTTGGAACATGCAACCGGAGACAAAGAACCATTTTACATCCTGAAATGTACAAGGAATAAACACAATATAGTTACAATGAATCTGTTAAAACCAGTCGAGGTATAAAGGCCCTTCCAATCTCTTATCTGTATTGCTGCTGAGCTCAATTCAAACTTTTTACAGAAACAGGATTGTTTTATTGCAACACTGTTTAAAAAGTGTCACGGCATTCTGAAGCATTATGAATACTTTCTGTACCCAGACTAAGTCCATGTGTCTGTCACCTGTAAGTCGCAAGAGGGATAGATCCCACAGAATACATAACATGGTAGCACTCTTTTAGAATAAAACACATTAAAAAAATCATGGCCAAATCCTTTCGCATAATGAAAAGAAAGAAAAAACAATTAGTAAACCATTTTTATTAATCAATAAAACTGAATATACATCTAAATACATAGAAAATCTTATGACTTAATAAAAAATTCATTTTTTATCACAGATTGAAAGAAATCACAGTCTCACATGCAATTTGCACCCCTAACAGCTAATGGTGAGATCTCAGACTGAACACAATACATTGCTACTGTACTAGTATATTTCTAGTATAGATATACATGTACCTTGCTATGGATTTTCATCCTGCTTGTAAGAAGTGTTTCTATTGGCTCATTTGTATTGCTTCTTGTTACAATAGTTTTGATTGGCTAGGGGAACTATATATTGCATTTGCCCTGCAATAAGCCAAGAGGTGCCCTAGGCTCCGTTATAACCGGAACAAGGACATTAAGCTCCAAAAAAGAAAGAAAAGATAATCCAAGAGGGCAGAACATTGCTTCTTCCTCAGAGGCAGCGGGTAGGCATATTATAGGACAATGAAATAGGATTGGTTTACGATTTTAATTCTACAGAGCAGCAATATATTATTACAAGACATGCATGTTGCTGTACGAATACAGTAATAATTTCTGGAAGGAATTCTCTTTTCTCTTTTATTTGATTAATAAGGAAATTGTGTTTGAAATCCTTTCAGAACAAAAATACTGTTCAACCTCTAGACTCAAAAATTAACTTATACAAAATTGATGGAAGTAAATCTAAAAATTTCACCTCAAATAGCACTACCAGTATTCTTGAATGTACAGTCAAGCTTTGATGCTAAGAGGCAAAAATAAACAGGATAAAATGCTTCTGAATATATTTGTATTGTTCAAATAATTTTGCCTAACAGAAAAGATGCCTTTCACTAACTCAAAATCAACATGAAGGATAAAAATGTGCAAAACCATTTGAGGATCAAAAAGTAAAAGGTTATATCATAGACAAGAAAGATAGTCATAACACAAAATAAATCAACCTATATTGCAAAATATATTGTATTGCAAGCCAATCACCATTTCTCCTTTAAACTCAAATTAACACCTGAAAATAATAAATCTGATAGCACAACATTACTGAGATTTTCATACATTACTAGAAATTACGAATCATATTCAAATTCAAAACCATTGATCAAAAATAGTTATATCAAGACAAGAAAGATAGCATAACACAAGCATATTGCAAAATGGGTAGTTGAATCACTGAGATATCTTACATATGTTAATTTCAATTTCCATTGTGAATCTATCTAACAACAAGAGATCCCAGAGGGATCTTGGCGCCCACCATTTGAGGATCTGTTTTCAGTTCTTGATGATTTGTTTATTTTTTTTGTGTGTTACAGGTGTTGTAAATGTTCATGAATGTACTCAATGATGGCACAAGATATTTTTATTAAGCACCTATTAGCAAATATCATTTGAAAAAGATCCCAAAGTATTATTAGATAGCAGTCAGTTACAGGTGGATAATGGACAATATGCTTGTGCTGTATTACTGTCGACATCCAAGATGGCTGCCTGTGGGCCACCTTGATTTCAAATCAGTCCAAAAAAGGTACAATGCACAACTAGGGACCAAGGGAAACCAATATCTATGAAATATCAGAAGGATCCATCCAGTACTTCCTCAGATATAGCAGTAACAAGATTTTACTCTCAAAATCCAAGATGGCTGCCTGTCAGCCATCTTGATTTCGAATCAGTCCAAAAAGGTATAATGCACAACTTGGAACCAAAGGGAACCTGCATATGAAATTTGAGAAAGATCCATCAAGTACTTTCCAAGAAATAGCGGTAACAAAGTTTTACATCCAAAATCCAAGATGGCCACCTGTCGGCCATCTTGAATTCGAATCAGTCCAAAAAAGGTACAATGCACAACTAGGGACTAAGGGGAAACTGCATATGAAATTTGAGGAAGATCCATCCAGTACTTTCCAAGAAATAGCGGTAACAAAGTTTTACATCCAAAATCCAAGATGGCCACCTGTCGGCCATCTTGAATTCGAATCAGTTCAAAAAAGGTACAATGCACAACTAGGGACCAAGGGGAAACTGCATATGAAATTTGAGGAAGATCCATCCAGTACTTTCCAAGAAATAGCGGTAACAAACTTTTACTTCCAAAATCCAAGATGGCCACCTGTCGGCCATCTTGAATTCGAATCAGTCCAAAAAAGGTACAATGCACAACTAGGGACCAAGGGGAAACTGCATATGAAATTTGAGAAAGATCCATCCAGTACTTTCCAAGAAATAGCGGTAACAAACTTTTACTTCCAAAATCCAAGATGGCCACCTGTCGGCCATCTTGAATTCGAATCAGTTCAAAAAAGGTACAATGCACAACTAGGGACTAAGGGGAAACTGCATATGAAATTTGAGAAAGATCCATCCAGTACTTTCCAAGAAATAGCAGTAACAAACTTTTACTTCCAAAATCCATGATGGCCACCTGTCGGCCATCTTGAATTCGAATCAGTCCAAAAAAGGTACAATGCACAACTAGGGACCAAGGGGAAACTGCATATGAAATTTGAGAAAGATCCATCTAGTACTTTTTCAGAAATAGCGGTAACAAACTTTTACTTCCAAAATCCAAGATGGCCACCTGTCGGCCATCTTGAATGCGAATCAGTTCAAAAAAGGTACAATGCACAACTAGGGACCAAGGGGAACCTGCATATGAAATTTGAGAAAGATCCATACAGTGCTTTTCCAGAAATAGCGGTAACAAGAATTGTTTACGGACGGACGGACCGCGGACCACGGACGCAGGGCGATTTGAATAACCCACCATCTATTTGGTGGGCTAAAAAACAAAAAAATAACAAATATAAATTAAACTTGCAATATTAAAAAATATATATGATTGTGTCTTTCTTTATGTGGGGGATAATGTTACAAAAACATGTTTTAAAATCTGTACTTTGTGTTGTGGTTGAAGTCACAACAAAAACAGTATAATGCATTGAATTTTTAAAAATAAAAGTCTTGATTGGCAAGAATCATGAACACAGCAGACAAAAATCAACCGCTTCATTTCCACTTGACGTGGTAGTGATGTGTCATCATTTTTTTTTTTATTTAAGTAACCTTATGATTATGTTGGAGTTATCTCCCCTGTTCCCCACATCAAGTGTGATTATTTCATCTTGCCAGTAAAATACTGGGCAGTTCCTACCATATTAACAAGAACATAGCACAATCTGTCACATAGCAGTCAACAAACCAGCTCTGATTCTACCTCGGTAGTCAGAGACATTATATATAAATGACATATACAATATATATAATAAGTTGACACCATCATAGCTCCTAGAACTAGGTTTCAGATATATAACATCATAACCTAGTTCAAACATATCATAAGTAGAGAAGTCATTGGTTGATATAGCGGTTCTTTTTGCAATTAAATTACATTTCAATTAAAATTTTAATACATCCAAGCATGAACATATAAAAACAAGGACAAAAACAAAAATACGGACACATAAAAATATGGAAAATTAAAACATGGACTTCTGGAAATATGGACAGACAAACATATGGAAGCAAAAACATAGACACAAAGAAATAAGGACAAATTAAAACATGGACATCTGAAAATATGGACAGACAAACATATGGAAATGAAAACATAGACACAAAGAAATAAGGACAAATTAAAACATGGACAGCTGAAAATATGGACAGACAAACATATGGAAATGAAAACATAGACACAAAGAAATAAGGACAAATTAAAACATGGACATCTGAAAATATGGACAGACAAACATATGGAAATGAAAACATAGACACAAAGAAATAAGGACAAATTAAAACATGGACATCTGAAAATATGGACAGACAAACATATGGAAATGAAAACATAGACACAAAGAAATAAGGACAAATTAAAACATGGACATATGAAAAAAAAACAGGGACACACAAACATGGAGTGATGAAATATGAACACAAAAACAGTGAAAAATGAAAATATGTACACATACAAACCTGGACCAAGAAAAGTACACGATGTATCAACAAGCTTGTTAAACCCAGACAAATAAAAATCTGTATTAATAAAAGAATAGACTTAATATATACACAAAATCATAGACATGGACAAATGGACACGCATCACTACAACAACAACATCCATGGTCACAGTTTGAAAACACACAATAACGTCAAGACTTTCAGTGTTTGAGGTGCTCAAACAAGGAGTCAGCTAGGTTCTGGTCCACAGAAAGTTCTTTCCTTATGAGGTTTTGACTGTCTGTTATTTATGATTTGTTCTCTTGGCGTTAAACTCTGGCTAAAGGCACATGTATCTTTCACTTGACGCAGTATCGTAGTATCACAGTTTGGATATTTTCAAAAGTTCAGCAGAACTAAAGTTGTCACCTCTCATCGGCTTCACATATTTCTCGTAAGTATCCAGAACCTGTAATTATAAAACAACAGTGACTAGAGAAATACCTTAACGTCACACTGTATACCCCTACCTTACTTTAGGAGATTACACATCCAGCTAATTTCCTTACAGATACATTATGGAAATGAAACTTGAAACCAAGAGAGGTTAGAAAAACCTACACTGTATGAAATTGCCCTTCCAAAGTGTTATGAAATCAAATGGCAGGATGAGTGTTTGATGTGTTTATCACCCTATGAACAACTACGGCGATTTTGAAATGGGGTCTCCTGTGGTAGCTGGTTGTTATCTCACTAAAGTGCATAAGAGGACCCATAGTATGATGTACAGAGTAATAAGGATTAAGTGTCTTGCCAGTGAACAATTCCAAGTCAGCACAGACTGGTCTATTTCGCAGCTTCCTGAGAAACACAACACCCTCCCCGACTTTCCCCCCAGCTAGAAAAAATTATGTTTCAACTAAGTGCAATAGAATACTAGACTTTGTCTGCAGCAAAAAGACAATCCTGCGAATCACAGTATCCCACTAACACACCGCCTCTCCAAGGTGAACTGATAGCCCACATAAGTTCTAGTGACAAACAGTGAAGAAGAGAGAGAGAGAGCATAGACAATTGTTTTTTTTATATGTGAAAGGTCAAAATGTGATCTTGACCTTTGACCTATAATTGCATTAGATTTCTTTTTAAAATCATTTGAGTGCCATAGTTTTTTAAGATTCTTGCAGACAAAACAGGTTTTTACCTGCTGTATTTAGCTTCAGTGACTTTGACCTTTGACCTGCATACTTAAATGGAACTTAAGAGTTTGAAGTTTGGAACAATTGTCTGATATTTCATCAAACCAGATGAAGACTCTTATTTCCACTATGTTGCAGACAAGGCGTACACAGAAAATGTTCATTCTTTCTATGTGAAAATAAAATTGGGATATATACTTTTTTTTTAAAGTCAAGTATGTAAATAAAATGTAACTTTAAACCTGGTCAATATTAACACTGAGTTGTTAACATCTCTCAACACTGTGGAATCCTGGCCCTGTAGAACTTAAGTGACATCATATGTGGGGAGTGAATATCTTAAATGATGATGTGTTTCAACCTTAAATCTTATATCTTCAACATACATCTTTCTGATTTAATGGCGATGACTTTGCATACTCGTACAAGGCCTGGTAAACATTGCCATCATAGCGACCGAGGCATGAGTCAAGCACAGCATCAGGATAGTCGAAGGCATCCACCAGAGCGACAGCATTTGGACGTATTTCCTGCATTAGACTCCATAGTTTATCTGTCACAATGTCCACCTGTTTTGTACTGAAGTACCCGTCCTGTCAAAATAAGATTTATCTTAAAATTTAATTGGCCATTGTTAAAAAAGACGGAGTTTTCATGACACACAATTTCAATAGATAAAAACACTTCAGTATTCAGATTATACAGTGTCACTAAGTAAAGACGTAGAAGTTAAAATTATGGCCCATAGCATCATTGAGGAGTCCTAGAAGTATGAAATAGCGGTATAAGGCAGCTTATTTCAGTGTTTGGCTCTACTGTATCTTATTGAAATGTGTATTAAAAGGTGCTGCTCACATGAGTATCTTATAAACAATTTTTGGGAAAAAGTTCCTTTTGAACTCCCCACCCAAAATGACTACCAGTAGGCTATAATAAGTATCTAAAAGGGTTTATTTTAAGGGGTACCAAGAAAAATTGGGACATGGTCTTAAAATCAACCCTTTCAGACACTTGTATTATATTTACCAGGTATAATAACAAATTGGTAGCCACTTTGGGTGGGGGGTTCAAAAGGAACTCTTACCAATTTTTGTAACATTCATTTTCACAGGATAAAAACACTTTGAGGCTTGGTTTGAAATTTTCTATAGCCCCCAAATGCAATGACGGACAGAGTCCAAATTAATATCCCCTGCCAATGCATTTTGCAAGGGATGAAAATAAAAGGTTTTCTCAGTGACAGAATATTTGGTCAACAGCTAAGTAGCTTGATTCCCCCCCATCCCCTCCCACTCCCCCCACCACCAAAATCACAATCACAGCACATTTGAACTTACCTGTATAAATTCTCCCAGGTATTCTACAATTCCATGTACAGCATACAGTTTACAGAGAGAGGTCAGCACTTCTTGCACCTGGTTGTCATAGACACCACTTGTCACCATGTCAACAAATGTCCTGACGACATAGGTATGGCAGTGAGCCTGGAAATTAGAAATAGAAAAAAATGTTTCCAAAACCTATGCAGGATGCCCTCGTTACATGTGACTGTTGGGAAGTAGATTCAGATGTTAGAGAGGATGTTTAAGTCTATCCTAAATGTCCTCATACTAGCTGTGAGGGGAGGAGCAGGTTGGGTTGGGTTGGGTAAGGGTTACTGGTTAAAACCTACCGTAGATGCCTACAAAAGCTATTGTGAAGTGTTAAGGGTTTGGGACGGTTGGTTAAGGGTTACCAGTTAAAAATTATCCTAGATGCTCTTACTAGCTGTTGTGTAATGTATACCGGAGGGGAGGGGTAGGGGAGGGGAGGGGAGGGGAGGGGTAGGGGTTGGTAAGGATTACCAAATAAAACTTTCCCTTGATGCCCTTACTAGCTGTTGTGTAATGTATACGGGAGGGAGGGGAGGGGAGGGGAGGGGAGGGATAGGGGTTGGCAAGGATTACCAAATAAACTTACCCTTGATGCCCATACTAGCTGTTGTGATGTATTGTTCCAAGCTTGTTGCTGACTCTGACCTTCTACCATTACACGTCTGTTCATGTTTTTGGCTGCCACGTGAACCATCCTGTAGTGGAGTCCAACATCAAACAATTAAGATAAATTACCTTGCCTGTCAAAGATTTTCCAACTTTGAGCTCATTTGACTCTCATTATCACAGAAATCTTGGTCTTTATGTCTTATTGTAATTAATTTTTGACACAATTTTTGTGCTTCTTAAATATCAACCAAAGCTGTAACATCATTCCAAAAAATAGCAACTGCAAAGTAAGCAATATTTATTGGGAAAATTGCTACGCTAAAATAAGAGCACCACTCAAATATGTACATCTGCAGTATTTTTGGGAAAATCCTAAAATGCATCAATAACTCTGATAATGAAACAGTGCCTTTGATGATGTTTAGTGCAGACCTTGTGGCTCTGTGTTCATATGCCTGGAGTAAACAGTCGAGCGTGACATCAGCAGTTAAGCATGATTTGGCTGATAAGTCAGTATTGAGGTAAGACACGAAGCCGGGAAGCTTTTCTCCACTCTCCACTTTAGCATAACATTTCATCAGGTACCTTGGGAAAAACATAAAAAGAAATTTTAATCACAATTTTAGAAACGTAAACAAGAGACTACAGATCAAGCTATGAATTATGCTGCAATATCATTAAGTAACAGAAACTAAATAATTTACAACATGCCTAAAGGGCCTGTATTGCTCACTGTGTTTGTTTTGAGTAAAATTGCTTTTCATATTAACTGAAGTAGATAAGCTGTAAAGGTTAACATCTATATAGGGTCCCATCCCTCTGCCACAAAATTGAATATTCTCCTTCCAAGGATGCTTCAAACAAAATCAGGTCAGAATCCCTTCATCTCTACATAACAAGCTGGATTTGAAAGTCCACTGAATTTTTTATGACTTGTAGCCATTTATTGGTAAATGATGAGGGATGGATACCGCACCATGCTAAGCCTAAACACTAAAAAATTATCCAAGACCTTCTGACAATCTGCTATAATAGTATTCAGATATCAAAAACAATGATGGCGTCTACATAAGACAGATGTCTACATAATGTGGCAAGGGTTTTGATCACATGCTAACAAGGAATTCAACCGATAGCAAGTTTTCACCAAATGGCAAATCCGTTAATACATCTTTTCTCAGATTACCATACCGAGCTGTCTGTAGCATCATGACAGTGTTCTCGCCCTCATAAGTACATCCTGGAGTCAGGTCCACGTAGATCTTTGGAAGACCACTGGCATGTGAGTAACCATGACCACCACACGCCATTCGGCACACCTCTATCCCTTTGGTACACTCCCAGGTTGAGAAAGCCTTTAGCCCTGCAGATAAGGCATGAAGCTACAGGAGAAATAGAAAAAAATGTTCATGAAATCTTAACAAGAGGCCCATGGGCCTTAACGGTCATCTGACAAAAAGCAAGCCAAACCTAGAAAGTGGGTTGAGGTCATTCATTTGAACAAACTTGGTAGCCTCTCCTCCAAGCATCTTACAGGCCCAATATCAGCACTCATGGACTTTTGCTTGTTGAGAAGAAGTCGTTTGTATATTTTAACATATTTGACCCCTGTGACCTTGAAAGTGGGTTGAGGTCATTCATTTGAATAAACTTGGTAGCCTTTCCTCCCAGCATGCTACAGACCCAATATCTGCACTCATATACTTTTGCTTATTGAGATGAAGTCCTTTGTATATTTTAACATAGTTGACCCCTGTGACCTTGAAAGTGGGCCAAGGTCATTCATTTGAACAAACTTTGTAGGGCTCCATGCCAGCATGCTATGGGCCAAGTATTAGCCCCCTAGGCCTTCTAGTATTTGAGAAGAAGTTATTTAAAGATTTTGACATATTTGACCCCTGTGACCTTGAAAGTTGTTCAAGGTCATTCATTTAAACAAACTTGATAGCCCTTAATCCCAGCATGCCACAGGCACAATATCAGCAATCTGAGCCTTTTGGTTATTGAGAAGAAGTTGTTTAAAGATTTTAACATATTTGACCCCTGTGACCTTTAAAGTGGGTCAAGGTCATTCATTTGAACAAACTTGGTAGTCCTTCATCCCAGCATGTCACAGGCCCAATATCTACACTCTGAGCCTTTTGGTTAATGAGAAGAAGTTGTTTAAAGATTTTAACATATTTGACCCCTGTGACCTTGAAAGTGGGTTGAGGTCATTCATTTGAATAAACTTGGTAGCCTTTCCTCCCAGCATGCTACAGACCCAATATCGGCACTCATAGACTTTTGCTTATTGAGATGAAGTCCTTTGTATATTTTAACATATTTGACCCCTGTGACCTTGAAAGTGGGCCAAGGTCATTCATTTAAACAAACTTTGTAGGGCTCCATGCCAGCATGCTATGGGCCAAGTATTAGCCCCCTAGGCCTTCTAGTATTTGAGAAGAAGTTATTTAAAGATTTTGACATATTTGACCCCTGCGACCTTGAAAGTTGTTCAAGGTCATTCATTTAAGGTAGCCTTTCCTCCCAGCATGCTACAGACCCAATATCGGCACTCATAGACTTTTGCATTGAGATGAAGTCCTTTGTATATTTTAACATATTTGACCCCTGTGACCTTGAAAGTGGGCCAAGGTCATTCATTTGAACAAACTTTGTAGGGCTCCAGCATGCTATGGGCAGAGGCCTTCAGTATTTGAGAAGAAGTTATTTAAAGATTTTGACGGCAAGGTCTCATAGACTTTTGCTTATTGAGATGAAGTCCTTTGTATATTTTAACATATTTGACCCCTGTGACCTTGAAAGTGGGCCAAGGTCATTCATTTGAACAAACTTTGTAGGGCTCCATGCCAGCATGCTATGGGCCAAGTATTAGCCCCCTAGGCCTTCTAGTATTTGAGAAGAAGTTATTTAAAGATTTTGACATATTTGACCCCTGCGACCTTGAAAGTTGTTCAAGGTCATTCATTTAAATAAACTTGGTAGCCTTTCCTCCCAGCATGCTACAGACCTAATATCGGCACTCATAGACTTTTGCTTATTGAGATGAAGTCCTTTGTATATTTTAACATATTTGACCCCTGTGACCTTGAAAGTGGGCCAAGGTCATTCATTTGAACAAACTTTGTAGGGCTCCATGCCAGCATGATATGGGCCAAGTATTAGCCCCCTAGGCCTTCTAGTATTTGAGAAGAAGTTATTTAAAGATTTTGACATATTTGACCCCTGTGACCTTGAAAGTTGTTCAAGGTCATTCATTTAAACAAACTTGATAGCCCTTCATCCCAGCATGCCACAGGCACAATATCAGCAATCTGAGCCTTTTGGTTATTGAGAAGAAGTTGTTTAAAGATTTTAACATATTTGACCCCTGTGACCTTTAAAGTGGGTCAAGGTCATTCATTTGAACAAACTTGGTAGTCCTTCATCCCAGCATGTCACAGGCCCAATATCTACACTCTGAGCCTTTTGGTTAATGAGAAGAAGTTGTTTAAAGATTTTAACATATTTGACCCCTGTGACCTTGAAAGTGGGTCAAGGTCATTCATTTGAACAAACTTGGTAGTCCTTCATCCCAGCATGTCACAGGCCCAATATCTACACTCTGAGCCTTTTGGTTAATGAGAAGAAGTTGTTTAAAGATTTTAACATATTTGACCCCTGTGACCTTTAAAGTGGGTCAAGGTCATTCATTTGAACAAACTTGGTAGAGCTCCATGCCAGTATCCTCTGTGCCAAGTATTAGCCCCCTAGACCTTCTAGTATTTGAGAAGAAGTCGTTTGAATGAAAAGTTTACGGACGGCGCACGACGCACGGCGCACGGCGGACGACGGGTCAGATGACCTAAAAATAGAACGCTTTAACCTTAAAAAACAATTATACTCAAGATTCGAATAATGAACTTGAAAAAAATGAAAATTAGAAAGAATTGCAATATTGTCATTGTGTGTTCTAGAATGTGTCAACCTGTTAGTGAGAACCATGTAAAATCATTTGACAGTCAATCTGACCTTAACCAAGGCTTCCATACATGACTTACTTCCCCTTATCCTCAACAAGGTTACTGTTCCTGACTTACCTCTCCTTCCTTACTAAGGTTTCAATGCATGATTTTCTTGTCCCTTTATTATACATGTCAAGTTTCCATGTATGATTTACATTCCCTTCTTTAGCAAGGTTACCATGCACAATAAACCTAATCTTCCCTTGCACAGTTTACACAAATGGCTTACTTGCCCTTCCAGAGTTAAGGATAAAATTTGATTATAACCAACTCGGCCTTGCTCTTTACTGATGAAAAGACAGTGAAATTACTGTTTTGTGAATGCACTTTAACAGCACATGCCTGTCTCGAAAAAATGTATCGATTCAGAGAGACAGGCAAAATACTTTACATTACAGTAACATAGAGGTATCATGGAAATCAGCAAAGTAGGGACATTTCCTAAAGGAACTGTCTCCCCTCGAGTAGCATTATTATTTGCCTTACCTCCCCTATTTGATCGAGGTTCCCTTCCTCTATCTGGCTAGTAACCTGCATATATATCATGTACACATTTTGTCCTGTGAAGTGAAGGGCATAGGCAGTAGCCAAAAGAGGGAATAACTTGTGCTGTTGTGTCTGGTAATCTATTATCTGTGCCTCTGGTCCTCTGAAATCAAGAAATTGTAACATCTCAGAATTTTACCTGAAATCATTGACTGACTGAAAAAAAAAATAACGAAAAACAAACAAAAATCACATGACTAATAGATGAAGGATGCATACTTAATCATATGAAATGTCACCCTGTCAATGAATATTGAAGTCAACTTCAAATAACAATGATGGACACAGTAGGGAGTCATGTTCTGTCAAAGTTGTGATTTAAAGATATCTTTATAACAAAATTATTAGAGTTCATGATAGGGGGAGGTAATTCTTACCCAGGGGAGACCACTGTCTGACATCGGGTGGCACTGAATCTTATGGTGATTGTACATGATAGGGAGGAGATAAGTCTTGCCCAGGAATATCTATCTGATATCAAAATATTTAAAGGAGATGATATATGACAGAAGGGAGATAACCCTTATCCAGGGGAGATCACTTTCTCACATAAGAATATTGAATGATTATCGTATATGAAAGGAGGGAGGTAACTCTAACAGGGGAGATCACTGTCTTGCATCAAAATATTAAACAATTATTGTACATGAAATGAGGGAGATAACCCTTACCAGGGGAGACCACTATTTCACATCAGAATATTGAATGATTATTGTACATGAAAGGAGGGAGATATCCCTTACCAGGGGAGATCACTCTCTCACATCAGAACATTTAATGATGATCGTAAAGGACAAAATTATGATAATCCTTACCCTGGGGAGATCTCTGTTTGGCGTCTGACAGCACTATATCTGAGGGCGATCGTACATGCCTGTGATAACCCCCGCGATGAATCACCAACAATGATGGCACGGATCAAAGTCATGGACCCATATGATAGGCGAGTGTTTGGAGGTTTTACATAAGTTCCATCCTTCAGAACCTAAACAAGAACACATAAAGTACTCCATAACAAACACTGCCTATAATATATAACACTGCAAAAAATTGTTATCAGTCTATTTCAACACTTTTTGTTTGTTTGGGCCTTTATTTTTTATAATACTATGGTAACCAGGTTTGAATTAATTCCACCTAAATTTATAATCCACCACCAAAAGTATTATGATATAACCAACAGTAAACTTAATCAATGATTTATGAACTATCATCTATAAAAAGGACTACTGTACCTTTGAGTATCGCATCAACATATGATCAAGAGGAATCCGTACGTTGCTCAGTCGCAGATAGCCATTGTCGTTTGTGCCATAGCCAAACTTTGGTCCAATATCACCAAGTTCAACTCCTTCAAAATGAAAAGATACAGAAAAAAATTAATAATTATAACATTTTTGGAATGAATGTTGGGGAGCTAATGAGTCTGTATGTACATGGTAATGACTTGTGACTTTGTAAATAGCTGGAAATGACTCATGATTCGGTAAATATGTGGCAATGACTCGTGGTTCAGTAAATACGTGATAATGACCCATGATGTTCGTAAATACCTGGAAATGACCCATGATGTTCGTAAATACCTGGAAATGACCCATGATGTTCGTAAATACCTGGAAATGACCCAAGATGATCATAAATACCTGGAAATGACCCATGATGTTCGTAAATACCTGGAAATGACCCATGATGTTCGTAAATACCTGGAAATGACCCGTGATGTTCGTAAAAACCTGGAAATGACCCATGATGTTCGTAAATACCTGGAAATGACCCATGATGCTCGTAAATACCTGGAAATGACCCAAGATGTTCGTAAATACCTGGAAATGACCCAAGATGTTCGTAAATACCTGGAAATGACCCAAGATGTTCGTAAATACCTGGAAATGACCCAAGATGTTCGTAAATACCTGGAAATGTCCCAAGATGTTCGTAAATACCTGGAAATGACCCATGATGTTCGTAAATACCTGGAAATGACCCATGATGTTCGTAAATACCTGGAAATGACCCGTGATGTTCGTAAATACCTGGAAATGACCCATGATGTTCGTAAATACCTGGAAATGACCCATGATGTTCGTAAATACCTGGAAATGACCCATGATGTTCGTAAATACCTAGAAATGACCCATGATGTTCGTAAATACCTGGAAATGACCCATGATGTCTGTTAATACCTGGTAGTAACCCATGATGTCCCTAAATACCAGGTAGTAACCCATGATGTCTGCAAATACCTGATAATGACCCATGATCTCTGTAAATACCTGGTAAGGACTTGTGAGTCTCAAGGTCCCGTAGCGGTAGTAAAAAGGTATGGATTCCATGACATTGCCCTTTAGTGTAAAGTTGTGCCATAATGATACAGAAGTTGACAGTTTTACCCACTGAAAAGAAATGGAAAAAACACACCAGAAAATTACAAAGATATCAGTCTCATACACAGTATATGCTAAGATCTAGAAAATAAGGATGTTTTTTTTCTTATTTTCATGGGTTATTTTGACATCAAGTTATATTTAAGACTTTAATTTTCAATGTGAGCTAAGCTCAAGACAGATGTGACACATTTTAAATATTTATTTTTTTATTTTGCACCGTCCACTTCACCATTTTTCTAAATGAAGTCAATGATATTCTTCATCCAAAATTTTTTTTTTAAATGTTCAAAAAAGTTCTTTTCATCTAAGGAATCTAATGTGGATTAAAATCATATATCTAACATAGTGTGTATTTATGTTAGTATTAGTAGGTATTTATGGTATTCTTTTACTTATTTTTGTTGTTGTTGTTGGATTTCTACGCTAGGATTAAATTTTGTAATTCCCCCTTAAAGAGTAAACAACATCATATCACTTAATACATTTTCTAAGGATATGATAAATATTGGAAAATTTCCTGGGTACTTGATTTTAGTGATATTAATTCCCTCACATAAATCTACAATTTAGGAGTATTAAAAGGATAACCAATTGTATACTCACAGTTTCCAGGCCAGTACTTCATGGAGGTTAAAGTTGGTGAATGTAAAATGAATTCTTGTGATTTAGGATCATAGGTGGCAGTGGTCTCGAGACCTCGAATGAAGGTACCTGTGTGGGAAATAAGGGGTATACAATTATCTTACATTATGTACCTATACCTACACGCTATCAATCTCAGATATATATAGAAATATTAAAAATAAACAAGCTCACATATACATATATCTTAACATCCCCAACCCTAATCGAAAAACCTCATCCTAATTTATCATTCATATCCTTAATCCATCATCCATACCCCTATTTAACCCCTCCCTATCCCCATTTAACCCCTTCCAAACTCTAATCTAACACCCTCAACCTAATATATCACCCATATCCGTAATCCAACACCCATATCCCTAATTAACCCCTCCCCATCTCCTGCCCTAATCTAACACCCCAACCACTTTTCTATCAACCAAATCCCCTATCTCACACCCCTACTCCTAACCTAAGAGTGCAACAATTAATCTAATACCCACCCCTAATCTAAAACCCTGATCTTATCTTACCTCCCCCCAATACCCGTGATCTAACATCACCATCCCTAATGTAACACCCCCACATCTAATTGAATGACCCCACCCTAACCTAACACCCCATCCCTAATCAGGGCTCTTGATTTGCCAGATTTGGGGCCAAATGCAAAATAGTATCTTTTTTTCCCAATTTAGACCCCAAGTTCTCCCAATTTTAAGGAAAACACCATTATTTTTCCTAATTCGAAGGGCCCCTGTCCCAAAATGGGATGTGAGAGCCCTGCTAATATAACACCCCAACCTTGATTTAACAGCCCCATCTTTAATCTAACCCCCTCACCCTTGATCTAACACCACCACCCTAAATGTAACACCCCCACCTCTAATCTAACACCCCCACCCCTAACCTTATACTCCCACCTATCCCATCAGGTATGTCTGTCTGTAAATTTTGAATTCAGGAAACAACAAGGTGTTTTTCATAGTCTCCAGAAATATGTTACAAGGGAATATGACTGTATCGGATGACGAACTATCATGTTTTCTATACCCACAAAACTGATGTCATAATGATTATGTGCTGGATGGCATTAATGGTCCCATAAATGACACATCTCTCTGGTTAGTTTATAAAGTGTCATTGCCGTGTAAATACTAATAATGTATGGACTACAGTCTGTATATGCTATGTTGACTCTACAGTGATGTCTGCTACTCAAAAATAGTCTGAAATCACAATACATACCATGTCCTAACTCAGTCTGAGCATATGTTCCTATAATTGTCATATTTTCAGCCAATGGTAGGAATTTTTTCTTCTGTTCTTCTGACCCTTGTTTTCTCAAGGTTGGCAGGAACATGCTACTATGGAGACCAATGGGGCTATTCTCGTGACACGCCATAGCTCTGTTGTCAAGAAAAAAACGCAGATGATATCATGATGTATGACATGATACAGCTATATATTCATAAAAAAAAACAATCTGACATCACAACTTGGGATTGACAGCAGCTATATTGTCCTGTTAAAAACATGATTTTAAATTGCTCTCATAGTTCCTAAAATCCATTAAAATTTCCTTTTTCAAACCAAACGAGATCCAAGAAGGATCTCGGCACCCACTATTGTTTGATCTTTTTATGCTCTTTGAAAGTTGGATCTTTTTCCTTCTTTTCTCTTCTCTGTTTTTGCTCTTAATGGTAAGACATTTGAACATTCCTTTGCAGAAATAGCGATGATAATCTTTACCTGCCAAATCCAAAATTGCCGTCTGGAAGGCATTTATTTTCTTCTGATCACTCCCATAATCAAACGGACACACATAGAGACCAAAGGGAACATGTATGACATTTCAGTGTTATCCATTCAGTTCTTCTTAAGAAAAAGCAATAACAATCTTTACTATGTGAAATCCAAGATGGCTGCCTAATGGCCAATTTGTTTTCCTGATAAGTCCCAAACTGAAACAGGCACAACAAGGGACCTAATGTAACCTAAACAAGAAATTTGAGAAAGATCTATACAGAAGTTCTCAAGAAATAGTGATAACAAACTTTGGAAGTCAAAATCCAAGATAGCCCCTTGTGGGCCATTTTGTTTTTTCTTATCATTACCAATATCAAACAGGCACAACTAGAGATCAAAGAAAGCATATACATGAAATTTCAGAAAGATCTATGCTGTAGTTAACAAAAAATAGCAGTAACAAACTTTCAAAGTAAAAATCTAAGATGTCTGTCTGTCAGACATTGTATTTTTCTGAGCAGTCCCAAGATTACATGGACACAACTAGAGACCAGGGGGAACCTACATAAAATTTGAGAGAGATCCATCCCATACTTTTTAAGAAAAAGCGATAACAAACTTCATGAAAAATATCCAAGATGGCTGCCTGCCTGCCATTTTGGGGTTTTTTAATCAGTCCGAAATTCACAGGCACAACTAGGGACCAAGAGGAGCCTACATATGCAATTTGAAAAAGATCCGTCCAAGAAGTACCACTTTCAGAGAATTTGTTCCAAAACGATTTTTAAACATTTTCCAAAGTAAAAGTATTCAACGCCTTTGCCTTGGTTTGATGCAACTATATTTATTTAAAGAATCGAAAATCAAATTGAATTAATAGAAAGCCTTATATAAGTAACAACCTCACTGAACAGCATATCGAAGGCCCATCACACACCATACAAAGCAATAACGGTAAAAGAGTCTTGTCCAAGAGCACAACCAAGTTTGTAATAGTCCAGCCCATTTCTCAACTTCCTATGAATTACAAACCACTCTGTCTTTATGCAGGGCAGGGAACATCAAATCACACACTTGGATCTATAACGGAGTTCATGTGGGCCTACAAGGCCAAAGCTTTAACACCTGAGTAACCACAGCCCCTTCAGTAAGTATCCTATACATACTCTGTATAAAAGAATTGGTCCCAGTCAGTTGTCAGTCCAAGCTCCTTGATTCTTTTGGCAATGTATATGTGTTTCTTCAGTGCCATTTCATACTGCTCTTCTCGTGAACAAAATGCCCAGGGTTTGCATCCCTTGATGAATGGATCATTGATAGCAAGGTCCTCTGAAAGAAAGCAGATCATCATCACCTACATATCATCATTATCAACATCAGCCCAACCAACTGGGACAGCTTTCCACCGGGATGATTTGGAATTTCCTATTGTGATTATTCCATTTCTAGATAATAAAAGACATTTTTCACCTCCCTCCACCTGCCATTGCAGCATAGCCTGTTTATTCAAATCCAATGATTTGTTCACAATGTCACAATTCCCATAAAAGATGTTGACAACTGGCAGACAACACAAGGTATAGAGTGTTCATGAAGATTACTGGGAATCATCTTGATCTCATTTGGAAATACTCTGTTTGTAATATAAAGTTTGCTGTTGTCAATGCCAATTAGTATGTATGTTGGTTTTTTTGTTAAGAAAGAAAGAAAGAAAAAGAAAGAAAGAAAGAAAAAAAGAAAGAAAGAAAGAAAAGAAAAGAAAGAAGGAAGGTTTTCCATCTCAGTGACTCCTCTGGTTGCTGTTTCATCACAACAACTAACAGCAGTGTTCTAGTTATGTTCTAAGAGTTTATAACACATGCAAGTCAATGAAATGGGATGGGAAACGATTGTGTTTATCATCTTTCTTATACACAGGGCATACACTGGCATCCAATCACGAGGGACTTTTCTGGACATGAATGAGTGTTAAAAGAATATTGAATTAGTGCCACAGCTGCTTTTGATTCCTTGAAGATCCTACAATCAGGACAAGTGACGTTATGTGGGTGAATATTTTTACCAATGTCATCTATTGAGATGTGTTACCCATTATAGGGTGAGGGCTGGTCCTTTTGTGTGGGATTGGTGCATCAGTATCTGGTGTAAATGCCTTTTGGATGCCACAGCTGCTTTTGATTCCTAGAAGATTTTACAATCAGGACAAGTGACGTTATGTGGGTGGATATTTTTTCCAATGTCATCTATTGAGATGTGTTACCCATTATAGGATGAGGGCTGGTCCTTTTGTGTGGGATTGGTGTATCAGTATTTGGTGTAAATGCCTTTTGGAATTGACCATTCAGTATGTTTGCTCTTTTTTAATGGTTTGTGATGTAATTGTCCATTTTTATGCAAGGATGGCATGTTAGGGCCTTTCTTGTGATTTTATGTATGTATAAAGATATTTTGGAATTTCCTTGCCTCTTGATTGGTCATCATCTGACTATTATAGGATCATATTTTCTATGTAATACCAGTAGGCATTTCATATATTGGATTTCAATGTCATAAGTATATCACCTTTGACCTGCTTTTTAGTTTTACTGTATCCTTTTATATTGTTAGATTTCCTCAGAAGATTGCCTTTAATCCAAGGAGACCTCTTATGTTGCTTTCAAAGCTTCAGTTGGATGCATTTTTTACATATATCAGGGTTTTCCATAATTTTGTTAGTAGTAGGCTGTGTAGTGAAAGTAGGAGGCTGGCCTGCCGTGTACGTGTAGTCGTGTACGGAACATTATTACGGAACTGGATTGGTGTAGGCGGCCAAATGATCAAAGTAGGCGGTCAAATTGGCGACCGGCTCTTATGGAAAACCCTGTATATATAACTGATTCATAGAGAATTCATTTACTTCCCACTGCGTCATGATCATGCATTGCCTAGAATAACACAATAATCTCAGATTGTATTAGATCCTTGGCGCGTTAGCTTCAGATGCCTTAAGAATAATTTCTTTCTAGCTACACTAAGTCAATGGACTGCTGCCAAACTTATACTTACATATATATCAATATAAATGAATAGAAGTGTGTTCATGCTATCAGATTTTTATATAAAAACTAACCGGGTAAATACCAGCATTGTGCATGTGCATTGGATATGTGACTGTACTTTCATTTCTGATGACATCACTAAATTACAGAGACACTTGAGTTAGTTTACAGTTACCAAAAGGTACCCATGTATTACAAAAATCATTATTTGAACGAGAATGGAATTTTGGTGACAAAAAATTGAAACGAAATAATGGTGTCAGAAAGGTGGATACCTGTGTTGACATGTGAACCTTTTCTAAATGGTCAAATTCAAGTTTTTATTGTTTGGGTTTTTTTTTTTTTTTTTTTCAAATGGGAAATATTTCCTTGTAAACTTCTTTTTTATAACTCAGATTATTTGAATAGAGTTTTTAATATCTCTCTGTCTACAACTCGCTAGTTAACTAAAATAAGATATGAGTCACCAAAAGAGAAATTTTTAAAGCCATTACTTTTCCAATATAAGACATGCACGTTTTGACTTCCGTTACCGAAAAATGCAAGAAAGTGTGGCCTGTAATTTATAATCGAATTTTATTCACTTGACAGATGACGCCAGCATCCAAAGATGGATATATTGGTTATTTCATCATATCTGGGATGGTGTTTGACATGTAAAAAAGTTTAATAAGAAAATATACACAATGAGATATTTACTCATAATGAATTTTATGGTGAATAGTTTTAATTCTTTCTTTATTTCTGGAAGTGTGACATGTTACAACAACCAAAATTATCCGATTGCGAGGCCAAGCAAGTCAGCATTGATGTGTCTCGACAAAATGACCGTTCCGAAATACATAACGGTCCAGAACCGACATCGAGTCGAGAGAATACCTGTACGAAAGGAGGCTTCTGAACCGAAGGTTCGAAGTTCACTAAATGTAATCTGAAAGTTTCGCTCATGTGTCTGACTGTGATGCTAACATACGTACCCAGGTAGCGCTTCCTTTCTGTCATCTCCTTTCCAAGATAAAGGGCATATGTCAATTCCTCAACATCAAATGTTGCCTTAGATCTTTCCTTTGCTAAATCCGGATTCACGTTCCTTTTCCTGGATGCTGCCATTTTGATGTTTTATTGTTTCTAACGCTGGAGAGTTCTAACATAGAACTACGAGGGGTCGTTTCAAAGCAAATAAATATGATAATCTATTAAAACATTGTTTTAATGTAGTTTTTGTGTATTTGACAATCCCTTATATACATAGTATCACATTGACAACATTTCTGAATTATCGTTTATTAGTATAATCGAACAGAACGTGCTTGTAATACTGTGTGGTATCTAATCTAGTCAAGGGAGATGACTCCGTCAGTTGTCAGATCGTTTCGGTAACAGGTCGTCTCGGGACACACGAACAATGTTTTTTGGTACTTAAACCATTGGTACGAAGAAAAAAAAATTAAACTAGTTGTTACCGGAACGTCTCGCGTCTCCCCGTCAAACATGGAATGTACTTCTTCCTATTACACAAATACGATGGGTTTTTTTTATAGTGTGAGAGAACAAGTTCTTTATCGTGGTTACTAATATAGCAGGATCGTGTTGTTTTACATGTCATTTATTCTTGGTAGGACGGAACTTTTCTAGCGTATACTTCCTGTTGATCAAATGAATGACATTGACGTACTTCCAAGGTCATAAGTGTCAAATGAGTTGAAATCTGTGAATTCTTAATAACAAAGAGGACATTTTTTATGTTACTGTGCATGTGACATGGCTGTAAGAAAAGCTTTCTTAATTGTTCGAATAAATGACCTTTACATTATTTCTTCAATGTCAAAGGGTTCTAGCTAGTTTATAATGAATACACTAAAATGCTTGGGGTTATGCCATTAGGCCAGTAGCATGCTAGGATAAAGGGCTACCAACGATTGACCTTGAACATATACCAAGCTCCCAGAGATCAAATATATAAACACTTTGAACAGTTATTACTCAGTAAGCAAGAGACCCAGTGCTATTATATTGGTCCAGTAGATAGCTGAGGTGAAAGACTATCATTGTTTGATCAAGTTAATCAAACATGGACCAACATTCAAGGTAACATGGGTAAATGTGTCAACTTATGTTTCTACTCTTGAGTAACACGTGTTTTGTGTTTCACATGCTTAACATTGACTTACAAAGTAGGGAGATTAAGTTTGAGATGAACATGACAACTCGAAATTCCGAGCAAAGATGAAAATGCATTAATTGTGAAACGTCGTTTTCCGAGTACATAAGCCAAAGTGACATGTTTCAATTAATGGCCATCACCTCCCCCAGCTTCTTTCTCTATTACTGTACAGGATACACCGTGTAGCGCGTAAATTACCTTACCATTTTATTGCATGTATTCGAGTATTTTGAGTATTTTGAGAAAAGGGATTGTGATAACTTGTGAAAGCTTGAGACAAATTATTTTGTAGATATTTTCTATAATCTGTTTTAATCAGAGTCATGAGAGTTAGTTGAAGAGTTTGTTCCAATAATACGTTTTCTTAATTTTAATTATAAACTACAGCACAAGTGCGCGAGACAGGCCAAGTGCGACTCTTTTTCCATAAACGACTGTTACAATAAAAACTGTGATGTATTTGGTTTTATTGAAATTCACCTTTTCACATTATGAATTGAAATATATCATGATGTTAGCACCCGTTTATCCGAATGCGATACCGGCTGGGTCCATGTGAGTGTCGTATAAACGGAAGTCCCGGAATAACGTGTATGTGTCGTTCGTTGACGCCCAGTCCGAGTCACCACCCCCGAAAAACGTTGAGAAGAACATACCGTCAATGTGAATAGAACTATGTTTGCGGAACACCAGAGAAGAAGTGTGATAAACAAGCTTGTGATCGAGCCAGACTTTCAGTACACCGTTATGGCTGCCGACGTCATTCAGCTTCACGTACTGCGTGAGTTTTTGCCATCTAGATAAAAATACGAGAGATAAATGAATATATATTAATTATGGTGGCCTAGTTCGACCATCTCGTTGCCGGTGTTCTTTTGTCGCACTGTGGAATTGTCACGTTAGTGCGTAGATTCTTCCGCACTGCCAAAGTGCCGCTCCCGTCAACAAGGTCGAAATCAGTCAACACAATTCATATACATAATACACATAACATAATATACATGATTACCTGATACCTATATTTCGATGGTTCTCTCTCCATCACACGAGAACTGTAATTATTGTTTGAGTGACGTAGCAGCGCCACCTAACGTCAAGCACTGGCGATCTAAGATGCAGAGTGGACATGGGAAGATCTCGACAAGGTTTGTGAGACAGATGTGATTAGGAATTAAAATATAGCCCTTATATCTATTCGTGTCATAACTCTGTATCTACTTCAAGTCACGCTTGAATTGATGATTTAAATCACGTTCAACAAGCTTTTCTTTAAGTGGATTTCCGCGCATATTACACAGGGTTTGATGCAAAATTTTATCAAATATACCTACCTTTCTTTCTGGAAAACAAAGTCTCCTCTTCCGATGGATTGTCCAGAGTTGGAGTTGCAGATAATGTGGCTATTGGAGCACCACGAGCTGTAGCTGGGATACTGATTGTGCGGGATATAGGCATACACCTCCCCGTCACCATGGCTTCGCCACATGAAACGAGTGGAGAAACAGTGTTCCGTATCTCGATGACCGGAGCATGTCTGTACTCCTCCCCACAATCCAGGTAATTTACCGCCTCGCACCCAATCAAAATTATGTGCAAAGTATACGTCATAACTGAGCGTCAGTTCAGAATGACCTTTCACCCCCGGCGGTTGCGAGTAGAACTGCACACCTCGGTGATCCGTCCCTGAGTAGGAACCGTCAGCATACTTCACTTTCATTACGTTTCTATGGTAGTCAGTTGGATCGTGCGCATGCGTCAGCGAGTCATCCTGACCAAATGTCCCATGGCTAATGACATAGAAGTGGTTTCTTTCGTCTCCAGTGTCAACGCTATGGGGACTCTCCCATAGAAGACGACAACCTAGAGTGACGTCATTGTTAACGAATTAGTCAAAGCAGTTAATGTTTGATGAGTGATAAATCATTTACTTGATACATCATGCGTCTGCTTAATCACGTAGGATAAGACTGCTAAATCACGTGGGATACGTCTGCTAAATCACGTGGGATAAGTTTGCTAAATCATGTGGGATGAGTCTGCTAAATCACGTGGGATAACTTTGCTAAATCACGTGGGATAAGTGTGCTAAATCACATGGGATAAGTTTGCTAAATCACGAGGGATAAGTTTGCTAAATCACGAGGGATATGTTTGCTAAATCACGTGGGATAAGTTTGCTAAATCACGAGGGATACGTTTGCTAAATCACGTGGGATAAGTTTGCTAAATCAAGAGGGATATGTTTGTTAAATTACGTGGGATAAGTTTGCTAAATCACGAGGGATACGTTTGCTAAATCACGTGGAATAAGATTGCTAAATCACGTGGGTGAGTTTGCCAAATCACGTGGGATGAGTCTGCCAAATCACGTTGGATAAGCCTGCTAAATCACGTGGGATAACTTTGCTAAATCACGTGGGAAATGTTTGCTAAATCACGAGGGATATGTTTGCTAAATCACGTGGGATAAGTTTGCTAAATCACGTGGAATAAGATTGCTAAATCACTTGGGTGGGTTTGCTAAATCACGTGGGATGAGTCTGCCAAATCACGTTGGATAAGTCTGCTAAATCACGTGGGAAAACTTTGGTAAATCACGTGGGATATGTTTGCTAAATCACGTGTGATAAGTTTGCTAAATCACATGGGATAAATTTGCTAAATCACGTGATGAGTTTGCTAAATCACATGGGATGAGTTTGCTAAATCACATGGGATGAGTTTGCTAAATCACGTGGGATGAGTCTGATAAAACTAAAATCGTATGGGAAATAAGTTTTGTAATAAATGAAATATCTGCTAATTTATATGTGATGATTTTGCTAGTTCATAAAGGATATATGCTATATCATATGATATTAAGTTGTTAGTTCATATTGGATAAATATAATATCAGTTTCCTAATATTCTATCAGGCAAGTCTGCTAAATCATATGGGATAAGTCTTTGAAATCATGGATATAAGTCTATTTCATTTATGGTTATTCTGCTAGATCTAAAATCATGTGGGATCCAAGGCTGCTAATTCATATAGGACAGAGTGTGCTAGTTCCTATTGAGTACGTATTCTAATAGATGTATATTTGGTCAGCTAATTGATATGTGACAATCTTGTAAGTGATATATAATTATGATAATTAAACTATATATTAAGTTTAATACCTGATATATATTTTACTTACTGATACAATGTATATATACTGACCTTCACAATAGATTGAATAATGTCATATTGATCGGGTCTATATTGCATTGAATCAAATAGTTCCATTATATCGAAATCAAGCGACATTTTAAAAGCTTACTTGCAAAACCGAAACAGACAGCTACAAACACCAAAGACTTCATTGTCTTAAGTCTACTGTATATCTACCAACCTACATAGCTTTATATATACGTGAAGACCGTGGATAAGATAAGACAGAGCGTGTTAGATATCGTGTCAAGGATAAGTTATTCAGTTTTGTGCACGTGTTGGCATTTTCACATAGCATATTGCATATGCAGCTAATAAGGACATACCGCCTCGCGTATGCGCGGATTTCTCGCTTCAGGGGAGCATTTTTTACTATAGATTATACAGTAGCATTCAAAAAATATTAATGTATCGTTTTGTAGATAAATATTCTAAACCATACGCCTCTGACAATGTCATTTAATATTTCATCGTTACGAAAATTTTTTTTTTAATTTTAGATGAAAATGAGTCATTTTTTTAGTTGAAACACGAATCTCCATAGTCATGCCAAATTTTAAACAAAACTATTATTTGACAATTCAAATGTGAAATAAAAGCAATATTAGGAAAAAAATCTCCAAATATATGCTTCTGACTATCAAGTATAGTAACCTTCAAACACAGTGATATAACTTTCACAAACTTAAAATCAAAAATTAGTTGTGTCATTTTTTAGGTGAAAATGACACATAATTTCAGTCCACGGAAATAATTATATTGTTTTACTATCAAAGTACATTTGATATCTTCGAAATAAAGGATTTCACATGTAATTAAGGAAATGAATGATAAAATGTAAATATCTCCACTTAGCGGCAAAGCTATAACCAAAGCAGTGTTCACCGTATGTGAATATCAACAATCACTGGAGTTTATTTTAATGTCTCTGTTAATTTTTTCTTCGTTATGTATCTATTAGCTTATCATTCTATACATTCTATATATATATATACATATATATATTGTAATTTCAAAGGCATATGTACAGTTTACGACTGACATTTGCAACTATTGGTGTGAATATATATTGAACGGTTCCATTGCCGTACCGCTTTATTATATAGTCTGTGTTTCACGTCATCAAAATTACGTGTACGTCATACGGAAACAGTTGCGGTGTACCACTTCATCGTCCCAAAATTGTGGTCTACGTCACCAAAACCGAGCTGTGAACATTGATCTGTAAACTTAGCTTAATTAATGTATATTGTGTAAAACGTTATATAAAATTCAGGCGTGTGCCACATCGTCTTGCAACCTTAGTTCACATCGATCAATCCAGTAGCAATCATTTGAAAGTCTCAAACGAGTCTGATTTTTGAACATGCTACACAGCACACAGAAGTAATACAAATACAAATTTCATTGTCTTTATTTGAATGACACTGTCTTAATGTTTATTTTGATACATCTAAAATTCGATACTTAATTATAAATCATATCTTATAAAAATATTTTCAAAGCAACACAACGAATATATCACAAAAAGTTAACCTAACAAAAAAAATATGAAACATTCAGAAATTCGTGTTGTCGGGTTTTAGGTTCCTCTCCTGTACATTTATAAAATTCGGATAACGTAAAACTCAAAAAACCCGTGAAAATATTTTACGAGATTGAAAAAAATATTGTTCAGATTATACAACTCCGTAGTGATGCACCGTAAAACAATTAATTTTCGTGGTTATATAATTTTCGATGATTTAATGGGTTCTATTTATCCTCGTTTTCAGAAATTGTCGAACACTTTGCAGCTTTCACAACAGGTAAATTTCGCAATTACTAATTATCCACGAATTAAAAACCCGTGAAATTAGAGCCCCACTGAAATGTTTGATTTCACAGTATATCATCACCCTTCGACATTTGTTTTCCGGGTTAGCTATCAAGATTTGAAAAAAGAAAAACAATAAATTAACATGTTAACAGAATTTTTATGTCAACATTTCCGGAACACAAACAACTTGAGTGATATTGACTTGCCATATGATTTTTTTTCCAGATATTCACCATTCCATTGTTATTTTAACTGTAAAGAAACTTTTAATATCGGCTTATTTTGAGAATAGGAAAATATATTCTAAATATATATGTGAACGTTGGCATTCTTTCTTAAACTAAAATATTATGCACAAAGTATTTAGAGGTCTGTGAGATATCCTGTAGTCGGAGGAGGGGATAACTATACCCCGGTAAAAAAAATCCAGATAAGTTGACAGGCATCTGCTTTATAATTAGATAGAGTGGTTCGGACATTTCACTGTAAATATTGACGAATTCAAATCCTATATTTGAATATTACTAAAATGTATTAAAACAGGATAGAAACGAGAATTTGTTTACTCCACACATGTAAATAAACTAACAAAATTAAATGTAATTGTTTTCATCTACCGCGTTCCATAACGAACAACGAGAAAAATAAAATACATCCGTGTAAATTCAGAATTGTTGTAAATATACTGTTTTAAACACGGAAACGCTCTTAATTTCTTCAAATATATCACATGCTGTTGTTGGTTGCTAAATATATAGATAAGATTTCAAATGTATAAATAGATCTATTTTTATAAATATCACATTGTATAGTGTAAACAATAAATTTATGTTCTAAAATAAGTTATAACATAGCAGAAATGGACACATTGGAAATGTATTACATTCATTTGTCAAAAGATTACACATTCAACAATGAAATTTAAAGTGAGCGCGTACATACACCATCCAACATCGTTTCATCGCAAAACTGACATTAACATCGTTAGATATACTTATATTTGCCCTATTATGACGTCACATGATTGTCTAGATAGTGAAAAACATTTTAAGGAAATTAATTTGAATTTTCGTCTACTTTTACTTTAAAAAAATGAGTTATATGATAAGTAGAACCTTAAACTCGTGTCCAGGAAATATGGAATTTATTAACTCGTTAAGTAATTTAATAAAATGTCACTCGCTTAATGGCTCAATATTCTCAGATTAAAAGACTCGATTGATAAATTCCATATTACATCGTAAAGTCATCCGTTATCAAGATGCACTGTCTACAACACCATAGATATCTTCATTGTGTAATACAATGCCGTATAGTTATCGTGTTATATACATTTCCTGTATAATACCATGTTGTTTTTGCCTTCAGTCTGTACCATACGTGCTATTTATACCATATGGCATGCATGTGCGATGTGTACTATAGCATGAAATATTACACAGAACATTAAAGGATGCACACCGCATGCAAATTTATATTCAAGCTTATCGCAGATTGAAACGAAGGGAAGTAACTCTGTGAGATCAGAATTACATGTCTGCTCTATAATTAACATTCACTTAAACTGTCTTTTGTATTCTTCCGTTTTCGCTTAGGTGATATGAATAAATAAAAAATGTTTAAACTTACTACAAAAAATTGATTTAACAATAAAAGAAGAAGAAATTCCTGGAACGCAGTGATCAACAGAAACACACTAGGACACATTGAACTCCCCCCCCCCCCCCCCCCCCCCCCCCCCCCCCCCCCCCCCCCCCCCCCCACCCCCTTCCCTTTTGATTTTAGCGTCCTCGCATTTCCTGCCTTAAAACGGATATCCCGGTTTAAAAAATGACCCTTTAAAATCATTATCAAAAATTAACTACAGTAAAATCTACATCAAAAACTTTGTTTGATCCGATACCCTTGTACCTACCTAACGCAAATGGTTGTAGCAACGTCAATGGTAAAATACAACAATCAAGGGAGATAACTTGTCAGAACCTAATACTCTCCGTGTACCTCTTAAAATACCTAGGAAACTCGTCAGAACTTAACTGTACATCGCAGATCAGTAAAGAAGGGTGAGACAATATGGTCTGATAATTGAAGTACGTAAAATAAGAGGTAATCCACCCGTAACAGTATGAATTAATACACCAAGCCATGCGGTCAAAAAGCAGAATTCTTATAAAATAAGATTGTTCAGTAGTCTCCCCTGATCCCGTCGTCCTTACTCTTGAACCTTTGTAGAGGAAACGTTCAGATATCGCGTCACATTCCATGTCCTTATAAAGACTCACTCCATATCCTCACGAATTCTGTAAAGAGAATACAATACATTATGTGACGTATGTATTTGTATGTTCCCAAACAATGTCCAAAACAAAACACTGCTTCCGGTTATTAGACCATCATATTTTCGACGGTCGCATATATTGAAAAGAGTTTTCGTAGTTTTTTTCGTTAGTGTTTGTGCTAATTTTACATATTAGCTTTGTATGGGCTAGTCTATGTTCTATGATTTTACTCCGTACTCTGACGTAATGATGTATACAAATCGGGTGACTTCGGCACTTTCCGTAAACAAGACAACTTTACCGATTGAGTGACATACCTTCGTAATTTATTCTTCCGTCGCCATCTACATCAGCCTCGTGTAACATTTCCGCTACTTCATCATCAGTCATAGTTTCACCAAGACGCTTCATCGCGTATTTCAGTTCTTTGCCGTCGATGTAGCCGTTGCCATCCCTGTCAAACACTTTGAAGGCTGAGCGTATAGACGCCTCACTGTCTAAACAGCCCGGGTTCTTCTCCATTTCAGCTTTAATAAATGTCTTGAATTCTTTAAGCTCAATTTTTCCGTTACCTGAAATAAAACAAGAAGAAATAAATGTAAACATATTTCGTTTCACGATATCAACTCTCCTAGACTATTTCGTGACGACATATCAGGGATTTTAATCGTTATGTTATGGAACTAACATGTCCTAGACAATCAATTTTCGCAATATATATTTTTTCTTGCATACGAGCATCGCGAAAATAAATCACCTGCAAGTATTTGTTGATTTGCAGTAAACCAATTTTTCCATCACCGTTAATTAACCAAGGATTAATAAACAAATAAAAAAACAAAGGTTCAAAGAACACCAAGAAAACGACATGCAACATTTACTCATTCAACTTTTTGGGGTGGGGAAGGGGGGTTGTGGTTTTGGGGGGGGGGTTGTACTGTTTTTTGTTGTTGGTTTTTTTTTGTTTTTGAAATGTTTCTTTCGTATTTTTTATACAGAATTTTTGTACCTTTGGGGCTTTTTTAGGGGGAGGGGGTTATTATCATACTTTTTTTTGCGTTCTTGTTCTTGGTTTTAATGAGAGTACGGAAAGAGAGGAAAGCAGGTCGATGGGTGAATGATTTATGTGTCACGTGATCTACTATATCATTTACAACAACTAAATTCTTACCGTTTTTATCAAGGTTCTTCATTGCCGCCTGAACCTCTTTCTTTGTCGGAGACAGACCCATAAAGTTCATCGCCTTCCTCAGCTCACCGAGAGAGATCGAGTTGCTTTTATCTTCGTCAAAAGCATTGAACAGTTCTTTTATCTCTGTGGAACAAAGACAGGAGAAACTCTATAACGATGTTGAGCTATCGAATTTATAACTGTGATTTGAAAATTGTATAATCTATTTATCAAGGCCATGACGAGAACGAGAATGTTAAATTGTTTCATTGCAATTTCTGACTTTTTTTTTACATCTCATTGTTAAAATGGACTGTACCTGTGTCCTGTTTTGAATATGCTTTTTGTATTATTTTTGTATAATGGTGGTTTTTTTCTATAACAAGAATAGAAGTATTACTATCACGTTAGTATCCTCCTTAAATGAAGATGGAAGTCTTAACTATGTTATTATCAAAAGGTTAATGCTCTTCCTTAACTCACCTGTGTCAAGGTTTCTTTCCTTTTTCTTTCCCTGAAATGCATTAAAATAGAACATATACAATGATGTAAGTATACCACGACGTAAGCACAAAATGAAAATCTATAACCATAACACTCAAAACTATCCAGAGAGTCAACACTAAGTGTTAACTAGAACCACTATATCAATATCAATAAATACCACACAGGTCTAAAAATGGAGTAGCAAAACGTATTCTGCTAGGAATACATATAATTCGTTAAGATTTTCATATATCTTATGATATTAATATTGATATCATATCTAAATATATTTTTAATTTAGATATATCTATTTATGCAACAAATAATTGTGAATATTCGTTCGCTTGGTTTATCGGCCCATAAACAGCAAGGGAAGTTTGAGGCAAGATCTCCTTATAAAACGTGTATCTGGTGACTTCCTAAGCGAACAACATACAGGAGGCCCACCGCACACCACACAAATAGTGTGAAGTGTCGTGCCCAAGGAAACAACCACAATACCGACCCACACACACAGGTAGGGGGCATCGAACCACGTACTTCAGATATGAAGTTACTTCAGCCAAACCTCATAGCCGACTGAGTTTATGTGGCCAGTTATTACACGCATGTCAACAACAGTTGGGTCCCGAAGTGTTTCCATATTTCTTTTTCATTGATTGAAATGTAAATCTAGAACATTTTCACGTGAAGTACAAATTACCGGATACATGAATGTCGATTTACTTTCCTAATTCTATTCAAACAAGCACAGTTAGATTATCGGCACGAGCTATAACTAGAAATCAAGCTTGAAGATAAAAACAGGTATTGATTTCGTCATGGTTGTAATTATTCTAAAATCAATACTTGTTTTAAAGATTTAAAAATTAGATTTTTTTTAAATTAAAAAAACGCTGCCGATGTTTGCGATAAGGTGGTTCATACTGACAAGCTCCGAACGAGTCCAGTCCATAACAATGGACATGTTACGGAGATACAATGGACACGTCCGGGAATCGATCACAGGGCTCGAGACCTCTTTAACAGGTACTTAATTGTCCAAGTCTATTGTAGCCGGAACAATGGTGAAATTCAAACACACATAAACATAAAACGAGTAAATATTGAAATGGAATTGTCAAGGACGACCCTGAATAGGAAAAGCTGTCTGGCAATGGAGGGTCAGAATAATTTCATTTCGGATTATCCAAATGACACGTTAATGAATTTTCACATTTGTACGATAACGTCTCTATATAAACGAAGCAGAAAATGTCTTATTGAAGAAAACATAAATGACATCCAAATCCTAGCCATTGTTACGTCAGAGTTGCGGACATAGAAACGGCTCACTGTCCAAATGGCTGTTCCAGTTGATGGAAAACACCGTCGATAATAATTAAACTGGCTGTTTCAGTTGACGGATTACACTGTCGATAATGATTAATTCGTTTTAGTTTTAATCAAGTCAAGATCGATATCAGACATTAATATACATAGAAAATGTAAATATAAACATAGTATTGTCTTGTTATGGCATTCATGGTCGTTATAAATGACTGAGTGTTGAAAGCAATGTTATATTGCGCGCTGAAATATTTTGATATCATACCTGCAAAGCTCTGTCATTTACGACCATAATTTCCACAACAAGACCATTCAAATCTTAAAAAAACCCTAATACTGGGGACATCTTAATTATTTTTTTTACGTTTCGGTTTTTTTTTGTTTTAATTATTATTATTTTGATATAGTGAAACAATTTGACTATTTCAATGTGTCTCGCACAATTTATTTTTCACGTGTCTCGCCTTATCGACTGCTTTTGTATGTCTCACCACATGCACTATTTTTGGTATTCGATGAGTGTTTGAAGTGCCTCGCCAGATCTTCTGATCTGACATTTATACCAGAATATGTCGTGATAGTCCAGCGTACAATATATTGGATACAAGTACATCTTCATGCTGATCAAATCTATGTGAAAATGAGGCCGGGACAGTCACACGAAACATTCTAACAAGCATTCAGATATCCCTATATCTAATGTCAAAGAAGAGGGTGCCAAATTATATGCGAGGCTAAAAAAATATATCACTCTATGCAGGAGTGAAGTGGGTATTGTCTTGTATTTTCATTGGTTCAAATAATGGCGGTTTTAATCAAAGCTTGGAGCAAACACTGAATAAAGAAGGATATCTCTGTCATTCTGAACTATCAAAACATTGGCAAATTTTACTCCTTGAAATGAAAAAAAAAATAAATAACAGTATGCACTTCTACTCTGTGTATGTACTGAACGATTTCGTCATAAAACGTGTCGATATTTTGACAAAAATTAATTTCGAGACAACGAATGACTTTCTGTGCTTTACAGTTCGTGATTGAAAAAAAAATCACTTCGACTCAATGGAATTCAAGCCATTCGATCTAAGATTACAAAGATATAGAACGAAAAAAGTCGGGACATGAAAATTATTTCGAATAAAACGGAATTTCGACTTAGGCGATTTCGAGACAACGAGTTTCAACTGTATGTAGCTTCTCTCCTGCTGCCCACAGTTTGAAATACAAAATATTGACCGTAAATTCATATTTTTATTCCAAAACCCCATAAGATCGATTAAACAGAGAGACAAAGAAATAAACTTCACTGTTTAGTGTCTTTACTTTGAGATAGGGTCAGAAACAAATCGAGTCTGCCTTATCAGTTAACATCTGCCTGGGTATTAGTCACAAAGTGCCCTGTTAAGCGAATATTTCAATTTTAAGTACCAAAACTACTTGACACACAAAATAAAGAAATAACAACCAACACGCGCACATGGACATTGTTTACAATCGAATCCATTTGCCATTTGGTTGTGATAAAGATTAAGTGACATTTTAAGTGTCCGCCTTCTAGCAAGTTTGGAAATGGCTGTTATTTAGATTTAGTTTAAAAGCTGAATGAAATTAAGTCCTGTCTTCCGACTTCACTCTTTCGTGAATTTTCCCTCTCCACCGAACACTCACTCTCCACCGATCACTCACCCTCCACCGACACTCTCTCTCCACCGAACACTCACTCTCCACCGAACAATCTCGCTCCATCGACCACTCACTCTCCACCAAGCACTTACTCACCACCATTCACTCACTCTTCACCGAACACACTCTCCACCGAGCACTCAATCTCCACCGATCACTCACTCTCCACCGATCACATACTCTCCACCGATCACTCACTCACCACTATTCACTCACTTTCCTCCGTACACTCCCTCTCCACCGAGCACTCACTCTCCACCGAACACTCTCTCTCCACCGAACACTCACTCTACACCGAACACTCTCTCTCCATCGACCACTCACTCTCCACTGAGCACTCACTCACCACCGAACACTCACTCTTCACCGAACACACACTCTCCACCGAGCACTCACTCGCCACCGATCACTCACTCTCCACCGACACTCACTCTCCACCGAACACTCACTCTCAACCGACACTCACTCTCCACCGAACACTCACTCTCCATTGATGATTCACTCTCCACCGAACACTCGCTCTCCATTGATGATTCACTCTTCACCGAACACTCACTCTTCACCGATCACTCACTCACCACCATTCACTCATTCTCCTCCGCACTCTCCCTCTCCACCGAGCACTAACTCTCCACCGAACACTCACTCTCCACCGAACACTCACTCTCCACCGAACACTCACTCTATACCGAACACTCACTTCCCACCGAGCAATTCTCTCCACCGAACACTCACTCTCCACCGAACACTCACTCTCCACCGAACACTCACTCTCCACCGAATACTCACACTCCACCGAACACTCACTCGCCACCGAACACTCACTCTCCACCGAACACTCACTCTCCACCGAACACTCACTCGCCACCGAACACCCACTCTCCACCGAACACCCTCTCTCCACCGACCACTCACTCTCCACCGAGCACTCACTCTCCACCATTCACTCACTCTCCACCGAACACTCACTCTCCACCGAACACTCTACACCAAGCACTCACTCTCCACCGATCACTCACTCTCCACCGAACACTCATTCTCCACCGAACACTCACTCTCCACCGCGCACTCTCCATTCTTTGCCCTGCGCTCACTGTCAGTTGAAAATCATTTTCGATCTAACCTTCGCATCTATCAATCCGCATACTTCTAAAGGAGCAAAGAAAAAACAACCCACTTGTCATGCATTTTGATCTTTTAAACAGTAAGGTATTTCTCTAGGGACAGTTAAAAGTTTCAAGAGATTTCAAATATTTCCACGTAAACGAGAGGCGGGAAACCACGCCCCATTACAGTCAAATATAAGTCGCCAGACAGTCACGTCACATACATCCTTAAATAAACCTTATCTTACATCTTATTTCACTATCTGTGTCTATTTAACGGAAATGGGACACGCTGCCTTCGTTCTATAGCCAACTGTGGGTCAGAGCTCTAATTTTCACGACCGTTTGAAAAAAAGAAAGAAAAATAAAATAAAAAAAAAAAACAAACAAAAAAAAAAAAAAAAAACAAAAACTTCAAAACGTCTGTTTGAATTCGATGGTACATTATGATATCCGTGAGTTTTTCTGGGGAATAAACTGTTATGCTTTCTTCTGTCAGTGAGATCCGGCCATCATCACCGAGTCTTGATAATTAAGTTCTGATGTGTACGGTGCTGTATTTGCTCGTGTCACTGTGTCCCGGGTATCATCACCGAGTTCTGGTGTGTGTGGTATTTACTCGTGTCATTGTGTTCCGGTTATCATCATCAAGTTCCGGTGTGTACGGTGTGCTATTTACTCGTGTCATTGTGTTCCGGTTATCATCACCAAGTTCCGGTGTTTACGGTGTGCTATTTACTCGTGTCATTGTGTTCCGGTTATCATCACCAAGTTCCGGTGTTTACGGTGTGCTATTTACTCGTGTCATTGTGTTCCGGTTATCATCACCAAGTTCCGGTGTTTACGGTGTGCTATTTACTCGTGTCATTGTGTTCCGGTTATCATCACCAAGTTCCGGTGTGTACGTTGTGCTATTTACTCGTGTCATTGTGTTCCGGTTATCATCACCAAGTTCAGATGTGTACGGTGTGTTATTTACTCGTGTCGTTTAGTTCCGGGTACGATAACCGAGTTCAGATGTGTACGGTGTGTTATTTACTCGTGTCACAGATCATGATCTTAAATTTTAAGCGATTGAGACAAAAAAGATCCTGTCTATTTTACTAATGCTCAACAAATTTTTGTTATAACTCCATATAAACAAGTCGCTTTTTTGACACGTGACTGCTAATATAAACAACAGCGCGGTTCATTATATACATTGGGTTAAAAATCTATAATTCCGTATCAAAAATCCTGTTCAAATACTGGGCGTTATGAAATAAAATGTAAATATTTACTGAAGCGAAGGAAATATTTTACAAGTTAAGGATATCCCGGGATCAATTAAAGCGATTTATGTTGAAAGGACGATGTACCGTAAGGGTCATCTAGAACCTACATAGGCTAGGTCATTCGATACAATAAAGGACCATGTGCCGTAACTGCCATTTTCATTTTTCAACTCACCTTCTTAGTCATTTTTAAACTTATGAATTTGTTAAATTTTTTCAACGAAAATGGCATTTTTTCTGTATAGGAGGTTCATCCAGGTCCACGGAAATGAGTGTGTGGGTGGGTGAGGGGAGGGAGATGATTTATTTACAATATTTGAAGCATCCTTAAAGCTTTGAAGTAAATGCATTATCTTATTACTATTTATAGTTCAGATGTACTGTCTCTTGGCTATAGGATGCAGACTTAATGAGGGAAAATTCATGTAATTAAGATTACTCTTTTTTCCTTGTTATAAAGATAGATTTAAAACTTTTATATTATGACTTCAAAAAATACTACGTTTTTGAAGAAAAACTATGCAAATTGTCAAAGAAAGAAAAATTAAGTGAAATAGCAATACAGCGTTAAAAATTTTATTCAAATATTTCAAGTGAAGAACGCGAACGCTTTGATATAAATGGTCAATTGTGTGTTTTTTCTGAATTCTCTGATAAAATATCAGTACACTAGTACTTCTCTTTTGTTTAAAAATATACCTTGGCTTCTTATCATATAAAAGTTGTTTACGTGTGGATGTGAGGTAATCGGGCTATCTATTTCATGACACTTCGAATTACAACTAGAGGCAACATAGCTATAACATCGCTTGTATGGATCGAACCATACACCTCGGATCTTCACCTGAAATGTCTGACGTTCTACCTACTGATCCTACACTACGATGGACATAACGACGGCGGTGGCAAAGTGGCGGCGGAGGCGAAGGCGGAGGTGGAGGCGGAGGTAGAGGCGGCGACGGAAATGAATAAATAATCTATGAGAACAACATCCTAACTACGATTTCCAGATGGTGGCACGGCGGCAGCGGTGGCGGAGGTGGTTTCTAGGGCGGCGGAGATGGTTTCTGGGGCGGCGGAGATGGCCGAGCGACAAACGAATGAATCTATGATAACATCAGTCTGACTACGATTTCTAAACACGTCCCATTGACAGAGAGAAGTGGTCTTTTATCAAGTCCTATCGAGGGAGACATACGCCCTCGTTATCAGTCTAATTCACACTCACACGCCCCTCTTCTGGTTGATTTCTTGTAAAATGTCCAATCGTTCATTTGATAAAAACAACTATTGCTTCTAATTAAACATCAGAATTAAAACGTCACAATACTTGTAATCAATCTATATCATGATTTGTCGATTAGGCAAAGCCAATACAAACTACCCTTACACGGCACGTCATCCACATAATCGTAAATGATGAATTACGGAGAATGTCCGTTTATCGACATACCAGTAATCCTTATCAAAAACTTCAGTTGTATTGGCGTGTTTATTCAAACTTTTGTTGGCGGCGTACTTTGGTACCGCACTTTTACTCATTGCTTAAGGTTAATAACGAACTTGGACTTACTGCCCACGTGAATTTGTCGGTTTTTTTTAATTAGTCTGGACTACCCAGCTGTAGGAAATGACATCAAGCCGGGAAGCAATTCTGCGAACGACTGGTATCCTTCAGTGATAGATACACCAATAACACTCTATATCAGTATACTATATACTTTTATGTACTTGTTACACGTAGTCATCAACCAATGGAGCACAATGCTGGCAGTTTATCGTAAAATACTTCTCCAATCAAACAGATGCTGCCTTTCTGGGTTATTCTGCGACCAATCAGTGATAAGCCTAATTGTGTTCAGGAAGATACTTTCAATGTCAGTTTCATATTGTATTTTGTCTTGTTTTTAATGTGATCTGCATTCGCCTGGGATTATTTCTATCATATTTGATCAATACTAGTATAGTAATTTCACAGAAAATGAAAATTGACATTTAAATCCACTATGTGACCCGTTTTGGGGTGCCGTGACCAGGCAATCTAGATTCTGTAGTGCCAATACTTTGGAAAGTATAAATCTTGGCTCCTTTTTTGCCAAGTTATTGTAAAGGTGGTTAAACAAAGTTTTCATGTAATTTCAAAATTAGAAATATATTTCAAGTAAAAATGGAATCGCCGTAAAATTATGTGTCTGTTGTCTACTTTGTCTGCTTTTAACATTATTTTCAGCTTCAGACATTTTTTTTAAACAATTACAAAATTCTTCTATTTTCACTGAAGCGTATAGTCTGTAAGAACTTCCTCACGAAGAAATGTTCATTTTAACCCCATCCCACTGTGACTCCATATTGTTTAGAAACCCACACAAAATATATTTTACTATAGCAAGCTACATGCAGATGACCTTAAAGTACTTTCTCACAAAATAACAGGGCTGTCACTGATTGGCCGCATAATGACCAAATCTGGTATCACTTATTTCAGCCGGAAAGGAAAAATAATTCTTACGTCATATTTAACTCCCTAGACTTAACATATCAATCTTATCATAAGAACGAGATTGGTTGTTCTTTAATTTTGTCTTTCTGACAATATTTTAACATTTTTTCTTGATAAAAACTTAGTGCGTTACCTTTGGCTTCGCTTCACTGGCCGCCATTTTGACCTGCTCCTTCTGAAACAAAGTAAAATGTGAGGTTGAAAGTTTTATGTAGAGAAGTCCTAGTTATATTGAAAGCTGTAAGTTTGTTTCCTCTAATGGGTTATTCCCAGGAACTTCAACATTGATAGATAACCATTAAACTCTCAGCACAACAGGAAAAACGTCTCAAAAAATATATCAGTAGAGTTCCATCCACGACATTCCAGGGGTTAAAATAGGTTACGATCTCTTCACTAAGAAGAGCAGGATTTGAACAAACACCCATGGCTTGTGCAGATAGTATGGGCCAACATTTAATATATATCAAGATCAAGCATTGGAGCGTCTTTATTCAGGATTCCCCAGTCCCTTCTAAAGATCCGGGCCGGCTGTGAGAGAGTGTACCGGATTGACAGTGCCTTTGACACACCAGAAGCGGAATGGTCATTCCCTGCCCTCGCCCCTCCTTCTCGTGGTTTCTGAACACTGATGAACATCTGTGAAAGCAGACATTATATCTGCTAACCAACCAATCACAAGACCGAGTATCACAAGCATTTCATCAGCAGATAGCGCAAGCCAGTTAAGTGTGAGATTTTCTTTTTTATTAATCTGACTTAATTAATGAGTAAAACAGAAGGCAAAATAATGCTCAAGTGTAATCAGATTGACCTTGATATTTCGTAAATGGTGGTCGCAATACCTCAATAGGTTGAGCAGCGGGTTTAACTACACCAGGAAGAGATCTGAGGTGTGTGAACAAGGCACTTTACCGTAAAACATAATGTATAACATGCGACGACCCTCTCGCATAGTATTCACTAAGGTTTTTACCAGCTGCTACAAGGCTTAAAGTGACACTGGCAGATCACGGAGCGATAAACACAACAAACAATAAACAAAATGTGAAGGTAACATTTTTCCTAGTCAAGAAATGTTATCATTTTTTAGAGAGAAAAGTTATTATGTCGATTAGGAAGTTTTAAGACAAGTGACTTGTACGTTGTGTAATTTGGGGATTGTAATGGCAGAACGAGTATCCACGATCACTTAAGATACTGAATGCCTTTTATCCGTTTTGATATCGTATGTATACAGTGTAATAAATACTTTTCCTCGTAGTTAGTGTACTCTCCTGGATTTTACGATGTGTTATAAATAGTACTTTAGGTACCATATGTCACGCCCGAGATATGTTGTGGACTGAATCAAATCACTGTTGATTTAAATCTTTAACTTTCTGCGTGTTGTAGGGTCTAGAGTCTTTATGAAATATGATCCCTAGCGGAAAATATTTTTGTTGGTTACACTCCCACTTACTTAGAGGTCGGTTCAGAGGTGGGTTTAGGGCAACTGAGTAGACCATTTAAAAATAAGATTTGATATTCATAATATACACAACTTGAGCCTGTGTTTGGTAGGTGAAGTAAGACTTTTCTTCCATCTCGATGGCTGTATAAAAAAACGCCTAGCAGGAGTTTTATCTCTTGATGTTTTTATGGTTTACACGACGCTGAGTTGACAATCCCCAACGAAGGTAATTTGTGTATGTAACCAACACTAAATAGCTCATTTTTGTAACGTAGACACTACGACAAAGACGGAAATGACGACGTCTCACATCGTTATTAAACTTAATTGATGCACCGAGGGGGGGATGTGAACAAAAGAAAGATTAATACACACACAATTGGAATAAGGCAAACTGTTACAGAACGGTAACCGGTACATTTATAGTGTGGAGGTCTCGGGCACGAAACTCGACTGGTACATTTATAGTGTGGAGATCTCGGGCAGGAAACTCGACTGGTACATTTATAGTGTGGAGGTCTCGGGCACGAAACTCGACTGGTACATTTATAGTATAGAGTTCTCGGCCAGGAAACTCGACTGGTACATTTATAGTGTGGAGATCTCGGGCACGAAACTCAACTGGTACATTTATAGTGTGTAAGTCTCGGGCACGAAACTCGACTGGTACATTTATAGTGTGGAGATCTCGGGCACGAAACTCGACTGGTACATTTATAGTATAGAGGTCTCGGGCACGAAACTCGACTGGTACATTTATAGTGTGGAGGTCTCGGCCAGGAAACTCGACTGGTACATTTATAGTGTGGAGATCTCGGCCAGGAAACTCGACTGGTACATTTATAGTGTGTAAGTCTCGGGCACGAAACTCGACTGGTACATTTATAGTGTGGAGGTCTCGGGCACGAAACTCGACTGGTACATTTATAGTGTGGAAGTCTCGGGCACTAAACTCGACTGGTACATTTATAGTGTGTAAGTCTCGGGCACGAAACTCGACTGGTACATTTATAGTGTGGAAGTCTCGGGCACGAAACTCGACTGGTACATTTATAGTATAGAGGTCTCGGGCACGAAACTCGACTGGTACATTTATAGTGTGTAAGTCTCGGGCACGAAACTCGACTGGTACATTTATAGTGTGGAAGTCTCGGGCACGAAACTCGACTGGTACATTTATAGTATAGAGGTCTCGGGCACGAAACTCGACTGGTACATTTATAGTGTGTAAGTCTCGGGCACGAAACTCGACTGGTACATTTATAGTGTGGAGGTCTTGTGATTTAGTGTTTTTAAAATAGAAGATATATATGAAAAACTTGATTCCGTCACACAAAACTCAAAGCAAATCATGTACATCTACATACAGCGTTCGGAAAAAGAAACGTGTTAATGTGAGAAAATACGAATTTATTGAAAAGGAGGATTGCTAGAAATCGATATTAAGGACGTGTTAACGATACCATTCTGGATGAATGGGCACGCTCAATTGTAATCAAATGTCATGTACAGGCTAAGTGGACGAAATCCCGTGCGACAACCTAAACAAACACTAATATCTCTTCAGTTACGATCGAAATCAATTCACCACAAGGAAAGTGAATTCTCAGTGTCCTTATAAATAATTGTG